CCTGATGGAGTGTTGCTCTGTCACCAGGCTGGAATACAGGGGCACGATCTCAGATGACTGAAATCTCTGACTCCCTGGTTCCAGCGATTCTCCTGCCTCAGCCTCCCCAGTAGCTGGGATTCCAGGCGCATGCCATCACGCCCAGCTAATTTCTGTATTTTTAGTAGAGACAGCGTTTCACCACGTTAGCCAGGATAGTCTTGATCCCCTGACCTCGTGATCCACTCGCCTCAGCCTCCCAAAGTGCTGGGTTTGCAGATGTGAGCCACCAACTCTGGCCAGCAGTAGAAATTTCTAAGCCACAAAGCATTCAACAGGTGACCTGTCTTTTCCTGAAACCATATGGTTACACGCACTCACAAAGACGTGGCTTGAAATGAGAACTTAGTTTAAAAGGGACGCAGAGCGTAAAGGAATGGAGCATTTGCAGCCTGACCGTGAGGTAGAGGAGAAAACCCATTTTCTGGAGAGAAAGTAAAGCTAGGCCCAGGGCCCCGCTGCTCTGTGTTGGTGTTGGTTTTCCCCAAGTAGTTCTGGTGTGAGTGAGTGAGTTCTCACAAGAACTAATGTTTAAAAAGTGTTTGGCGGTGGACTGGGTACGGTGGCTCACAACTGTAATCTCAGCAGTTTGAGAGGCTGAGGTGGGTAGATCACCAGAGGTCAGGAGTTCGAGACCAGCCTGACCAACATAGAGAAACCCCGTCTCTACTAAAAATACAAAATTTGCCAAGCATGGTAACACATGCCTGTAATCCCAGCTACTCAGGAGCCTGAGGCAGGAGAATCACTTGAACCTGGAAGGCGGATGTTGCAGTGAGCCGAGATTTCACCATTGCACTCCAGCCTGGGCAGCAAGAATGAAACTCCATCACAAAGAAAAAAAAAAAGACAAGAAAAAGTGTTTGGTGGGTGGGCACAGTGGCTCATTCCTGTAATCCCAGCACTTTGGGAGCCTGAGGTGGGTGAATCACCTGAGGTCAGGAGCAGGAAATCAGCCTGACCAACATGTGGAAGCCCCATCTCTACTAAAAGTATAAAAGCTAGCTGGACGTGGTGGTGCATGCCTGTAATCTCAGCAGCTCAGCAGGCTGAGGCAGGAGAATTGCTTAAACCCTGGGAGGTGGGGGTTATACTGAGCTGAGATCACACCACTACACTCTAGCTGGGCGACAGAGTGAGACTCTGTCTCAAGAAAAAGAAAAAAAAGGGCCGGGCACGGTGGCTCAAGCCTGTAATCCCAGCCCTTTGGGAGGCCAAGGCGGGTGGATCATGAGGTCAAGAGATCGAGACCATCCTGGTCAACATGGTGAAACCCCGTCTCTACTAAAAACACAAAAAATTAGCTGGGCACGTTGGTGAGTGCCTGTAATCCCAGCTATTCGGAGACTGAGGCAGGAGAATTGCCTGAACCCAGGAGGCGGAGGTTGTGGTGAGCCGAGATCGCGCCATTGCACTCCAACCTGAGTAACAAGAGCGAAACTCCGTCTCAAAAAGAAAAAAAAAGAATGTAATAGAACCTAATAAATCACAGACATTTCTAACGCCGTCTAGTATCCCAGTCCCCCATAAATAAAGCGTGGCCTTCATATAACCAGGCTACAAATGAATGAGCAACTCCTGCGTATCTCACGTCTGGGATACTTTCCAGCGGCAGGAGCCCCGGGGAGGGCCAAAGAAGAGCACCTGTTCCCAGGCAGGCAGAGCTCTCATGGGGTCTGGCAATGCTGGCAATGCAGCGGCATTGTATTAGGTGGCTGTGGTCACAGGAGCACGGCCAAAAGGGCAGTGCACTCCAGCCTGGGCGACAGGAGCAAAACTCCCATCTCAAAAAAAAAAAAAAAAAAAAAAAAACAGCGTTTGGCAGTTCCCCCTGCCCGCTTCTCCGGCTGCCATGTAGAACGTGCCTCGATTCTCTCTCACCTTCCCCCATGATTGTAAGTTTCCTCAGGCCTCCCCAGGCCTGTGAAACTGTGAGTCAATTAACCTTCCTTTCTTCATAAATTACCCAGTCTCAGGCATTCTTTATAGTGGTGTGAAAAATGGACTAATACAGAAACGGATAAGCCTTGCCCTGGGAAAACCACCTTTGTGATCACCGTATCTCCTCTGCCACGTAAGTATAAGCAAGTTTTATTAAGACGCCATCGTGACAGTGCCAGGTCAGAGCTGCAGCAGGAATGCCAGGAGGTGCAGGAGAGCAGAAGGAGGGGTCAGGGTGGGTACATGGTGACAGGGAGGGCAAAGGTGGTGTCAGTAGCTTCACTGGGGTTCAGAGCACTTCTAGGGTGTCAGCTCCCCCTTCCCCACTGTGAGGCTCCTTAAGGACTGGAGAAACTGACAAGCTCTGCCAGAGAGCAGCAGAAACTCTCAAACTCTTTCCAGAAGGTCTGTACTTCACGGACCAGGTCCGCCACCTTCTTCACCCGGGCCAGAACCATCTGGCACCACGTCTGCAGCCACTGCAGCATGGCCTTGAAGCCCTCCTTGGGCTCCTCGGGCTCCTGGGTTTTGGGATCCTCAACTTCCTGGACAGGGGGTCTGTTTCCTCTGCACCATAATTCATCTCTTTTTTTTTTTTTTTTTCAAGTAGAGGAGTGAGCTCCTGTGGAATGGGGGCAGCATTCAGGGTCTGCAGGTGGGGGTGTCAGCCCCAGGCCCTGGCCACATCCAGGCTTCTCAGCCTTTACCTGAGTCTGGAGGATGGAAAGCCCACAGATGTTGGTTTCTTGGCCACAGCACCATGGACAGGAGGGACTTTTCCCAGAGTCCCCTCCTTTCCATTCCCCTCCATGGCAGTGACACGATGGCTGTGTCTGTTTGGTCACCAGGCCAGGGCCCCGACCGTGTCTTGAGTTGAAGGCAGGGCTCTGCCACTGTGTGCTGGGGGAGGCTGGGGGTAGCTCCCAGCTGGCTGTCAATCCCAGCCCCACACCCCCAGCTCAGGGGCTGGCCACACCCTGCCCACACCAACATCAAGACAGGGCAGGGGTTTGCCAGGCATGGTGGCTCATGCATGAAATCCAGCACTTTGGGAGGCCGAGGTGGGCAGATCACAAGGTTAGGAGTTTGAGAGCAGCCTGGGCAACATGGTGAAACTCTGTCTGCACTAAAAATAGAAAAAAAAATTAGCCCAGCATGGGCACAATGTGTCCCATTACATTCTCCAAGGAGACCCGGAGAGACAGAACCTAGAAACCACGCTTTCCTGGTGAAAGCTTCACTCGGGTGGACTAGACACTGGTTGTCATCTGCCTGTCACTTGGGAGTCCGTTCCACTGCGTGCAGCCCCCTCTCCACAGTTAGGAAGCCCAGATCTTCCCTGAGCCATCTCTGAACTGTAGAGCGGGAAAGAGAAGGAAGCCACCCCTGCACCAGCTACAAGTCTTGCTCTAGGCTTCAGCTCCAAGAGACTCACTCGCCCGGCAACCCTAGCCCCTCCGTGACTCACAAAGGCCACCATCCAAAGTCATCCATCCAGACTGTTCCCTGTTTTTATAGCTTCATGTGACGTAATTCACAGGCAAGGCAATGTACTCGTTAAGCTGTGCGATTCAAAGCAGAGAACGGCGTGAGCATCACCAGCACCCGCTAAACGTGTTCAGCGCCTGAGAGAAGTTCTGCCCTCTGAGACACCACCACCGATGCTCATTTCCATGGACGACCACTCGTCTGCTTCCTTTTTTTCCTTTCCTTTTTTTCTGAGGTCGAGTCTTGCTCTGTGGCCCAGGCTGATGTGCAGTGGCACGATCTCTGCTCACTGCAACCTCTGCCTCCTGAGTTCAAGCAATTTACCTGCCTTAGCTTCCTGAGTAGCTGGGATTACAGGCACCTGCCACCATGTCCAGGTAATTTTTATATTTTTACAAAAAAAAAAAAAAGAGAGAGACACTGGGTTTCACCCCGTTGGCCAGGATGGTCTTGATCTCTTGGCCTTGTGATCTGCCTTGGCCTCCCAAAAGCTGAGATTACAGACATGAGCCACCATGCCTGGCTTATTTTTTATTTTATTTATTTATTTTGAGTCGAAGTCTCGGTTGCCCAGGCTGGAGTGCAGTGGCGTGATCTTGGCTCACCACAACCTCTGCCTCCCAGGTTTAATCAATTCTCCTGCCTCAGCCTCCAGAGTAGGTGCAATTACAAGCACATGCCCACACCTGGCTAATTTTTGTATTTTTAGTAGACACAGGGCTTCAACATGTTGGCCAGGCTGGCCTTGAACTCCTGACCTCCATTGATCCACCCACCTGTGCCTCCCAATGCTGGGATCACAGGCGTGAGCCACGGCACCCAGTGAGAACATACCGTTTTTAAATTACACCATTTATTTATTTATTTATTTAGAGGCAGAGTTTCGCTCTTGTCACCCAGGCTGGAGTGCAATGGCGCGATCTCAGGTCACCGCAACCTCCGCCCCCTGGGTTCAGGCAATTCTCCTGACTCAGCCTCCCGAGTAGCTGGGATTACAGGCACGCGCGACTGTGCCCAGCTAATTTTTTGTATTTTTAGTAGAGATGGGGTTTCACCATGTTGACCAGGATGGTCTCGATCTCTTGACCTCGTGATCCACCCACCTCGGCCTCCCAAAGTGCTGGGATTATAGGCTTGAGCCACCACGCTCGGCTAAATGACACCATTTAAAAAATAAAAGTAATCACTTTCACATGACATTTTTGTGTAGCAGACGTCAGGCTTTAAAGGTTGCAGACTCTACATGGAGTCATGAGGCAGTCTCACTTCCACAGTGGTCATCCCTCCCCTGGGTGCCTCATAACCAACTTTTGGATTCCCCTCTGCTTCCTCCTCCCACTCTTCTTTCTTCTTTTTCTTATTATTTTTATTTTTAGTTGTTTTTTTTTTTTAGATGGAGTCTTGCTCTGTTACCCAGGCTGGAGTGCAGTGGTGCGATCTCGGTTCATAGCAACCTCCCTCAGGTTCAAGTGACTCTCCTGCCTCAGCCTCCTGAGTAGCTGGGATTACACACTTGTACCACCATGCCGGGCTAATTTTTTATATATATATATTTTTAGTGCAGACAGGGTTTCACCATGTTGGCCAGGCTGGTCTCAAACTCCTGACCTCAAATGATCTGCCTGCCTCGGCCCCCCAAAGTGCTGGGATTACAGGCGTGAGCCCCTGAGCGCTCCCCAGCTCTTCCTTTTTAGATTCCCCAGCAACCCTGGATTCCTTCTTCTGCAATGCAGAGATTCAGGTCGGTCCAGTTCCCACCACCACACTTCTCCCCAAGTCCATCCATGCTCAGAAGAAGGATTTCTGTGTATTCTTTTTTTTTTTAGGCAGAGTCTCGTTCTGTCACCAGGCTGGAGTGCAGTGGCCCAATCTCGGCTCGCTGCAACCTCCGCCTCCCGGGTTCAGGCAATTCTCTTGCCTCAGCCTTCCGAATAGCTGAGACTACAGGCCAGTGCCACCACATTTAGCTAATTTTTGTATTTTTAGTAGAGATGGGGTTTCATCATATTGGCCTGCATGATCTCCGTCTGTTGACCTTGTGATCTACCAGCCTTGGCCTCCCAAAGTGCTGGGATTACAGGCGTGAGCCACTGCGCCTGGCCTGTCTATTCATTGTTATTGTCCTGAGTGGGATGAATAAGCTTCTAAAATACAAGTTTCCACCTCCTCATACATGGGAAGGAAACTGACAGAGGCCCAAATCGTTTCCTAGCAGCCCAGAATTCCCGGGTAACTGACCAAAGCCTCCTGCCCATCCTCAAGCTGATCTGTTTGTATGAGCAACTGGGGCAACCCTTCCCGGTGGCTGCCCACAGCCTTGGCTCCAGGAAGCACTGTGGGGCCACTGAAGCTGGATGGCAACCTAGGAAGTGGCCCCTTAGTGACTCTGCCCATGGAGGTCAGGCCGTCAGTGTGGCTCTGCAGAGAAGATATGAAGAGATTGGTCCTGGGGTGGGGGAACACCGCAGAGCCACAGAAATGCCACGAGACAGCCAGCGGCTGGCCCCCACAATGCCCCCAACTAGTCAAAATGCGTTTCCTGACCCCACCCTGAGTGAGGATTCAGGGTGAGGTGTGGGATCTCCAAATGTGAATTTCCCAGTGATTCTGATGGGGAATAGTCTAGAAAAGAGTTCTAGAAGCAATCATTTAGATCCTCTATCTGCGGGGAGTGAGGACAGGGTGAACGAGGTGGCCCCAGGTTCCACCCACCCCTCACTCTGGAACTAGGGCCACCCAGGAGTGCTGAGGAGGCACTGACTGCGCCTGAGCCAGGGTTGGTCCCCGTCTTTGCACCAGTGTTGAGTTGATGGGAGCCACGCTGTTCTCTGGGCTGGGTCCGGATCTGAGTCCCAGGTCCCCACCAATGTGCCAGTGACTATAGGGGGGCGTCGTGGGAGCAGAACGGGGTGAGAAACTGCGGGTGGGAGAGGGGCTGGTGGGAGAGAGAGCAGCTTAGCAGTCAGGCGTGTCCTCTAACGATCCAGGAACGCCAGGCGCAGTGGTCAGGTGGGGCGGGGCTGCGGGGAGTCCCGGGACTGCGCTCGGAGAAAAGCTGACCCTTCCCGGAAAAGGATGGTCCTACGAAGGCAGCGCGTGGCGGGGGACAGCTGTTCCCTTCGGGTGACGCCCTCCTTGCCGCCCCTCCCGGGCTCGGGAGAGTCCGACCGCCCCCTGGCGGCCTCGGGGAGGAAGGACGGGAGCGGTGACCCAGGCTTGGTCTCTGCGAGCGGGCGCCCCCTGGCGGGACCCAGCGGGGGCGGAGCCCAGCGCCAAGGCCGGTCAGTCCCCGCCGCCCGCGCTCCGCGGGAGATCCGCCTCGCTTCGTCCGCGCGCAGGCCCCAGTCCCCGGGAACAGACACGGGGCCTCCGCGGCGCCTCACGATCCCGACCGGGTCCAGCGGCGGGTGACTCGGCCGTGGAGGGCGCTGTTCTGCCGGGATGGGCCCGTCAGCGGGAGGCGACACCTGCCACCAGCAGGGGCAGCGGCAGCAGCAGGAGGGGCGCGGGCCGCGGTCCTGAGGCCTGGTTGAGCTCGCACTGACAATCGCAGCCTCTGGACTCCTGGGTCGCTTTGGGGGGTCTGGGGGCGCGGGGTCCAGCACTGGGGGCGGGGCAGCCCAGCCACTCGGGCCCCATGGGCTGCGGGGCATTCGGCTCGGACTTGATGTTGCCCATGGGGAAGCGCCAGTAGTGGGCGCCCTTGAAGAAATAGGTGTCACCTGGGGGAGCAGAGCTTGAGTCCCGGGCCCGCCCCGCCCCTCCCTGCTGCCCAAAGACCCCCATCCCCCCAGGGTGGTCTCCATGTCCTCATTCCCCGCACCCTCTCCCCACCCCCAGGCCCAGCGACCCGCCGGTCCCCGCGCTCCCCACCTGTGTTGCTGACGGTGACATCGTCGGGGGAGGGGGGCGCGCCCTCCCAGAGGCTTAGGTCACGAGGGTAGCCGGGGTCCGGGCGCGCCGCCGCCTCGTCGTAGCGCCAGTACTGCCGGCCGCGGACCAGGTAGGTCTTCCCATTCTGGGGCCACGAGAACACGGCGTCCACCTCCTCCCCCGAGGGCAGCCCCAGCTCGGTGAGCGGCCGCGCCCCGCCCTCCATCTGCCGGTCCTGGAACACCCAAAACTGGGGCCCTGCAGGGCGGAGGCTGGGAGGTCAGGGTGGGCTCCCCGTGCCCGCCCCAGCGAGCCCCGCCGCCCCCCCCCCACCCCCCACCCCCACCCCCACCCCCCCACTCACCGCTAAAGAGGAGGATTCGGCCGTCTCGGTGCCGGGCGTAGGCGGCCTGCACTACCTTCACCTGGGCGGGCAGACCCTCCCAAAAGCGGTGCAGCCGCGCGGGCCGCGGGGAAACCAGCTGTCCCGAGGGCTGGAGACGCCAGAACCAGGGGCCTGCAGGGGACGAAAGGGTCGGCAGAAAGGCATGAAATAGCAGGAGGTCTCCTCCCCCAGGGTGTGGGGCTCTGTGGGAGGGGTCCCGTCTGGAAATGGAGGGTGCAGTGGATCTAGGGCGACCAGCCCCTCCTGGCCTGCCTGGGGATCTTCCCTTTTTAGCACTAAAAGTCACACGGGGGGCCTAGTGGCTCAGACCTGTAATCCTAGCACATTGGGAGGCTGATGGGAGAATCACTCGAGCCAGGAGTTTGAGACCAGCCTGGGCAACACAGTGAGACCCCCCCCCATGTCTACAAAATAAAAAATTAATTACTAGCAAGGCGTGTTGGCCTGTGCCTGTGGTCCCAGCTATTAGGGAGGCCGAGGTGGGAGGATCGCTTGAGCCCAGTATGCGGGGGCTGCAGTGAGCCATGGTCGCACCACTACACTTCAGCCCAGGCAACAAAGCAAGACTCTGTCCCAAAGAAGGAGAAGAAAAAAACGTTTCACTTCCTGGGTAAGCCCACAGCCCCAGTGTGTCACTTGAAGTGGGTAGGAGGTCAAGCCTACGTGAGGTCAGGGGACAGGAGAAATGACTAACCTTTGAAGAAGAAAGTCTCCCCTCGGATGTTGGCGATGGCGTCAAAATTGCCCTCACATCGATCAGGGATGGGGGAGGATGGGCTGGGGAGGAAAGGAGAGGTGAGCAGACACTGGGGGCTTGTTTCCTCCAAGGGCAGGGACCCCACCGTCCCCATTTCAGAGGGCACTGAGGCTGGGCAGCAGAGCACCCAAGGTCACAGGTGGTGGGGGACTCACCTGTCTGGGGGCGCGGCTGGGGGCTGGGGAGGAGCCAGGGGTTTCCTTGTGGGCTTGTCATATGGGGTTTGGGGTGCCTTCCCTGTGGGGAAAGAGTCAGGCAAGTGTGGGTCCCCTGAACCTGGGCAGGGCACGTGATGGTTTGAGGCAGGTCCCCTCCCCCTACCATAGAGCTGCTGCAGGCCGTCGCGGTCATCCTGAGACAGGCGGTACTTGTCTGGGTCACCCACTGGGCCCTGGTAGAAGGGCCTCATGATGGAGTTGGGGGCTGAGGAGTGGCCCAGGCCCAGAGCATGGCCAAACTCATGCACAGCCACGGCAAACAGGTCGGTCCCCTCGCCATCTGCAGGGGAAGGCAGGCAGGAGCTGAGGCCACCCCTGCACTGTGAAGGGGGGGCAAGGGAAGGCCGTGAGTGTGGCTGCTGGCCAACAGGAACAGCAGGACACCCTCCAGAGATGGCCCCAGATTCCCCTGCCCAGTCCCTCCCCAACCTTCCATCATCCCTGTCTCCAGTCACCCAGTCAGCATGTTGGTGTTGGACACTGGACCTGCCCAGTCCCTCCCCAACCTTCCATCATCCCTGTCTCCAGTCACCCAGTCAGCATGGTGGTGCTGGACACTGGACCTGCCCAGTCCCTCCCCAACCTTCCATCATTCCTGTCTCCAGTCACCCAGTCAGCATGGTGGTGCTGGACACTGGACCACAGGCTGAAGAGACCCGGAGAACACACAGAGGAAGGAGTGACCTTACACAAACAGATGGGCCCCTCTCCTGAAAAACAGGGAACAGCTGGGTGTGGTGGCTCACACCTGTAATCCCAGCACTTTCGGAGGCCCAGTTGGGAGGATTGCTTGAGCCCAGGAGTTCAAAACCAGCCTGGGCAACATAAGGAGACCCCTGTCTCTACAAAAAAAAAAAATCAAAAAATTAGCCAGGAGTGGTGGCACACGCCCACGGTCCCAGCTACTCAGGTCCCAGGCTGAGGCAGGGAGGCAGGAGGATTGCTTGAACCCAGGAGGGCGAGCCATGACTGAGCCCCTGCACTCCAGCCTGGACGGCAGAACAAGACCCCATCTCAAAAAAAAAAGAAAGAAAAGAAACTCGAGGGGGCGGTGGGGCCGGGGCAGGAACCTACAAGGTGTGGGCCATTCTCTGCAGGCAGTGCCAGCCCTGGGAGCATCCCCACCCCACAGCTCCAGTCTATGGTCAGTGACCCCCGCCCCTCTCTCCCTTGTCACCCACATCTGCTGGGGATAGAGGTCCTTGTCCTTAACCCAAGACCTACCCCCATTCCTGTCCCCATCCCATTTCGAGGCACATTCCTTTCCCACATCCCTTGAGTCCTCCATTCCCCTCCCCCATCTCCCTGCCCACCGCTTCAGCCCCTCATCTCCCCACCCTTTACCCCCACCCCCCGGCTCAGGTCTTCCTCCATCTCCTTGGAAACACAGAGCTCCTCCAGCAGGCACTCTCAGACCACAGCCTGCTGGCCCCAGCGCCCGGCCTTGCTCCCAGCCTCTTCCCTCGGGACTCAGCCCAGGCGCCAGGACCGCCAGGACCAAGACGCTTTGCAAGCCCAGCTCATTGATCCGTGAGCTGCCTGCCAGCTCCTGCTCCCGCTGCCGAGAGGCCGAAAGAGACCAAGACAGAGACACAGCGTGGCAGCACCACAGGGAGGCACCGATGACCCCATGCCGATCTGTTTCACAGCCAGCTCTAAGGTCAGCGGTGTTCAGGCAGTTCCATAGGTAAAGACCTGGTGAATTAAAAAGCAAGTTTCTCTTGGTCCCTAAAGCCACTCGCTAAGTGTCTAAGCATGAAACGTGAGTCCCGAGGGGAGTAGCAGACACGTTTTCATTCACTCCCCACCAAACCTGTCTCCTATGCCCATTTTACAAAGGAAGAAACTGAGGTATAGAGACTTCAAGGTAGGGGCCAGGTACCCTGGCTCTGCCGGCCTGCCTCTCAGCAGGGGCTTCAATGGTCTTGGTGGAATTACATTCGCACTGATGAATTCCATGTTGACTGTAGGTTCTCTTGTTCTCTGTCCTTTTTCTGAGAAACTGGGGAAGTTTGGTGTCTCAATCAGGGCAGTATCAGTCATCTTTCACTTTCTTCCCTGCCTTGCCTCTCCTTGGCCACACTAGGCTTCCGGGCCCTGCACCTCTTCCTGCACCCTTGTCACGCCATGCATCTGGGGGGAATTACACAAGCACAACTGTGCAGCCCCAGCCCCGTGAGATTTCTAGAGGGCAGTCCACAGGGGTACCTCCTATCAAACTTGCCCCGGGGCTCCGGCAGGCAGCTCCATGCCAGGCCCACAGCCCCTCAAGCTTCCACCCCGCCCCAGCCTCCAACTCTCAAATGACAAATGTGTTTCCTGTTTCATCAGGACAGGACATCGATGTCATCTGTAACTTCCGGTGCACTGGGGCACACAGCTGCATATCGCCACGGTCACCTCCTGCCTCCCAACCTGCCCAGTTTGAGGACTTAGCCTTAATCACCTCCTCCAGGATAAGAACATCCTACCCCCATCTATCCATCCAACCCACCCATCCATCCCCGCCTCTGTGCATGCATCCATCCATCCATCCATCCCCGCCTCTGTGCATGCATCCATCCGTCCATCTATCCCTACCTCTGTGCATGCATCCGTCCATCCATCCATCCATCCATCCCTGTCTCTGTGCATGCATCCGTCCGTCCATCCATCCCTGCCTCTGTGCATGCATCCGTCCGTCCATCTATCCCTGCCTCTGTGTATACATCTGTCCATCTATCCATCCCTGCCTCTGTGCATGCATCTGTCCATCCATCCATCCCCGCCTCTGTGCATGCATCCGTCCATCTATCCCCGCCTTTGTGCATGCATCCGTCCATCCATCCCCGCCTCTGTGCATACATCCGTCCATCCATCCATCCCTGCCTCTGTGCATGCATCCGTCCATCCATCCATCCCCGCCTCTGTGCATGCATCTATCCATCCATCCATCCATCCATCCATCCATCCATCCATCCATCCCCGCCTCTGTGCATGCATCCGTCCATCCATCCATCCCTGCCTCTGTGCATGCATCCGTCCATCCATCCATCCCTGCCTCTGTGCATGCATCCGTCCATCCATCCATCCCTGCCTCTGTGCATGCATCCGTCCATCCATCCATCCCTGCCTCTGTGCATGCATCCGTCCATCCATCCATCCCTGCCTCTGTGCATGCATCCGTCCATCCATCCATCCCTGCCTCTGTGCATGCATCCGTCCATCCATCCATCCCTGTCTCTGTGCATGCATCCGTCCATCCATCCATCCCTGCCTCTGTGCATGCATCTGTCCATCCATCCATGCCTGCCTCTGTGCATACATCCGTCCGTCTGTCCATCCATCCCTGCCTCTGTGCATGCATCTGTCCATCCATCCATCCCTGCCTCTGTGCATGCATCTGTCCATCCATCCATGCCTGCCTCTGTGCATGCATCCGTCCGTCCATCCATCCCCCATCCCTTTCTTTGTATCAGCTCATCCAGTGTTGAGTGTTCAGGACTCCCTCATCCTAAGATGCTCATTGGACCCATTCCCTCCCCACTCCCATGCTGCACTCTCTTCTCCCTTCCCGGTCAAGTTCTCCAGCCAGTGGTCTCAACACAATCTTCACTTCCTCTGCTCTTCTCACACCTACCCCCACTGTGGCCTAAATTCTTCCCAACCTGCTGGGCTTCCAGGCACTAAAAAAGTCACTTTGTCCCTGGATGACCAAACACAGGCCCATGTAACTTACTGGCTTATCTGCTGCCCCAGCCTGGGCTGACCACTTCCTCCTTCACTCTTGTTCTTGATCACCTTGGGGCTCAGTCTTTCTCCCTCTCTGTTGAGTCCTCCTCCCCTGCCACCTACCGCTGTGTGGTGGGGTTCTCCATAGCTCTGCACCTGAACGTCACGTTCCACCCTTTCTTCCCAGAAGCTCGCCAACCCCCATGGACTGCTGGCTCTCAAGGCGGCCGCTAGCCCAGCTCCGACAGCAGTTGGCAATGCACAGCGTGCGGCCCGGCCCAGGCCCTGTGCTGAGCGGTGAGGGTGAATCATTTATTTCATCAGCAAGCCCACTCCGCCAGCAGCCACCACTCTTATCGAATTTCTCAGGCGAGGAACCTGAGCACATTGAGGCTAAGGAAGTAGTTCTTTACAAGAGGAAGTTCCCTGACTTACTTGAGTTCAACTTTGAAGCCCGCGTTCTTTTTTTCTTTCTTTTTTATGACAGGGTCTCACTATGTCACCAAGGCTGGAGTGCAGTTGTGCGAACACAGCTCATTGCAGCCTCAACCTCCCCAGCTCAAGCAATCCTCCTCTCTTAGACTCCGCAGTAGCTGACTCTACAACTATGTGCTACCATGCCCAGCTGAAGCCCATATCTTTCTTTCTTTCCTCTTTCTTTCCTTCCTTCCTTCCTTCCTTCCTTCTTTCTCTTTCTTTCTTTCTTTCTTTCCTTCCTTTCCTTTCCTTTCCTTTCCTTTCTTTTCTTTTCTTTTCTTTTCTTTCTTTTTTGATGGAGTCTTGCTCTGTTGCCCAGGCTGGAGTGCAGTGTCGGGATCTTGGCTCACTGCAACCTCCACCTCCTAGGTTCAAGCAATTCTTCTGTCTCAGCGTCCTGAGTGGCTGGGATTACAGGCAGGCACCACCACACCCAGCTAAGTATTATGTTTTTAGTAGAGGCGGGGTTTCACTATATTGGTCAGGCTGGTCTCGAACTCCTGACCTCAGGTGATCGGCCCGCCTCAGCCTCCCAAAGCGCTGGGATTACAGGTATGGGCCAGTGTGCCCAGTCTGAAACCTGTATCTCAATGCTGCAGCACACAGCCTCCCCAGCCTTTGCCTCACCCAAACCCAGACAGGGCCTAGACACCTTCCCCGGCTGCCCCCTTTCCCGGTTACTCAGGCTCTCCAGCAGCCCACAGCCAATGCATTTAACATGAAGCTACAATTCAGGGGTCCTCAGGCAGGACCACCTCCCCTGAATTGCTAGCCCTGCTGCAGAGCTCCCAGAGGATCAGGCTCCTCTCCAGCCGAGACCACATCCTCACTCAGCTTCTGGGCTGTTTCTGCCTCCCATTCCGCTCAGCACATGGCCCCCAAGAAAGTGCTGGCACAAGAATTTCCGTCTGGAGCTCCACCTCTGGGGAACCTGACCTCAGATAGAGGAGTCCAAACTCTAGGGCAGGATCCTCAGCTTCCCATGCCCACTTGCAGGGCCAGCCCGGGCACGCTGCAGACTCCCATCCAGACCAGCACGTGTGCCGGGTTTCTGCCAGCCGGCTCCTCCCGCTCCCGCTTCCCCACCTGCATTCCCACCTGCATTAACAGCCATCCTCCAAGGGCCTTAACCTCATTGCCCCTGTCCCAGAATCCAGCCAGATCTCAATCCTAACCCTGTGTAACTAATCCAGTGTCCCTGAGGAGAGCAGAACCCTGTCTGTCTTGTCCTGTGCTAGTAGACATTTAGTGTGTATGTGTGGATATTCATACACATGTACATACATATATATATAATTTTTTGAGATGGAGTTTTGCTCTTGTTGCCCAGGCTGGAGTACAGTGGCACAATCTCGGCTCACTGCAACCTCTGCCTCTCAGGTCCAAGTGATTCTCCTGCCTCAGCCTCCCAAGTAGCTGGGATTACAGGCACCCACCACCACACCTGAGTAATTTTTTGTATTTTTAGTAGAGACTGGGTTTCACCATGTTGGTCAGGCTAGTCGAACTCCTGACTTCAGGTGATCTACCCACCTCAGCCTCCCAAGGTGCTGGGATTACAGGTGCGAGCCACTGGGCCCAGCCGATATTCGTATATATATATATATATATATTGAGGCAATGAAATCACCTCTTTCAGGAAGTCTGCCCTTGCCCAAGAGCTTTAAACCAACATCTCTGAGCCCCTGCAGGCGTGAGGACTTCCTCTGCTGGGATTCTGTGCAGCTGTGTCACTGTAGGTGTTGTCATTGCCAGTCACTCTTCTGACTCAGCTGCTGGGCAAAGATGTGTTTTTGTCTCTGTAACCCCCAGCCTCGGCCGACAGGCCTTTGTGATGGCTCATTATGGTGTCAGTTTGGCCTGGCTGTTGTGCCAGCTGGTTGGTGAAACACCAGCCCAGATGCTGTGGTGAAGGTGCTTGGTAGGTGCAATTTACATCTATAATCAGTTGACTTTAAGTAAAGCGGATCACACTCCATAGTGTGGCTGGGGCTGGGGGTGGGGGGGGGCACAGACACTCAGTTAGTTCAAGGCCTTAAGAGCAAAACTAAGGGCCGGGCGCGGTGGCTCACGCCTGTAATCCAAGCACTTCAGAGGCCAAGGCGGGCGAATCACCTGAGGTTGGGAGTTCAAGACCAGCCTGACCAACATGGTGAAACCTCATCTTTAAAAAGTAAAATAAAATAAAGAGCAAAACTAAGGTTTCCTGGAGAGCAAAAAATTTTGCCTCCGGACTATAACTGCCTAACAAATTTTGGATTTGCTAGCTCCTACAGTCCTCGTGAGCCAATTCCTTAAAATAAATCTCTTTACACACACACACACACACACACACACACACAGACACACAGACACACAGACAGATACACACACACACATACACAGACACACACAAGACACAGACACACACACACAGACACACACATAGACACACAGGCACACACCACACACAGACACACACATAGACACACAGACACACACACACAGACACAAGACACACAGACACACAAGACACACACACAGACACACAGACACACACACACACACACACATCCTATTGGTTCTGTTTCTCCGGAGACCCCAGTTCATAGAGCGCCCCCCATCAATAAATATAATTAAACCTAATTCTTGGCCAGGAGTGCTGGCTAATGCCCATAATCCCAGGGCTTTGGAAGGCCAAGGTGGGAGGATCACTTGAGCACTTGAGCCCAGGAGTTCAAGACCAGCCTGGCAACACAGTGCTACAAAAAATTTTAAAATTCGCCAGCTGTGGTGGTGCACACCTGTGGTCCTGGCTACATAGGTGGCCGAGGAGGGAGGATCACCTGAGCCCAGGAGGTGAAGGCTGCAGTGAGCCGTGACCATGTCACTGCACTCCAGCCTGGGCAACATAGTGAGACCCTGTTTCTACAAAAAGTAAAACAAATAGGCAGGTATGGTGCACCAGTGATCCCAGCTACTCTGGAGACTGAGGTGGGAGGATCGCTTGAGCCCAGAAGTTCAAAGCTCCAGTGAGCTATGATTGCACCACTGCGCTCCAGCCTGAGCAACGGAGCGAGATCCTGTCACTTAAACAAAACACACAACAGAAAACAGATTCTTAAGACCAGACGGGAAGAGGATCTCTCATAAGAGAGGAGATTTTACCTTTCGATCCAAAAGTCCAGGTCTCCTCATCGTCAAAGTGAGTGTCCCCAGAGATGGGGTGCTCCCCGGGGAAGAAGGCATGGGCTAGAGTGCCCCCTACCCCATCGAAGGGGTAGCTGTCCTGGTGGAAGGCACTGGCAAAGTCGACGAGGATGTCAGGCTCCTGGCCCTGAGGGGAATCCACCTCATGGAATTTGAGATCTGTCTCCATGCCCCAGGCCATCAGGGCATAGTTCATGAGGACCCGCACGGTCTCTGGCCTCAGCTGGGAACTCTGGGGGAAAGAACGCACCCTGGGGAGAGGGGAGCGAGGCATAAGGGCGGCTGTGGAGGGTGCAGGCAACCATTCAAAGCTGGGGCCCAGCAGGCCGACCCAGGGTGCAGGTGACCCAGCGACCCACCTCCATGTCAGGGTGCGCTTCTTCCACACGCTGCCGCTCAGAGCGTACCGGCGCCGCCGCCTGACCAGCCCAGCCACTCCCAGCACGTCAGGCAGGGAGCAGCGGGGCTTACGCATGGTGGCCACAGTCCTTGGGTCTGCGGGAGACATTTGGCAGGGGAGGGTCCACAGTAGGAGAGCCTGCTTAATCATGGCACCAGTCAACTTTCTACATGGGAAAACTGAGGGTCAGAGGGGTTAAGAAATGGCCAGGCGTGGTGGCTCACACTTGTAATCCCAGCACTTTGGGAGGCTGAAGTGGGCAGATCACAAGGTCAGGAGTTCAAGACCAACCTGACCAACTTGACGAGACCCCCGTCTCTACTAAAAATATAAAAATTAGTCGGTTGTGGTGGTCCGTGCCTGCGATCCCCACTACTCAGGAGGCTGAGGCAGGAGAATCACTTGAACCTGGGAGGTGGAGGCTGTAGTGAGCCGAGATCGCGCCATTGCACTCTAGCCTGGGCAACAGAGGAAAACCCCGTCTCAAAAAATAAAAATAAATGGAAGAAATGTGCCAGTAAAAGGTCCACAGCCCAGATTTGACCCCAGGCAGTTGGTATCTGGAAGCCAGCTCGTACCAAGCCATTACCACTGCCCTTCAGAGTGGCCTGGGACAAACTGGATGCATCCAGGTGGTGCTCAGAGACTCAGGCCAGGACCTGGAATCCAGCTTCTCTGGGTCCTGGTGGGCGGAATCTGCAGAAAGGAGCTATGGGTAGGTGGTGAGGACCCTTTGAGGCTGGAACCCCCTGGGAGCTGTGCAGCCCTCACACTATCACTGCCAAATTCTTAACCCAGATTAAGTCCAAAGTCCCCAGGCCGACAGGGTCTCTGGCCTCCTGCAAGCCACTCCTCCCGGGTTAGGTCTCCCCGGGGTCCCCTTTCCCAGCCGGTCTTCATCTCCAGTAGCCTCATCTCCAAATTGAGGTCAAACCGCCTCATTTGTTGAGGCAGCAAACGGTAATGAAGAGCATGTAGCTGCCAGACACTGCTCTAGTTGGTCACGAGTCACCAGGACAGAGAAAGGGCCTGCCTTTCCTTGTAGTGAGGCAGATCCTTCAAATTCCTCTCCCTGCCCACTTAACCCCACAGAAGAGTCCTGCCTCCAAAATATACACCCTGAATCTAACTGCTCCTGGCCTCATCTGCTACCGGTTCTCCTGCCGCCATCCCTCCCCTGGACTCCGTAGCCGCCTTCTGCCTGGTCTCAGAGGTCCCGCTTCCATTCTGCATCGGGACCCATAGGAAGCTTAAAACCACAAGTCAAGGCCAGATGCAGTGGCTTGTGCCTGTAATCCCAGCACTGTGGGAGGTCAAGGAGAGAGGATCCCCTGAGGTCAGGAGTTCAAGACCAGCCTGGCCAAAATGGTGAAACCTCATCTCTAATAAACACAAATAATTAGCAGGATGTGGTGGCGCGCGCCTGTAGTCCCATCTGCTCCGGAGGCTGAGGCACGAGAACCACTTGAACCTGGGAGGCAGAGGTAGCAGTGAGCTGAGATGGCACCACTGCACTCCAGCCTGGGTGACAGAATGAGATTCTATCTCAAAAGGCCGGGCTCGGTGGCTCACACCTGTAATCCCAGCACTTTGGGAGGCTGAGATGGGTGGATCACGAGGTCAAGAGATCGAGATCATCCTGGTCAATATGGTAAAACCCTGTCTCTACTTTAAAAAAAAAATTCAATAATTAGCTGGGTGTGGTGGTGTGCGCCTGTAGTCCCAGCTACTGGGAGGCTGAGGCAGGAGAACTGCTTGAACCCGGGGGGTGGAAGTTTCGGTGAGCCGAGATTGCGCCATTGCACTCCAGCCTGGGTAACAAGAGCGAAACTCCGTCTCAAAAAAAAAAAGCAAGTCAGACCCAGTTCCAAGTTGCTTCGCTTCTGAGAACACTTGGGAGTTGCTAATCACCCTTGAAATCAACCCCAATCCCCTCCCAGGGCCCCTGGCTGAGGCCTCTCACCAGAGCTCTTCAATGCTCCTTTCACTCCAGGTACACCAGCTTGTGCGTGCCACGGGGCCTTTGCACTTGCCTGGCACACCCTTCTTCCACACCTTCCCGTGGCTGGTTCTTAGCTATTGTCTCAGCTCATGTACCTTTCAGAGAGACCTGCCCTAACCAGACCAGCTCCTCGATGCCAAGAGCATTTAACTTTTTTCCACACACTCGCCACTACCTGAAATTATCTTGTATATTTATGTTCTTGATCTGTCTCTCTCTCCCTTGAGAAAGTTCCATGAGTAGATAAGTAGAGCCTTATCTACTCTACTCATCACTATACCAGTGGGGCCTGAAACGGCGTGGCTTCTGAGATATGCTCAAAGTATATTTTGTTATATATTTGTCTCCATTTGTTGCCCAGGTTGGAATGAGGTGGTACAATCATAGCTCATTGTAGCCTTGAACTCCTGGGCTTAAGCAATCCTCCCACCTCAGTGTTCTGAGTAGCTGGGACCACAGGCCTACGCCACTACACTCAGCTAAGTTTTAAAAAATCCTTAGAGATGGGGATCTTGCTTTGTTGGCCAGGCTTGTCTCAAACTCCTGGCCTCAAGCAATCCGAAAGCCTTAGCCTCCCAAAACCTGGGATTAAGGCATAAGCCACCAGGTTCTTGATAAATGCCTGAGACCCTCTGGGGTTGGGGCCTGAGAGCAGAATCTTCCCAGCTCCGTGTTCCAGGAGCAGCTGAGGTCTGAGACTGTTGGGTGGTGGTCAGGCTGGGTGCAGAGGCCGGGCTGGGGAGGGGCGGGGCCACCTACCCATCAGGCCAGTCTCTGGTAGCCCCGCGAACCTCTGCATGACCTTGATGGCATCGCTCAGCTTCTCAGGGCTCTGCAGCTGGGCCTGGGCAGGGTCGGGTGGCGGCAGGTAACCATAGCGCGTCAGCCACTCCTAATGCATCGGAGGGGACAGGTGAAGCGGGCTGGGTGAAAAGCATGGGGTATCCCTGCCCACCAGCATCCTAGCAGCCCTGCCCCTCCCAGGCACCCAGAGCCCAGGGCCTCAGCCCGGATGTCCGCCTGCTTCCCTCTAGAGGTCCTCGCTTCAGTCCCGAGTTTGCCAGTCTTTGTCTGGACTTCAGCTCCTCACCCCAGCTCCCTTCCAGAGCTCCAAATCCCAGTCCCAAACCTCCCGACAGACCCAAGAATCCGGGCGCCCAGATCCCATCCTCGGTCACTCTGTATATTGTAATTTGGCTCCTGCCTCCTCGGGACCCAGGAGTCCGGGCCCAGCTTCCCTCTCCCAGCCTCCTTGCAGATCCCAGGAGCCTGCGGACCCCGCGCTCACCACGCCCAGGCTCACGTCCTGCGCCGATGGCTTCGAGGCGCGCGCTGGCGGCAGCAGCAGCGGCAGCAGCAGCGCCAGGAGCCGGAGCCTCAGCCGCAACCGCAGCACCTGCAGCCGCATGGCGCGCCTCAGCTCCGGCCGCCTGCGGGGCTCGAAGGTGGCCTGGCCGGGGCCGCCCCGGGGACCTGGGGGAGGAGATCCGGGCTTGGAGAGGGTCGGGGGCACCCGGCGCGGAGTAGGGAGGGAAGCACTGGAGGGCTGGGTGTGTCCGGGGGTCCCGGGAAGCGCGCAATGGAGTCAGCGGAGGGTACAAGAGGTCCCGGGTCAAGCCGCCGGCTCGGGTGGGCCCGGGAATCCCAGGACGGCTGAGAGGGCGCAGGAACGGCGGAGGTCCGGATTTGCCGCGGCGGCCTCTCCGGGTCCCGGGGCGCTGCGCCGGCTGCCCCTCCTCTCCCGGCTCGTGCAGAGGACTGGGTGGGGCGGGCCGGGCGCACCCGGATAAGCAGTAAGGGCGCGGCAAGGAAAATGGCCCAATCTTCGGACGTCCAGCGACAAGGGGCGGGGCAAGCGGTGGCCCCCGCCCCGACCCAGGGACCCTCCTCCGACGGAGGACGCCCCGGGGGTGGCGGGTTCACGGCTTCAACTTCGTCGTCCGCAAGTTTCTCTTCCCAGATCCCCGCTCCCGTGGGACTCCCCGGGGCAGGACTCGTTTCTGCTTTCTCGAAGTCGCGCGGCCGGAAAGAGGGCGTCTCGGACCTCTGGCTCGGCCAGCCCTCCCCATCCCCGCATCCCTCCCCGCCTTCTTCCCCTAGGACCCCATGGTGCTGGTCTTTTGAGAGCTGGGGGGATTTCCGGGCAGCTGGAGGCTGGGAAGGAAGCCTCCTTCCCCGCGGGGTCCCGGCCAGCCGCCCTCCCAGCCAGCTCCAGCTGTGCGCGGTTGCGGCTGCCAGAGGGCCGGATACTCAGTCCCCCAGCCCACGTGGGCTGCGCGCCCGGCTCGGCCTAGGCACGCGGGGGTTTGGGCCCCTCTAGGTCCCGGGGGCGGGGGCTGCTCCATGACTGCGCCCTTCTCCCCACGTGGGCTGCGCGTCCGGCTCGGCCTCGGCACGCGGGGGTTTGGGCCCCTCTAGGTCCCGGGGGCAGGAGCTGCTCCGTGACTGCGCCCTTCTCCCCACGTGGGCTGCGCGCCGGGCTCGGCCTTGGCACCCGGGGTTTGGGCCCCTCTAGGTCCCGGGGGCGGGGGCTGCTCCGTGACTGCGCCCTTCTCCCCACGTGGGCTGCGCGCCGGGCTCGGCCTTGGCACCCGGGGTTTGGGCCCCTCTAGGTCCCGGGGGCAGGGGCTGCTCCGTGACTGCGCCCTTCTCCCCACGTGGGCTGCGCGCCGGGCTCGGCCTTGGCACCCGGGGTTTGGGCCCCTCTAGGTCCCGGGGGCAGGGGCTGCTCCGCGCCTGAGCCCTTCTCCCCACGTGGGCTGCGCGCCGGGCTCGGCCTTGGCACCCGGGGTTTGGGCCCCTCTAGGTCCCGGGGGCGGGGGCTGCTCCGCGCCTGCGCCGGTCTCCCCAGGTGCCAGACATTTAAATGCAGCAACCACTGCGCGGAAGCCGCCGCTCAGGTCTGTGCCGGGAGCCGGGTACAGGGGAGTGGATGGGCGGGCAGCGGAGTTCCGGGAAGCAGAGACCTGGGGGTCTGCGAGCCGCCCCCTCCCGCGCCCACAGCACGGGGCTGGGAGGCCCGGCAGCTGGGGAAGGAACTGGAGGAAGCGGGCGGGAGGCTTCCTGGCGAGGCGACTGTGAGTTAAGCTGCTCAGTCCTGGAGCAGCTGGGGGCCGCCGCCCGGGCTGCCCGCGAACACAGCGAGCAGGATGCGGAGCTGGAGACGCAGAGGCGAACACCGCGACCCCGTGCCCGCTCGCTGGGGCGCCGGAACAAAACCGCGGACTGGGAGGCTCAACCCGAACTTCACGTTCTCACGGTTCTGGAAGCTGAAAGTCCAAGATCAAGGTGCCCGCGGGGCGGGTATCTCCTGAAGCCGCCTCCGGGGCGGGCAGAGGGCGTCCTCTGGCTGTTTCCCCACACGGTCCCCCCAGGTGTCTCGACCTCCTTTTTTTTGGTGGGAGGCTGAACGGAGCCTTGCTGTCTCCCAGGCTGGAGTGCGCTGGCCCGATCTCGGCTTACGGCAGCGTCTTACTCCTAGGCCCAGGCAGTCCTCCCACCTCAGCCTCTTGGCCCAAGCCACCATCCCCATCTGTTTTTTTGGTGGAGACGGGGTCTCACTATGTTGCTCAGGGGTTCTTGAACTCCTAGGTTCAACCAGTTCTCCTGCCTCAGGCTCCCAAAGCGCTAGGATTACAGGGATTACAGGTGTAAGCCGCCACCCCCGGTCCATCTAAAATTTTGAGAGGGCACAATTTATTCCATAACAGATTCCATGTTTGTTATCAGATTGGCAACATTTTAAAGTCTGACAATGGCAAGTATTGGACAGGTGTGGCCCCGATGAAAGTCGAGCTCTAGCCAGGGTGTGGTGGCTCACACCTGTCATCCCAGCACTTTGGGAGGCCATGGCAGGATGATCCTTTGAGGCCAGGAATTTCAGAGACCCAGCCTGGGCAACATACTGAGACGCCATTTATTTATTTATTATTTATTTATTTATTTATTTCTCTCTCTCTCTCTCTCTCTTTCTTTTTTTTCTGAGATGGAGTTTCACTCTTGTTGCCGAGGCTAGAGTGCAGTGGTGCGATCTCGGCTCACTGCAACCTCCACCTCCGGGGTTCAAGCAATTCTCCCACCTCAGCCTCCCAAGTAACTGAGATTACAGGTGGACGCTGCCTCGCCTAGCTAATTTTTTCCATATTTCAGTAGAGAGGGATCTCACCATTTTGCCCAGGCTGGTCTCGAACTCCTGACCTCAGGCAATCCACCCACCTCAGCCTCCCAAAGTTCTAGGATTAGAGGCATGAGCCACCTTGAGCACCTCTAAGACCTCATTTCTACCAAAAACAGAATGAAATTGATGCTCTGCAGGATGGGCAGCATTTGTTCATATAGAAATAAAGAGAAATTACCCTCTGCAGATAGAAGGATGTTTTGTGATTTATCCTAAGCCCCAAATTCGTTTTTTTGGTTTTTTTGATGGAGTCTCTCTCTGTCGCCCAGGCTGGAGTGCAGTGGCTCTATCTCTGCTCTATCTGCTCACTGCAACCTCCACCTCCCAGGTTCGAGTAATTCTCCTGCCTCAGCTTCCAGTGTAGCTAGGACTACAGGTTTGCACTGCCACGCCTGGAGTATGTTAGTAGAGACAAGGTGTTACCATGTTACCCAGACTGGTCTGGAACTCTTGAGCTCATTCAATCCACCCACCTCGGCCTCCCAAAGTGCTAGGATTACAGGCATGAGCCACCACATCCAGTCCTTTTTTTATTTTTTGTTTTGGAGACAGAGTCTCTTGTCGCCCAGGCTGGAGTGCAATGGCGTGATCTTGGCTCACTGCAACCTCCACCTCAGGGGTTCAAGCAATTCAAGGAGGGGCTTTTATTGTGGTTAGTGGATAAAGTGGGATGAGGGTCCCTTCCAACCAGCCATGGTTTTCCTAATTTAAATTTCTCTCTAGGGTGAGGGAGAGAGCAGCAGGACCTTCAGATCAGCCTGCCCTGCTGTGGGCACAGGAGAAGAGATAGGCTTCATAGCTGTCAGCAGTAAAACATCAGAAAGGGAGTCAGACCCTTTATTACCTAGTATAAATTAAAACCTATGCTTTAGGCCATGTACAGTGGCTCACCCTGTAATCCCAGCACTTTGGAAGGCCAACACATGCAGATTGCTTGAACCAGGAGTTCGAGACCAGCCTGGGCAACGTAGTGAGACCCTGTTTCTACGAAAAATACACAAATTAGCTGGGAGTGGTGGTGCACACCTGTAGTTCCAGCTACTTGGTAAGTTGGGGCAGGAGGATCACCTGTGCCTAGGACATCGAGGCTGCAGTGGGCTGTTACTGCACCACTGCACTCCAGCTAAGCGACAGAGTGAAATCCTGCCTTAAAAATAAGTCAGCCGGGCATGGTGGCTCACACCTGTAATCCCAGCACTTTGGGAGGCCAAGGTGGGTGGATCACTTGAGGCCAGGAGTTGCAGACCAGCCTGGCCAAGCTGGAGAAACCCCATCTCTACTAAAACTGCAAAAAATTAGCTGAGTGTCGTGGCATGTGCCTGTAATCCCAGCTACTGGTGAGGCTAAGGCGCTCACTATGTTGTCCAGGCTTGTGTTGGACTCCTGGGCTTAAGTGATCCTCCCGCCTCAGCCTCCCAGAGTGCTGAGATTACAGGAATGAGCCACTGCTCCTGGCCACAAATTGTTGTCATAAGCCTCTAAATTGTAGAGTACGGGTGATGCCACAAGACATTATTGAAACTCTCACCCACCGATTTCACTTGTAGGTAGGTGACAGAGTGGGGTTCTACCCATGTGTCTTTGGAGATCTGTGTACAAGGGCATCCTCTCATACTCCTACGAGAAATGGCCGTGGAGAAACAGTAGGAGTTTTTTTTGTTTTGTATTATTTTATTTTTGTTTGTTTGTTTGCTTGTTCCTTTCATTTATTAGTTTTTCTTTGTGGTATTTTGTGGGGGGGTTGTTTGTGTGTTGGTTTGTTTCTGAGATGGAGTTTCGCTCTTGTTGCCCAGGCTGGAGTGCAATGGCACGATCTCGGCTCACCGCAACCTCTGCTTCCTGGGTCCAAGCAATTCTCCTACCTCAGCCTCCCAAGTACCTGGAATTACAGGCGCGCACCACCACGCCTGGCTAATGTTTTGTATTTTTAGTAGAGACAGGGTCTCTCCATGCCGGTCAGGCTGGTCTGGAACTCCTGACCTCAGGTGATCCACCCGCCCTGGCCTCCCACAGTGCTGGGATTACAGGCGTGAGCCACCTCGCCTGGCCTTTTCTTTGTGTTTTGGGGGATTTTTCTGTTTATTTTTCACCTTCTTTTTGTTTCGTTTTGTTTTTTCCTAGGAGTTTAAACATGGGATGGAACTACAGAGTGATTAGGAAAACAAGCTCAATCCAGATGCATTCTCCTGGAGAGATCTCAGGATATTTCTTTTCTTAGACAGGGTCATGTTCTGTCACCCATGCTGCAGTCCAGGGGTGCAATCATAGCTCATTGCAGCCTCTGTCGAGCCTCTCGGGCTCAATGGATCCTCCTGCCTTGGCCTCCCGAAGCATTGAGACTACAGGAAGAAACCACTGGGCATGGCCTCAGAAACACTTCCGAAATAAGTGCCTGAATTCTTCAAATGTGAATGCCTGAAAGACACAGAAGAAGGCAAGGTGACTGTTTAAGATTAAATGAAACTAAATAGGGCTGGGTGAGGTGGCTCTCGCCTGAAATCTCAGCACTCTGGGAGGCCGAGGTGGGTGGATCAGCTGAGGTCAGGAGTTCAAGACCGGCCTGGCCAACAGGGCAAAACCCCGTCTCTACTAAAAAATTAGCCTGACGTGGCGGTAGGTGCCTGTAATCCCAGCTACTCCAGAGGATGAGGCAAGAGAATCACTTGAACCCCGGAGTCAGAGGTTGCAGTGAGCTGAGATCAAGCCATTACACTCTAGCCTGGGTCTCAAAAAAAAAAAAGGCCGGGTGAGATGGCTCACGCCTGTAATCCCAGCATTTTGGGAGGCCGAGGTGGGCGGATCATCTGAGATCAAGTGTTCAAGACCAACCTGACCAACATGAGAAACCCCATCTCTACTATAAATACAAAAATTAGCCAGGCGTGGTGGCAGGAGCCTGTAGTCCCAGCTACTCAGCAGGCTGAGGCAGAAGAATCACTTGAACTCGGGAGGCAGAGGTTGCACTGAGCCAAGATTACACCATTGCACTCCAGCCTGGGCCACAAGAGTAAAACTTCGTCTCAAAAATAAGCATTAGCATGCATTGTGGTGCACACCTATAATCCCAGCTACTCAGGAGGCTGAGGCAGGAGAATCGCTTGAACCCTAGAGGCAGAGGTTGCGGTGAGCTGATTGTGCCACTGCACTCCAGCCTGGGCAACAGAAAGAGACTCTGTCTCAGAAGAAACACGGAGACAGGGTCTTGCTCTGTTGCCCCGGCTGGAGTGCAGTGGCCATCCCAAGGCTCCATCACAGCACACTGCAGCCTCCAATTCCTGGAGAGTTGGAAAGAGAAAAGGAAAAAAGGAAGCAGAGCGGTGATTGCCAAGGGTTGGGGCGGGGAAAGAGATTGACTGCAAAGGGGCAAGGACAAGTTTTTGGGGTGATTCATCATGATCGTAGTGGTAGTTACGTTGCCAAATATATTTGTCAAAACTCATCAATTGAAAGACATAAAATTGATGAATTTAATTACATGTAAAGTATTCCTCGTAGTGGGTTAACCTGCGTGTCCCGGGCTGGGAGAGGTGGGTCATGCCTGTAATCCCAGCACTTTGGGAAGCTGAGGCCAGTGGATTGCCTGACCTCAGGAGTTCGAGACCAGCCTGGGCAACATGGTGAAACTCCATCTCTACTAAAATAACAAAAATTAAGACTGGGCAAGGTGGCTCACACCTGTAATCCCAGCACTTTGGGAGGCTGAGGAGGGTGGATCACAAAGGCAGGAGATCGAAACCATCCTGCCTAACATGGTGAAACCCCCTCTCTACTAAAATACAAAAAATTAGCTGGGTATGGTGCCAGGTACCTGTAGTCCTAGGTACTCAGGAGGCTGAGGCAGGGGAATTGCTTGAACCCAGGAGGCAGAGGTTGCAGTGAGCCAAGGTTAAGCCATTGAACTCCAGCCTGGTGACAGAGGGAGACTCCGTCTCAAAAAATAAGAAGAAAAAGAAAAGAAAGAAAGAAAAAAAATTAGTCAGGCTGGCTGTGTGCACCTGTAATCCTGCTACTCAGGAGGCAGGAGAATTGCTTAAACCTGGGAGGTGGAGGTTGCAGTGAGCCTGTAGGGTCCAGCCCTGCAGGGTCCTGTGAGCCCCTCTCTACTGGTAAGGAGATGAGAAACTGTGGAAATAGACACAAGACACCGAGATCAAGAGAGAGTTTGGGCACAGGGTCCACTGCCAATCAAAGCGGGGAGTCCGGCAGTGGCCCCGAGTGCCTGGACGTGCTTTTACTGAGTACAAAGCAGGGGGCAGGGTAGGTAGGGTGAGGCACTGGTGGTCAGCGATAGGTGCCATGTAGATGGGGGTCCAGGACTTTCAAGTAGCTGAGATGAGGGAATGAACACTTTTCCATACTTGTCAAGGAAGAGCAAAGACATTAAGGTTTGTGTTACTTTTACTGATTTTATCTTCTAAGGAAAAGAGGAACCAGGTGCAGGAGCAGAACATGAGGGTGGACCTGGAAGGTGACCGTCGAAGCCCAGCCCCACACAGAGACAAGTAAGCCCCTGGATGTCTGTGGGCCTCTCTGACAGCCGTCAGGCCCACCGCAAGAGCTTGGGGGAGCCGAGTTTTCTCCTGGCTGCTCCGAGGAAGGACACTTCTCCGACGTCTTTTTCCATCGCTTGCTAAACAGTGGGCTCTTTCCCAGCACACAGCCAAGGCGCCCTCCAGCAGCCCTTACGCGGGTGTGACAGAGGGCTTAAAGCATCTTGCCTGAGGGTCACTTCTTTCATAATGTTACCTTAGGTTCACACTTCACCACCTGAGAGGTATTAGTAAAAGATTATGTTGAGTATATACATATCTTAATGATTACCTATGAATAACTAAGATCACCTATGAATAACTAGAATGGTTATATCTCTAGTTATTTATTTTTTTAATTTTATTTTTGAGACGGAGTTTCGCTCTTGTTACCCAGGCTGGAGTGCAATGGCGCCATCTCGGCTCACCGCAACCTCCGCCTCCTGGGATCAGGCAATTCTCCTGCCTCAGCCTCCTGAGTAGCTGGGATTACAGGCACGTGCCACCGTGCCCAGCTAATTTTTTGTATTTTTAGTAGAGATGGGGTTTCACCATGTTGATGGTCTCGATCTCTTGACCTTGTGATCCACCAGCCTCAGCCTCCCAAAGTGCTGGGATTACAGGGGTGAGCCGCCCCGCCTGGCCCTATCTCTAGTTATTTACTTTTTCATTATATATATGGGAATAGGCTGAGGCTTCTGACTCCTGCCTCAGCACCTACGGGGTCTCCCACCCACATGAGCCGAGATCACGCCACTGCAGTACAGTCTGGATGACAGGGCAAGACTCTGTCTCCAGAAAAAGAAAAAAAAAAAAAGTGTCCTCCCAAAAAAAAGGATAACCCCAGGTCTGCAAGAATGTGGCCTTATTTGAAAATAGGGTCTAGCCGGCGCAGTGGCTCACTCCTGTAATCCCAACACTTTGGCAGGCCAAGGTGGGTGCATCGCTCGAGCTCAGGAGTTTGAGAGCTCCTGTCAAGATGGTGAAACCCCATCTCTACAAAAAATACAAAAATTAGCCAGGCGTGGTGGTGCGCACCTGTGGTCCCAGCTACTGGGGAGGCTGAGACAGGAGAATCCCTTAAATCTGGGAGGCAGAGGTTACTGGGAGCCGAGATCTCGCCACTGCACGCCAGCCTGGGCGACAGAACGAGACTCCATCTTCAAAAAAGAAAATAAAAAAGAAAACAGGGTATTTGCAGGCATAAGTTAAAGATTTCAGGATGAAGGCCGGGCGCGGTGGCTCACGCCTGTAATCCCAGCACTTTGGGAGGCAGAGGCGGGTGGATCACAAGGTCAAGAGATCGAGACCATCCTGGTCAACATGGTGAAACCCCGTCTCTACTAAAAATACAAAAAATTAGCTGGGCATGGTGGCGCGTGCCTGTAATTCCAGCTACTCGGGAGGCTGAGGCAGGAGAATTGCCCGAACCCAGGAGGCGGAGGTTGCGGTGAGCCGAGATCGCGCCATTGCACTCCAGCCTGGGTAACAAGAGCGAGACTCCGTCTCAAAAAAAAAAAAAAAAAAAGATTCCAGGATGAGATCACCCTGGATTTAGGGTGGGCCCTAACTTCAATGGCCCACATTTTTTTTGTCTGCTTAAAAAAATATTTATTTCATTTTATTATTATTATTATTGTACCTTCTTTAAAGTAGTACCCACTTTTATTTTATCTTTTAAAGAGGCAGGGTCTCGCTATGTTGCCCAGGCTGGAGTGCAGTGGCTATTCACAGGTGCGATCCCACTACTGATCAGCACGGGAGTTTCGACCTGCTCCATTTCCGACCTGGGCCAGTTCACCCCTCCTTAGGCAACCTGGTGGTCCCCCACTCCCGGGAAGTCACCATATTGATGCTGAACTTAGTGCGGACACCCGATCGGCATAGCACACTACAGCCCAGAACTCCTGGGTTCAAGAGATCCTCCCACCTCAGCCTCCCGAGTAGCTTCGACTACAGGCACGCGCCACCGAGCCTGCAGTGACTGGCATCTTTATGAAAGAGGGTAAATTTGAGTCACAGACCGAGGAGAAGACCTAGAGGGGCAGGTTGTGTGAAAGTGGAGGCAGAGACTGGACTGACGCAGTCGGGAGGCAGGGAACACCGAGGAGTCCCTACAGTCTCCACGGCCGGGGAGAGGCGTGGGGTGGATTTGCTCCCTGAGAGGAGTCGGGGAAGGAACCAACCCCGAGTTCAGACTTCCGGCCTCCAGAACTGTGATACAATAATTTTCTGTTGTGTAAGCCCGGTTTGTGGTTTTTTTGGTTTCCCTCTTTTGTTTGGGACAGGGCCTCGCTCTGTCACCCAGGCTGGAGGGCAGTGGTGCAATCATGGCTCACTGCTGCAGCCCTGACCTCCTGGACTCAAGGGATCCTCCCACCTCAGCCTCCCGAGTAGCCGGGACAGCAGGCCTGTGCCACTGATTATTCTTTATTTTTGTAGAGACCGAGTCTCGCTGTTGTCCCGGGCTGGTGTGGCATTTTGCTACATCAGCCCTGGGAAGCTAATGCCTACCTCAATAGAGCCGATTGTTTTTTTCTTTTGAGACAGGGTCTTGCTCTGTCACCCAGGCTGGAGTACAGTGAGTGGCACAATCTCAGCTCACTGCAGCCTCTACTTCCTGGACTCGAGTGATGCTCCTGCCTTAGCCTTGTGAGTAGCTGGGACTGTAGGCACATGCCACTGTGCCCTGCTAATTTTGTACTTTTTGTAGAAATGGGTTTTTGCCATGTTGCCCAGGCTGGTCTTGAACTTCTGGCCTCAAGTAATCTGCCTGCCTCTGCCTAAAGTGTTGGGTTTACAGGTGTGAGCCACTGTGTCTGGCCAAAGCTTTTTTTTTTTTTTTTTTTTTGAGACGGAGTCTCGCTCTGTCACCCAGGCTGGAGGGCAGTGGAATGATCTCAGCTGAGTGCAACCTTCGCTCCCCGGGCTCAAGCAATTCTCCTGCCTCAGCCTCCCAAGTAGCTGGGATTACAGGACCCACCACCACACCTGGCTAATTTTTGTATTTTTAGTAGAGATGGGGTTTCACCATCTTTTTTTTTTTTTTTTGAGACGGAGTTTTGCTCTTGTTACCCAGGCTGGAGTACAATGGCAGGATCTCGGCTCACTGCAACCTCCACCTCCTGAGTTCAGGCAATTCTCCTGCCTCAGCCTCCTGAGTAGCTGGGATTACAGGCACGCGCCACCATGCCCAGCTAATTTTTTGTATTGTTTTTAGTAGAGACGGGGTTTCACCATGTTGACCAGGATGGTCTCAATCTCTTGATCTCGTGATCCACCCGCCTTGGCCTCCCAAAGTGCTGGGATTACAGGTTTGAGCCACCGCGCCCAGCCTGGGGTTTCACCATCTTGGCCAGGCTGGTCTTGAACTCCTGACCTCATGATCTACCCTCCTTGGCCTCCCAAAGTGCTGGGATTCAGGCGTGAGCCACCGCACCCGGCCTGATTTTTTTTTTCATAAGTGGGAGAAAACACTTGGAAACATAAGCCTACATCAACAGAACAAGTTGCAGACAATGGATTCACTGTGGAATATTTTATAGAAACCAAACAATACCACCTACTGTTCATGGACTCGTCACACGTCAGATAAGCCTGCAGGCACCTGGGTCTGGACCCAGGTTGTTTCTACCAGGCTGCCTCTGGAGAAGGCAGGGAAGAGAGGGGGGTTCTGCTGGCCTCTGGATGTCCAGCAGAGACTGCCCAAGGTACTGTGAGATCTGAGAAGGCTTCCCCAGGGACGAGGCCCCTCCTCAACTCCCAGCCAAGACTCAGAATCCCCCGGGGCTCAGTGGGTGGATGGAAAGGTAAGGAGGTCATTCCAAACTAAGCATCTGGGAAGCTGGCTTATTTAGGGGCCGGGCTGGAAAGCAGGTGAGGCAGGGTGACCATTTCTTTTTTTTGGAGTGGGGGAAGGAGCCTTGCTCTGTCACTCAGGCTGGAGTGCAGTGGCGTGATCTTGGCTCACTGCAACGTCTGCTGCCCGGGTTCAAGCAATTCTCCTGCCTCAGCCTCCTGAGTAACTGCCATGACAGGTGTGTGCCACCTCGCCAGGCTAATTTTTGTATTATTAGTAGAGACGGAGTTTCAGTATCTTGGCCAGGTTGGTCTTGAACTCATGACCTTGTGATCCACCTGCCTCAGCCGCTCAAAGTACTGGGATTACAGGTGTGAACCACCGTGCCCAGCCGATCCCTCTTTTTTTTTTGAGATGGAGTCTTGCTCCGTTGCCCAGGCTGGAGTGCAGTGGCACAATCTTAGCTCGCTGCAACCTCTGCCTCCTGGGTTCAAGCAATTCTGTCTCAGCCTCCTGAGTAGCTGGGATTAGAGGCGCCCAGCTAATTTTTGTATTTTTGGTAGAGACAGGGCTTCGCCATGTTGGTCAGACTGGTCTTGAACTTCTGAGCTTGTGATCCACCTACATTGGCCTCCCAAAGTGCTGGGATTACAGGAGTGAGCCACCGAACCCAGCCGATCCCTCCCTTCTTAACCAGTCATGTCCCAGTCTCCCCAGGGCTTCCCTGAGGCCCCTCTGTCTCTCCTATTCATTTTTCTCCTGGGATCAGCAGGGAGCCTAGAGGTGAGGGGAGGGCTGGGGGCCCCTGTGTGCTGGGTGGCCAGGACTGTTAAGCCCAACAGGGAGATGGAGGCCAGGAATGTTGGGTCCAGAGAAGACTGAGCACCAGATTCAAATATTCAAAGCCAGGCCCACTGGCTCGTGACTCAAATCCCAGCACTTCTGGAGACCAAGGCAGGAGGATTGCTTGAGGCCAGGAGTTGAGACCAGCCTAGGGAACATGGTAAGACCCCATCTCCACAAAAAATAAAAAGGTTAGCAGTGCATGGTGGCACCTGCCTGTAGTTCAAGCCACTCAGGAGGCTGACGCAGAAGGATCAAGAGTGTCTGAGGCTGAGAGCTAGGCATGCTGGGATGAGGGCTCTGCTGTGTACCCACAGACAAGTGACTTGGCCTCTCTGAGCCTGGCCTCCTCCTCTATGAATGGTGTGACCTCCTAGGGTTGCTGTGGATGAAATACCGGGTAGCATGCAGTGAGTCATCTCGGGGGCCATGCAGAGGATGACCAGCAAAGACGAAGCATTGGAACTTCACCCTCATTTAATCCTCACACCTGGCCGGGCATGGTGGCTCGAGCCTATGATCTCAATACTCTGGGAGGCCGAGGCGGGCAGATCACTTGAGGTCAGGAGTTTGAGAGCATTCTGGCCAACATGGTGAAACCCTGTCTCTACTAAAAATACAACAATTAGCTGGTTGTGGTGGTGCACACCTGTGATCCCAGGTACTTAGGAGGCTGGGGTGGGAGAAGAGCTTGAACCCGGAGGCAGAGGTTGCAGTGAACTGAGGTGGAGCCACTGCACTCCAGCATGGGAGACAGAGCGAGAATCCATCTCAAAAAAAAAAGAAAAAAGAAAGAAAAGAAATCCTCACATCCCTATAAGCTAGGAAATATCACCCACATTTTACAGATGGGGAAACTGAGGGCTGCAGAGGTTAATCAGCCGAAGGGCACAGGCACGCACATCTGGTATGTGGCCAGTTGGATCCTGAACTGCAACCATGTGAAGCCAGCAGCCGCGAGCCAAGCGCCTTTGCTGTACTGTTTTATTGGTTCATTTCTGGTTTATAGGTCTGCACTCCCTCCCACGACCTGGGTGGACTGTGAACCTTCTGGGAGTAGGGCTGTGATCATTTCCTCCCGGGCTGAGCCCAGCCTGGCAGGAGGTGCTCAAGATGTGCTAAGTGTGGGCGTGAGGAGGGCCAGGGTGACTGGCATCTGGAGGAGACACTAAGCTTATATTTCTGGAGGGTCACATGGCAGCACTCAGGGGAGGCTGGGATGTCTTCAGCCCTCCAGAGGCTGCCAGGCTGCTCCCACAGGTGCTGTGGGAGAAAGTGGCAGCCCTGCTGGGCAATGTGGCTCTAAGACAAGGCTCCAACTCCCCTACTCTCTGCTGGCAGAAAACTCTGTCCCAGCCCCAGGACCCAGAGGTCCCAGTTCCTAAGTCACCCCTCCAGGGAGTCCTTGCTTCCCTTTTCCCACAGGCCAGTAGTCCCAGCCCCCACCCTCCTGTTTTTTCTAGAACCCAGGTAAGCAGCCCCCAGGCCCCCAAGACTTACGAGTCCTGACTCCTAGACAGAAGTGCATGGAGCCAGCTGACACCAGCCGGCCGGAGCTGATGTGCACAGCCCCTTCCACCTCTGCACTCCATGATGCCAGGTGAGTAGCTGGAAGTCAGCGGAGGAGCAGGTATTGCATCATGGAAATTGGCAAATGCAATGAACCAGGGCTTCTATTTACCAGGGAGCCTGCTGTTAAACACTTGATGTATCATTGCTCCCAGGCCTCCTTCTGTCCTGCTCTCCAGGCCAGGAGCCCCTGTCACAAGGCCCAGGGAGCCCTGGAGTCTGGAGAGAATTGTGACAAGACACAAGGCTGTGGCTGGGCATCACTGCTGTCCACGCCATCCTGGGGCTGGACCTGGTCCCCAGCCCCAGACCCTACCATCTCCACACCAAGGCCCCTGTCCCAGACTAGAGTTGGTCCCCAGCTCTGCATAACTCAGGAACTGAGAGCTCCAGGTGTGGAGCCACACAGACTCTGGCGTGGCTATGGGCAAGTCACTTTAGCTGTCTGGGCTACAGTGTCCTCGTCTGCGGCATGGGAATCAGTGAACAGCATGACCCTAAAGCCATGCTTGTGCTATTCACCTTCAAGTTCTGCCCAAGGGACCCCAAGCAAGGTGGAGAACCCCCCGCGAGCCTCAGCTTCCTCATCTGTAAGATGGAACCCCAAGCAAGGTGGAGAACCCCACCCCGAGCCTCAGTTTTCATCTATAAGATGGGACTCCAAGCAAGGTGGAGAACCCCCCACGAGCCTCAGCTTCCTCATCTGTAAGATGGGACCCCAAGCAAGGTGGAGAACCCCCTTGAGCCTCAGCTTCCTCATCTGTAAGATGGGACCCCAAGCAAGGTGGAGAACCCCCTTGAGCCTCAGCTTCCTCATCTGTAAGATGGGACCCCAAGCAAGGTGGAGAACCCCCTTGAGCCTCAGCTTCCTCATCTGTAAGATGGGACCCCAAGCAAGGTGGAGAACCCCCTTGAGCCTCAGCTTCCTCATCTGTAAGATGGGACCCCAAGCAAGGTGGAGAACCCCCTTGAGCCTCAGCTTCCTCATCTGTAAGATGGAAGTTCCTTCTTATCAGGCCACCATAAAAGCCAACAAGTTGGATGGAGTGAGGTGGCTCACACCTGTAACCCCAGCACTTTGGGAGGCCGAGGTCAGGAGTTCGAGACCAGTCTGGCCAACACGGTGAAACCCTGTCCTACTAAAAATACAAAATTAGCAGAGTGAGGTGACACGTGCCTGTAATCCCAACTACTTGTGAGGCTGAGGCAGGAGAATCGCTTGAACCTGGGAGTGGAGGCTGCTGTGAGCAGAGATGGCGCCATTGCACTCCAGCCTGGGTGAGAAGAGTGAGATTCTGTCCCCCCCCCCCAAAAAAAAAGTCAACAGGTTACACCTATGAAATAGTTTACTTGGCCAGTAGCAGTGGCTGGTGCGTGTCATCTCGGCACTTTGGGAGGCCCAGGAAAGAGGATGCTTGAATCCAGGCGTTTGAGACCAGCCCTGGCAACATGGTGAAACCCCACCCCTACAAAAAGTCCAAAAATTAGCTGGTCATGGGTGGCCCGTGCCTGTAGTCCCAGCTACTGAGGAGGCTGAGGTGGGAGGATCGCTTGAGCCTGGGAGGTGGAGGCGGCAGTGATGGTGCCACTGCACTCCAGCCTGGGTGGCAGAGCAAGACATCATCTCTAAAACATAAAAAGAGTTTACTTAGCAGAGTGCTTAAGATGTCAGATACGGCCGGGCGCGGTGGCTCACGCCTGTAATCCCAGCACTTTGGGAAGCAGAGGCGGGTGGATCACGAGGTCAAGAGATCGAGACCATCCTGGTCAACAAGGTGAAACCCCGTCTCTACTAAAAATACAAAAATTAGCTGGGCATGGTGGTGCGTGCCTGTAGTCCCAGCTACTCGGGAGGCTGAGGCAGGAGAATTGCCTGAACCCAGGAGGCGGAGGCTGTGGTGAGCCGAGATCGCGCCATTGCACTCCTGCCTGGGTAACAAGAGCGAAACTCGTTGTCATTGCTAATCATTTCCCATCCCACAGGGCAAGGCAGTGGGGACGGGAAAGGACCTGCGGCCACCTCAATGTAGGATCTGCACGCAGTCGGTGAGCAGTTAACTGGCCGGGTCATTTGCAACCACAGCAGGATGGGGCAGTGCCCCCCAGCCGGGTGGAAGCGACTCTCCCTCCACCCGCCCGGCCATACCGGCCCCTCCCGCGGCCCCGCCCCTTCACCTGTGCTGGCCGCGCACCTGGAGCCGCCTCCGGAAGAGGGGACGGGAGACCTCGGAGGGAGCCCGGCGGCTTCGGGTGAGAGCCTGGGGGACGCCGAGGGCCGGGACCCTCGAGCTTGGGGAGGGACCGGTCTGGCCGCGTCGGCGGAGAAAATGGGGGAGCCGGGGCGGGGGCTGGGGAACCGGGATCGCCGGGGAACCAGGGGCGGGAACTCAGCCGTCGCGGGTGAGCGCAGCCCCTTCTCCAGGTTTCCAACGCCTGGGGCCGGGGGTCGCGGGGGCTGGAGGCCCAGACACCTGGGCAGCTACGTGCGGGAGGGGATGGGGAGGAGTCTTCAGGTCCGGGTCTCTGGGGTGGAGGGGGCCGGGGCGCGGGTCCGCGGGGGCCGAGTCGGGGAGATCCCCGGGAGCAGCCTGGGGGCGGCTGGGCTGGGACCACCGTGACGTTCAGGTGCTGCGAGCAGGGCTGCGCTTGGACACCGGGCGAGAGGAGCAGGGGGAGCACCAGTGTGTGTCGTGTGTAGTGGTTGGGGACCCTCCGGAGGGCTGGGCCAGGTGAGCCTGGTGTGTCGGGCCCTCTGTTCCGAGCCCCTGAACCCCAGGCCCTGAGCAGTCCTAGGGGAGCACAGGGTTCCCGTCCCCAGGGGCGGGCCGGGAAGTAAACAGAAACTCCGACCGCGCTGTGGCGGGGCGGCCGGCACAACCTGTTACCTCGCCCTGTCCTGGGCCCCACGCCAGGGCCCTGGGAAACTGGGGGGCCGGGGGTCAGGGCTCCTGAGTCCGGAGGGGCGGCGCAGGAATGCCTGAGTCCCGTGGAAAATGGGAACTGAGGTGGGAATCCTTGGCGGGGGACATTGGAGGTGGAGACCTCTGAGTCTGGAGGGTGGAGTCAAGGCACCTGCTTGGGAGATAAGGAGGAGGAGTGGGGAGACCTGGCAGGGCTGGGGCTGGGAGCTGGGCTTTTGGTAGTGGGGGGAGCTGGATTCCTGGGGGCCAAGACACCTCAGTTCCCAAGCCTTAGGGTCCGGCATTCCTGGGAGGAGGAGGGACTGGGCTCAACTCCAGCAGCTGAGTCCCTGAGAACCTGGGTTCTGGGAAGAGAGGGTGCCGGGAGCAGAGGTGGCCCGTGGCCCTGGAGCGCTGGAAGAAGCTTTCCTGGGGGCAGAGATTGTCTGGTAGAGGCCAAAGGCTGGGCAGGTCATTTCCTTCTACTTCCTGCCTCAGTGTACCCCAGGGACATTAACGGAACTGGGTGGCCAGAACACAGGTCATTAACCCTTCGTGGCCCAGGAAGCTCTGGCTGTAGGACCGGGCAGGCCCCGCAGGTTGAGAATTCATGGAGGGCCAGGCGCCCCTGTCGGACTGCAGAGTAGAGTGCCCCGCAGCCACCTGTCCCCGCAGATGCTGACATGAGCTCTCCAGATGGGCCCAGCTTCCCGTCGTCGGGGCTGCTTTCAGGGGGTACCTCCCCCAGCGGCGATGAAGGCTTCTTCCCCTTTGTACTGGAGCGGCGGGACTCATTCCTGGGAGGGGGCCCAGGGCCTGAGGAGCCAGAGGACCTGGCCCTGCAGCTGCAGCAGAAGGAGAAAGACCTGCTGTTGGCCGCGGAGCTCGGCAAGATGCTTCTGGAGCGAAACGAGGAGCTGCGGCGGCAGCTGGAGGCACTGAGCACCCAGCACTCGGAGCGTGAGGAAGTAAGCTAGTGCCAGCCCGGGTGGGCACGGGAGGACAAGAGTGGGGAGTCCCGAAAGGGAAGGAGAGAGCAGCCGGAGGGAGTGGGGGCCAGAGGGGCAGGGGGAGGACTCTGGAACAGGTCGGGGCTGCGCCCAGTTCCCCTGGCAGTGCTGCCCAGTGGTAAAGAACATGAATTCTGGGGACCGTGCACAGTTCCTCACGCCTGTAAGCCCAGCACTTTGGAAGGCCAAGACAGGACCATCACTAGCCCAGTGTTCGAGACCAGCCTGGGCAACATAGCCAGAATCTGTCTCTACATAAAATGTTAAAAATTAGCTGGATGTGGTGGTTGCACTTGTAGTCCTAGCTACTCAGGAGGCCGAGACAGGAGGATCACATGAACCCAGGAATCGTAGAGTTTGAGGCTGCAGTAAGCTATGATCCACTGCACTCCAGCTTGGGCAACAGAGACCCCCAAAAAAAGGAAGGAAAGAAAGTGAGAGAAAAAAAGAAAAGAAGAGAAACACCATGAACTCTGAGGATTAAGACCTGGGTTGGACATGGTGGCTCACACCTGTAAGCCTGTAATCCCAGCACTTTGGGAAGCCAATTAGGGCAGATAATTTGAGGTCAGGAGTTCAAGACCAGCCTGACCAATATGGTGAAACCCCATCTCTAGTAAAAATACAAAAAAAAAAAAAAAAAAAAAAAAATAGCCAGGCATGATGGCTTGTGCCTGTAGTCACAGCTACTTGGGAGACTGAGGCAGGAGAATCACTTGAACCCTGGAGGCAGAAGTTGCTGTAAGCCAGGATCATGCCACTGCTCTCCAGCCTGGATGATAGAGCAAGACTCTGTCTCAAAAAAAAAAAAAAAGAAGAAGAAGAAGAAAGACCAGGTCATATGTGATGGCTCACACCTGTAATCCCAGCATTTTGGGAGGCCGAGGTGGTCGGATCACCTGAGGTTGGGAGTTCAAGACCAACCTGACCAACATGGTGAAACCCCGTCTCTACTAAAAGTACAAAAAAGTTATCCAGGCATGTTGGTGTGTGCCTGTAGTCCCAGCTACTTGGGAGGCTGAGGCAGGAGAATTGCTTGAACCTGGGAGGCAGAGGTTGCAATGAGCCGAGATGGCACCAGTGCACTCCAGCCGGGGCAACAAGAGTGAAACTCCATCTCAAAACAGAACAAAAAAAAAAAAAAATGGAAAAGAAAGACCTTGGTTTAGACCCTTGCCCAGCTGTGTGACCATGAGTCAGCTGCGGGCCCTCTCTGGATCTTGGGTCCAGCTCCTCAGCAGTATAGTGGAAACAGGCAACAGTCATGGGTATCCACTCCCTGCCTGGCACTGGGCTGAGTGCTTTTCATGAATCTGTTGATTCTTGCCCAGCCCAATTAGGTAGGAACAGTTCCCTCTGCCCAGGAGAGGGATTTTGGCCAAATTCTCGCTCTGCGGCTCACACCTGGTCTCCTGAACACCCTCCTTTATATGAGGAATCAGCCCCAACCACTGCCCTGAGCCTGACTTCGATAGCTAATCCTCTCCACCAGGCCACCTAGTGGGCATCTCAACACAAGTGGCACTCGATTCCACACCCCCGTCACCTGCTGTCCCCATCCCCACCTTCCCACCTGAGGACCAGAGCCTGTGCACCTCCTTGGCCTGCCTCTCTCTCTCTCTCTCTCTCTCTCTCTCTCTCTCTCTCTCTCTCTCTCTCTCTCTCTCTCTCTCATTTAACAGGGTCTCCCTCTGTCACTCAGCTGTAGTGCAGTGGTGGAATCGCAGCTCACTGCAACCTCAACCTCAGGAGCTCAAGCAGTCCTACCATCTCGGCCTTCTAAGTAGCTGGGACTACAGGCACATGAGTACCACCATACCTGGCTAATTTTTGTATTTTTTGTACAGATGAGGTCTCACCATGTTGCCCAAGACATTTACATTTTTTACTCTCATTCTCTCATGAGTGTACAGCAAAGTTTTCAAGCGGCTAAACTGCAGAGTTTGACCCGCAGACTCTGGCCGAGTGACAGGTGACAAAAGGACACAGACACAGCTAGGGGACCCCACAGCTTACACACCCCGAAGAAGGAGTCCGTCCATGCAGCCCTAGTATGCCAGGCACACTTGAATTTATTTTAGAACAGATTCAATGGCAAAAGTCCTGAGCAAACGCCACCTGTAGGGAATTAACATTGCTGACCCCCTCCCCCAGTAGAGAGCAGTCCCGCGCATGGATGATCAAAGGTTGGTTTGCGGAGCGGGGAGAATAAATAGGTAAACAAGCTGTTTAGATAAACTCCTCTACATCCCCTGTTATCTGCTCTTTGCGGAAAAAGTTGTGAGTGAAGTTATGACTTCTGGGCTCAAGCAAACTCCCTGCCTCAGCCTCCCGAAGTGTTGGGATTATATATGTGTGACAACGTGCTCAGCCAACCTTTCTTGAGTGCACACATTCCCCCTATATCCACAAGCCCTTTTGATTCTTCTAAACTAGATTCGAACCACCCGCTTGTCAGTTCTGCAGCCTTCGAGCTGATCACAGCCTCCATCACCTCTGCCGCAGACACTCCAGCCACCTGCTCCCAAGTCCCCAGTATCCACTCTTTTTTTTTTTTTTTTTTTTGAGATGGAGTCTCGCTCTGTTGCCCAGGCTGGAGTGCAGCGGCACGGTCTTGGCTCACCACAGCCTCCACCTCCTGGGTTCAAGCGATTCTCCTGCCTCACCTTCCTGAGTAGCTGGGATTACAGGCGCCCACCACCATGCTCAACTAATTTTTATATTTTTAGTAGAGACAGGGTTTCGCCATTTTGGTCAGGCTGTTCTCAAACTCCTGACCTCGTGATCTGCCTACCTCGGCCTCCCGAATAGCTGGGATTACAGGCATGAGCAACTGCACCCAGCCCCACTCTCTCTCTCTCTTTTTTTTTTTTTAATCATTTTTTAGATGGAGTTTCACTCTGTCACCCAGGCTAGAGTGCAGTGGTGTGATCCCGGCTCACTGCAACCCCTACTTCAGGTGGTTCAGGCAATTCTCTCACCTCAGCCTTCTGAGTAGCTGGGATTACAAGTGTGTGCCAGCACACTTGGTTAATTTTTGTATTTTTAGTAGAGACGGGGTTTTACCATGTTGGCCAGGCTGGTCTCGAACTCCTGACCTCAGGTGATCCACCTGCCTTGACCTCCCAAAGTGCTGGGATTATAGGTATGAACCACTGTGCCCAGCTCCCAGCTTCCACTCTTGACCCCTGGAGCCCATGCTCTAAGGGACACCCCAGGATCTTCAAAAACTGCAAATCAGATCCTTTCACTCCTCACCCAGAATCTCCCCCTCACTCTTAGAATGAAATGGAAATTCTTCCCCAGGGCCTAAAAGTCCCCAAGAGCTGGGCTCCTCCTTCACCTCATCACAGAAGCATTCCTTCTTCCCCTCCTCCAAGAAGGGCAGCTGCACCACCCCCTCCCCCACAGCGAGGGCTCTTTTCAGTTCCTCCAAGAGCTCACGCTCGTCCCCTCTGGGCTTTGCACCTGCTGTTCCTTAATGCTTGGCCCTCTTTCTGGTGGCTCCTTCTTGGCCTGCTGAAGTCAACTCAAACACAACATCCGCCTTGAAAGACCCTCCACCCCCACCCCACTCCTCACTCTTCATCACTTGCCAGGTCTCTTTACAACCCTTACTGTCCCCCTGAAATTACCTGACTCTAGTACGTACCCATGCTCTCTGGGCTCTGAGCTGCTCGAAGCAGTGAACTTGCTGACAGCGAACCCCAGAACAAGTGGAGCTCGGGAAATATTTTAGGATCGATAGTGTGGGTGGATGGACTTAGAGACATGATGTCCAGGCCACAAGGCACCAGCAGAGCCAAGCATCAGCCAGGACGATCTGACCTCGAGCCTGACAGCTTCATCCGAGGCTGTGTTGCCCCCACAGTCTTCGGCTGAAGAGTTTTCCTGCCTGAGTTGCCATCTCTGCTTCACAAAATTACTGTGTGTTGGCCGGGCACGGTGTCTCACACCTGTAATCCCAGCACTCTGGAGGGCCGAGGAGGGTGGGTCACTTGAGGCCAGGAGTTCAAGACCAAGCCTGGCCAACATGATAAAACTCCGCCTCTACTAAGAAAACAAAAAAATTTGCCAGGCAGGGTGGCGCACCACGCCAGAAATCTCGGCTACTCGGGAGGTTGAGGCAGGAGAATGTCTTGAACCCAGGAGGCAGACATTTCAGGGAGCCGAGATCGTGCCACTGCACTCCAGCCTGGGCAAAAGAGTGAGGACCTGTCTCAAAAAAAAAAAAACCAAATAAATAAAACAAAAATAAAAGATTGCGTGTCCTTAGCCAAGGCACTGAGCATCTCTGAGCTTCAGTTTTACCTGTAAACCCAGGACGTTAGTGATTCTCCCTCTAGTGGACGAAATGGAGCAATGCAGATAAAGCTCTGCTGTGGGGCCTGGAGCAATTGGCACCTCCGTGTGGGCCCGGCCCCCTCTGAGGGCGGAAGAGACTGGGCCAGAGGTTAACCCCCAACTCATCTGCTTCCCCACGCTGGGCATCTGGGTGTGCCAGGGCGTCCCCCTGCTGGTCAGACAGGTTTTGGACCAGGGCGGAGCTGACCAGACTTAATTAGAGGGAACTGGCCAGGAGGAGCTGGGGAGGGGGCTGGGCAGAGTCCGGGCTCCAGAGCCCGTGGGCCACAGCAGGTGTGTGCCACCATGGGCCGGGGCTTGAATTCTGCCAGACTGAGGCGCCAAAAACGGCGCTTGCGACCTCGGGTCCAGAAGCCCAGGCAGCAGCTGGAGGTGAGTGGGCATCAGAGAGCCCCAGCCCCACCCTTGCCCTGGGCCCACAAGTCCTATCTGCCTGGAACCTTCACTCTCCCTTGCTTTTGTGTCTGTCGTGGACACCAGGCCCCCTTAGATATTCTCCCTAGGTGTCTGTCTCTCCATCTCCATCTCTCTGTGCCTGCCCAGTCTCATCGGTGCCCCTCTGTCTCTGTCCCTCTGTCGTGGCCCCCACAGCGGCTCCAGCAGGAGAACCATGAGCTCCGTCGAGGCCTGGCAGCCCAGGGAGCTGAGTGGGAGGCCAGGGCCGTGGAGCTGGAGGGAGATGTGGAGGCCCTGCGGGCCCAGCTGGGGGAGCAGCGCTCGGAGCAGCAGGACAGTGGGCGAGAACGGGCGAGGGCCCTCGGTGAGCTCAGCGAGCAGAACCTCCGCCTCAGCCAGCAGCTGGCCCAGGTGGGACAGCCCTGATCCCAGGACCCTGGGCAAGGTTGGGGAGGATGCCTGGGTCTCCAGTGGGGACTGGGTGCATTGGGCTTGGCGCTGAGGCTCCTCTGTCCCCCTATCTACCTGGCCAGGCCTCCCAGACTGAGCAGGAGCTTCAGAGGGAACTGGACACCCTTCGGGGACAGTGCCAGGCTCAGGCACTGGCTGGGGCAGAGCTGAGGACGCGGCTGGAGAGTCTGCAAGGGGAGGTGAGTGCCAGCTGGGGCTGGGGGATTGTTTGAGCCAAAAAAGCTGTGCTGGGGGCTGCGAGGGGGCGGCCCCCTCCCCAGCTCTCAGGTGTTTCCCCAGAACCAGATGCTGCAGAGCCGCCGACAGGACCTGGAGGCCCAGATCCGAGGCCTCCGTGAGGAGGTGGAGAAGGGCCAGGGCCGCCTGCAGACCACCCACGAGGAGTTGTTGCTGCTGAGGCGGGAGCGGCGGGAGCACAGCCTGGAGGTGACCTGCAGGACTGGGGAACTATGACTGCCTAGACCCTTGGCAGTGGCTTCAGCACTTTCTGGGAGATGAAGCCAGAGCTGGGTCACTGGGAGGCCCAGAGGCTGGCCAAGACCATGGGCATTAGCTGTAGGCAAGTGGGAGCCTGGCCAAGACCATGGGCATTATCTGTAGGCAAGTGGGAGCCTGGCCAAGACCATGGGCATTAGCTGTAGGCAAGTGGGAGCCTGGCCAAGACCATGGGCATTAGCTGTAGGCAAGTGGGAGCCTGGCCAAGACCATGGGCATTAGCTGTAGGCAAGTGGGAGCCTGGCCAAGACCATGGGCATTAGCTGTAGGCAAGTGGGAGCCTGGCCAAGACCATGGGCATTAGCTGTAGGCAAGTGGGAGCCTGGCCAAGACCATGGGCATTAGCTGTAGGCAAGTGGGAGCCTGGCCAAGACCATGGGCATTAGCTGTAGGCAAGTGGGAGCCTGGCCAAGACCATGGGCATTAGCTGTAGGCAAGTGGGAGCCATGGAAGGCCATTGAGCAGGGGAGGCATGCTCTTAGAATGCATCAGAGCCTGGCAGCTGGAAGGGCAGGGAGGGGGCTGATGCCAGAGCCCAGGCCAGGAATGCCAGCCCCTAGACAGAAAAAGGAATGAAAAGAGGACACATGGTCTGATGTTAGGGGTCTCAGGAGTCTGCCTTCGCATCCCAGTGCCTCTTCTTACTACTGTGGAGCCAACGGCCTCAGTCGCACTGATAAATGTCACGTGAAAGCAATTAGTGAGTGAGGAGGCGGCAGACTGGGCGGGGGAGGGGACAGGGCTTCTCAAGGTGGGCCCCGCTATATAGGTGAGGAAATTGATATCTCAGCTGAGGGAAGGCACGGCTGAAGGCGCCCAGCGATCCAAGAATGGGAACAACCTGGGCCGCTGGGGTGCGGGGCCCTCTGCGGCGCCCCAGCGTGGACCTGCCGTGGGATGCCGGTGCTGGGTGCGTCCCGCTGACCGCCCGCGCTTCCGTCTGCGGGACCGTCCACAGCTGGAACGCGCACGCTCCGAGGCCGGGGAGGCGCTGAGCGCGCTGCGGAGGCTGCAGCGGCGAGTCTCGGAGCTGGAGGAGGAGTCACGACTCCAAGACGCCGACGTGTCGAGCGCCTCGCTGCAGTCGGAGCTGGCTCACAGTGTCGACGAGGACGGCCAGGGCCAGGGCGCTGACGCACGCGGAGACTCCCCGGTGAGCTCATGGGGCACCAATCCCGTTACCTGTGCCATCGGGAGGGTCGCAGGCGCCGCCTTTCCTCCTTTCCGCAACAGACTCCACACCACTAACCCATTTCTTTCTTTCTTTCTTTTTTTTTTTTGAGACGGAGTTTCTCGCTTGTTACCCAGGCTGGAGTGCAATGGCGCGATCTCGGCTCACCGCAACCTCCGCCTCCTGGGTTCAGGCAATTCTCCTGCCTCAGCCTCCTGAGTAGCCGGGATTACAGGCACGCGCCACCATGCCCAGCTAATTTTTATATTTTTAGTAGAGACGGGGTTTCACCTCGTTGACCAGGATGGTCTCGATCTCTTGACCTCGTGATCCACCTGCCTCGGCCTCCCAAAGTGCTGGGATCATAGGCGTGAGCCACCGTGCCCGGCCCACTAACCCATTTATTTGGCCCACAGACCACCCGATCCCCAAAGACCCGAGAGGCGTCCGGGCCCCAGCCTTCACCCCCAGAGGAGAGCTTAGAGCCCCCCAGGAAGCGAGCATCCCTCAGCCCAGCGGAGATACTAGAGGAGCAGGAGGCGGAAGTGGCCAAGCTGCGAGATGAGGTGGGGGAGAGGGCACGTGGCTGGTTGCAGGGCCCCTCCAGCTGTCAGTTTCTGTCTCCCATGTCGCCTCCCAGCCTTTGCCCACGGAGCTCCCTACACCTGTGTTGGAAATAGATGCTCCCTGGGGCAAAGAATCAGCACTGAGACAAAGAATCTTTCAGCACCGCAGTTTTTACTTCCCGGGCTGCAGGAAGGGGACCCTCCTTAGGCATCGGGCCAGGAGAGTACAATGAACAGAGAAAAGGCACGCACACATTTATCCCTCACCCATTTGGGGTCGTCCTTACTGCTTTGTCTGATCTCCGTTGGCTGGAGCCAGACCTCACAATCTAAACTAAAACCCGATTGGCTAAAAACTTAAAACTTTTCTAGACAGGTAAAAGCAATGGAGAGCTGGCCCGTGCCTGTGACCGCGTACCGCATAGATATCTTGGTTAAAGTACAAGGACACAGAACATACTATGTGCCTGTAAGCATGGCGTGTCTAACAGCTACTTAGGATAGGACTTAACAAAGAATCAGCACACTTATTCTTTAACAAGAAAGGAAACTTTATTTATTTATTTGAGACTGAGCATCGCTCCTGTTACCCAGGCTGGAGTACAATGGCGCGATCTCGGCTCACCACAACCTCCGCCTCCTGGGTTCAGGCAATTCTCCTGCCTCAGCCTCCCTAGTAGCTGGGATTACAGGCGCGCACCACCATGCCCAGCTAATTTTTTGTATTTTTAGTAGAGACGGGGTTTCACCATGTTGACCAGGATGGTCTCGATCTCTTGACCTCATGATCCACCCGCCTTGGCCTCCCAAAGTGCTGGGATTACAGGCTTGAGCCACCGCGCCCGGTGAAAGGAAACTTTAAAAAGGAACTTTTCTACTTCCCACACCTAAATTGGCCTTCATCCCAACAGACTTACTTCAAGAGCCAGCCTGTATGCCACCTCCTCCAGGAAGACTTCCTGACAGCACCTCTCCCTAGTTCCTTAGTGCTTCTCCCTGCATTCCTCCTGCAGGGTTATGGCACCCCAACTAACCCTGCTCCACCCCACCCCACACCAGCCTGAGGGGCTCAGAGGGCTCATCTAGGAGTCTCCAGCACAGGGCCACAGCTGCCTGGGGTGTCTGTCGGGCAGGCAGAGGAGAGCTGGGGAGAGCCAGAGTCGGGGCTGCTGGGAGGAGCAGGGACTGGAAGGCCCATTGGCCCATCTGCTGAGCGGCCCCTCCTCTGCCCACAGATCGCGCTGCAGCTGGCGGAGCTGCAGTCCCTGCGGGAAGAGCGGCAGAGGCAGAAGGAGCTGCGGGCGCAGGACGACCCTGGGGAGGCCCTGAACAAGGCCCTCTCAGACCGGGACGAGGCCGTAAACAAGTGAGCCTCAAGTCATCCAGCACTACCCCAGCGCCCCCCGGACCCCTCTGGGCTCTGGGCTCCTGATTCCCCTTCTGATACTGGTTATAATGATCCCCACCCCCACCCAGGGGCCCACGGCCCTCCTTAATCTCGGTGTTGGCAGCCCCCCTCCCGCCCGGGTCCAGAAGTCCCCCGTCACCCCGGCTCCCTGAAGTCTCAGCACCCTCAGATGCGTCGTCCGCCCCTCCCCCGCTAGGGCCCTGGAGCTGTCCCTGGAGCTGAAACGCGTCTCTCTGGAGCGAGACTCCCTGTCCCGGGAGCTGCTGCGCGCCATCAGCCAGAAGGTGGCGCTCACGCAGGAGCTGGAGGCCTGGCAGGTGAGGGGCGGGGCCTGCGTGCAGGGCGGGGCCTGCGTGCGGGGCGGGGCCTGCGTGCGGGGCGGGGCAGGGGGCGGGACCGGCGCTGAGTCGACCCCGGCCTCCCGCAGGACGACATGCAGGTGGTGATCGGGCAACAGCTGCGCTCACAGCGCCAGAAGGAGCTGAGCGCCGCCGCGTCCTCGTCGACCCCGCGCCGCGCCGCGCCCCGCTTCTCGCTGCGCCTGGGCCCCGGGCCCGCCGGCGGCTTTCTCAGCAACCTCTTCCGAAGGACCTGACGGCGGGGCCCAGGGGGCTGCCCTTGCCCGCTTAAGGGCCCACTTTCCTCTTCTGACCAATGGATCCCCAGGGCACGGATTGGCTTCCGAGAGGAGCTGATGCCCTCCCCACCCCAGGAGGATGGGCAAGGGCTCATCGGGAGCGGAGCCAGCTTTCTGGGGCAGAAGCTCCAGGTGGGTGGCAGGGGCAGGTGAACAGCTGTCGATTTTCCGAATCAATATAGGTCTGTCTTCTCCAGGGCCGGGATTTATGGGGTATTTCTAAGGCAGGGATGGGGCTGGGTATTTATGTATCAAGATCGGAGAGAGTAATATGTAAATCACGCCACCTATTTGGCCTCCATTCGTGGAAAGAGCGAGTATGGAAGAAAAGCCTGAAACTTTATTGTTAAAAAAAAAAAGAAAAAGAAAAACATTCTAAAACCCTTGCTGGCTGGGGGTGTGGTCAGAGGTCAGAAAGACAGGGAGAAGGCTCGGTAGCCCAGGTTGGTGAAGACGTCCACCCGACAGCTGTTGCCTGCAGCTGTGAGGACCTGGAGGAGAGAGGGGCATGACTGGCCTGCCCATTCCCCTGCCTCCCAGCCGCCTGAGGCCCCTGCCACCAGACCCACCTTGCACTCGGGCGCGGCTGGCTGCTGGTTGAGGCTGAGGCTGAGCAGCCCTGGGGAGGAGCCAGGCACCTGGGCCTTCAGCTCCCCGCTCAGCTGCCACTGGTTGACACAGCGGCCCTGGCCCGCAGACAGAATCTGCAGAGGACAAGGAAGGTGCTCAGGGGTCAGGGCTGGAGGGGAGAGCCAATGGGGGTGGCAGACGAGACAGAGGGACTCACCAGGTCCTGGTAGAAGGTGACGTGCTTCTGTGGCGCCCGCATGGGGAAGATGGTGGTGGGTGTGGAGGATCGCAGGTGCCAGAGGGTGAGGGCTGGGCCCCCTCCACAGACCTGGACAGAAAGGTGGGAGTCCCCAGCTGTGAGCTACAGGCCGACAGCCGACAAGGCCCGAAGCTGCCAACCTGTCCCACAGTCTGCCCAGCTCACCATCCAGTCAGAATCAGTTGCCAAACATCCGATCCAGCGCCCATTGTGGGGCCTGGAGCACTCCTGGGAGGGGAAGGGGAGGAGGGAAAGAGGTGAAGTCCTAGAGGGTTAAAGGAGTTTCTGGGAAAGAGGACAATGGCCACGGTCACACCCTCACCTCGTGCTTATAGACCTCGATTGTCTGGACCTCCTTGGCTGTGCGCAAGTCTGCAGGGAAAGAACCCACCCTAAGTAGTGCCCCACGAGCCTCAGCCTCCCTCACTGCCATCTTGCCCTCCAGCCAGCCACCTCCTTACCCCAAAGTCGAACAGCTCCATCCTCACCACCCGACAGCACCTCTGGGCTCCTTTCTCTCAATGCCAGGCAATGGATGTAGTCTGTGTGGCCCCGGAGGACCCGCTGCAGTAGAGGGGCAATGTGAGGAGATCTAGGAAGAGTGCCTCTCCCTGGCCTGGACCTGCTCTAGGGCTCCAAGCCCCTGCTCACCGTGAAGGTCCCAGTTTCAAGGTCCATAGTGTGCAGCTGACAGTCTCCCCCAGCCAGGATGAGAGAATTCTCCTGTGAAGGAGGAGGGTGAGGCAGGAAGTCAGTGTCAAATCAGGAAAGGCAGAGAGTGAAGAATCAAAGTTTGGACCAACAACAGTCACATGGGGCTCAGACCTTGGGGACCAGCAGCAAAGCATTGATCTCAGGCACTTCCAGGCTGGTCCTGGGGGAGGAAAGTCAGGGTAAGTGAGGGAGTGCCTTCACCCCCATGCGCCCTCTATCCACGTGGCCCTGGCTCACCTGTATGGAGGCTGACGGCACCACAGCTCCTTACAGCCCTTCAAAAGGAAAAACATGAGGCGACCTCAAAGGCCCTTTTTGGGTCTGGGTACCCCAGCCCTTGCCCCAGCCTCACTCCTTACCTTCTTGAGCATCTCCACCCAAAGCCAGGCCTTCACCTCCCCATCCCCAGCACTGAGCAGATGTCGATCTGTGGAGACCATGCTGTAGACCGGCCCATCATGGGCTGAAGAGAAATCCGGAAGTAAGTCAGCCGATCCCACCCAAAGCCCCGAAGCCAGACTCCACAGCTAGACCCACCTTGGAAAGTCACCACCGGCTTCTTACTTTCCTCTTTGGCTTCCGAGCTCAAAGCAGCAGACAAGCTGCAGGGGACAATGGAGGGGACCCAGGAGTCAGAAACAGGGGCATCTGTCCCATGAAGACCAAGTGCCAGGGCTAATGGGTGGACGGCAGCAGAGGGTACCTAAAGATGGCGATCTGCCCATAATTGTTGCCAGCTGCCAGAAACTTCCCACACGGTGAGACGCTTTGGGAGAAGATGGTCATATGGAGCCGCTGCAAGGCCTGGAACACCTCTGCCTGCAAGGAAAGACTGGATGAGGCCTGCCTGGGACATCTGAAACCTCCCATCCACAGACTCCTCCCTGCTTCCCCGCTACACCTGCCAGGCCTCCCACTGTCCTGACTTCTCAGACCTCTTTTGCAGCAGCCAGCACCTGCCCATGCAGTCCCATAGGTGGCTCCAAGAAGACACTGAAGAAGGGGAGAGTTGAGGTGTGACGCCTCATGAACCTCTGAGCAAACACCCAAGCCTCTCCTACCAGCTTCCTCAACTTTCAAATGGAGCTCACAGGAGATTGTCACGATTAGATGAGCTAGTGTATAGACAGAGCTTTGCACAAAGCTGTCACTCAGTGCTTAAGCCAGGTGCCATGGCTCAAGCCTGTAATCCCAGCGATCTGGGAGGCTGAGGCGGGAGGATCGCTTGATGCCAGGAGTTCGAGAGCAGCCTGGGAAACATAGTGAGACTCTATCTCTACAAAAAAAAAAAAATTTAAAAATTTGGCCAGGCACGGTGGCTCACACCTGTAATCCCAGCACTTTGGGAGGCCAAGACAGGCAGATTACCTGAGGTCAGGAGTTTGAGACCAGCCTGGCCAACATGGTGAAATCCTGTCTTTACTAAAAACACAAAAATTAGCTGGCCGTGGTGGCACATGCCTGTAGGCCCAGCTACTCTGTAGGCTGAGGCAGGAGAATCGCTTGAACCTGGGAGGCACAAGTTGCAGTGAGCCGAGATCTCACCATTGCACCCCAGCCTGGGGACAGACTCGGTCTCAAAAAAAAAAAAAAAAAAAAGTGTTTAAAAAGTGGTTCTGCTCGGCTGGGCGCGCTGGCTCACGCCTGTAATCCTAGCACCTTGGGAGGCAGAGGTGGGTGGATCACCTGAGGTCAGGAGTTCAAGACCAGCCCGATTTAAAAAAAAAAAAAAAAAAAAGTGGCTCTACTACCCCAACATAGAAAAACGTACTGACTTGTAATCCCTATTCTCTGACTTGCGTTAAGCCCCTGAGGCCTTATTGGTTACTTTCCCGCCCCACCCCCCGACCCGGTCATAATCTGAGTCCCACAAACAGCCCTAGCAAAACAGGGCTCGGGGCACTATTCCCTGCCCGCCCTGTCCAAGTCATGCATGGACTACAAACCCCAGAAGGCACCGCGCACCACGTCCGTCTCACCTGACCCAGAGGCACCGCGAGCGGCACAGCTTGCTCCATCTCCAGAACTACAAGTCCCAGAGTGCTCGCGCGCAACGCAATCTCACGATGCCGTACGTTCCTAGAGCGGTTACTCCTCGCGGCGCCCTGCCGCCTTCGGCGCGAAGGTGACTGCTGCGTACTGTACTGAACCCCAGGAGCCGAGGTGAGCACCACGAAAACCCCCGACACTAAGAAGTGACGCCCACCGCAGTTCCGCTAAGCCGATCCCTTCCCCCACCCCGAGGAACAGGCCCGCCTTCCGCCACGCGCCCCACGTCTTCCGCGCCCGCGCAGAACCTCGCAGCTGCGCACGCCTAAAGCCACACCCCTTCGCGTTGGGCCACGCCCTCAGAGACTCCGCCTCCGTCGCCCAGATCCCACCCGCAGGACCCCAAAACCCAATGATCCTGGAGCAGCCCTTGGAGCGAGGCCCGCAGGGTGGGGCCCAGCGCCTCCCGCGGGCCGCCTTGGGGGTGACTCGCGGCCTGGACGCTAGGTGCGTGTAGGGGACCAGGGTGGGCCTGACCAAGGGCCGCAGGAGCTTTGGCTGGGTGCTCAGGGCTGGTCTGCAGATGGACACGGTGTAGGGCGAATCGGCGGGGCTTAGGTGTAAACTGAGACCGGATTGGGTCTTCGGCTCAAGGTCGAGACTTTCGAGGTACGCTGCTGGATGGCCCAGAAGAGAGGGGACAAGCACCACCTGAGACAGGAATGGGCTTGGGGCTCCTGGCTGATGCTGCAGGCTCAGGCGGGCAGATCCTTGGGAAGGGGCCAAGAGGGTGGGGTGCACCAGGCTCTCTTTTTTTCCCAGCTCCCCTCTCCGAGGAGCTGTGCCCCTGAGCACCAAGCGGCGCCTGGAGGAGGAGCAGTGAGTTTGGGGGGCAGGGAGGGACTCCCAACAAGATCTCTGTCACCTCTGGTCCCCAACACGCTGTCTCCTGTCTCAGTTTCCCAGCCTCCCTCTCTTTCATCTCTCCCCAGGGAGCCTCTGCGCAAGCAGTTTTTGTCTGAGGAGAACATGGCCACCCATTTCTCTCAACTCAGCCTGCACAATGATCACCCCTACTGCAGCCCTCCTATGACCTTCCCCCCGGCCCTGCCCCCACTCAGGTAGGCTCCTCCACTGGCCAGGCTTTCTGCAGGATCACAGGCGGTTCTCAGAGCTGACCTCAGGCCCTGCCTCATCGTGCCATTTTTAGCTCTAGCTGACCTCTGGGTTGTTTCCCATCTTGGCTCTTTGGAAAGTGCTGAGAACCCGGGAGCCCCTGGGGACCTGGACCTGGTGGGAGGTGCTCAGTTAGGCCGCCTCAGCCCCCTTGCCGACTATCATTTCCTCTTCTAGGAGCTCTTGCTCTGAGCTGCTTCTCTGGCGATACCCTGGCAGCCTCATCCCTGAAGCCCTCCGGTTGCTGAGGCTGGGGGACATCCCCAGTCCCTCCTACCCTTCGACCCCAGCTGGGGACATAATGGAGCTCTGAGTGCTAGTGGACAGCGCCCCTCCCAGCTTCCTTCGTCCCCACAACAGAAGAGACCAGCGACTCCCGCAAAGGGACAAGGAGCCTCCCTCTCCTCCAGACCAGGCACCAAGACCTTCCCTCAACAGAGGACTCTGAGCCCAATGGAGCTCTGGGATGAGAGGGTGGGAGCATGGGCAGGGAGGCATCCCACCCCCAAGAACTGAATAAAGATTTCTGAGCAAAGAAAGGCTTCCAACTGGAACCTGGGGCTTTTGGGGATGGTGGAGAGGGCAGAGGTGCAGGATGCTGGGGTTTCTCCTCAAGATCTTCCCTGGAAAACTGTTAGGGCCAGCCAGGTCCTGGCCGGCTGAGTTCCAGGCATTGAGAATGTGTGAGTCAGAGCCTCACCCCCGCCCCCGTGGCTGGCTGACTCACTCCCTCCCTCCAGCTCAGGGGAGTCAGTCGGGGATCACTGCCTCTCCAAACCATTTAAAGTTAAAGATTCCTTTATTAATAAATTCTCCCTCCCCTCCGAACTCTCCCCAAAATAAATATCTCCTCCCCTCTTTAGGGAGTTGGGGGGGTCTGTATCTTAGGGCCAGCCCTCCTAGTGGGCCAGCCCCCTAGTGTTAAAAATAGGTCCCTAACCCCCCAGGCTGGTGACCCCTGTGGTGGAATTTCAGGACGTCTGAGTGAGTGGGGCCTAGTGTCTGTCGGTCCTCCAAGTCAGCCTAGCCCCCAGGGCCTCTAGGGAGGAGGACACCTCCTTGTGCAAATGCTGCAGTTCCTTAGTCAGTGTCAGCTGTTTGTGTGAGCCAGCTTAAGGCTCCCTTTCTGTTCTGAGGCCAGAAGCAGGGCAACCAGACACCTTGGAAGGCTCCCCTGAACCCTGCAGGAGCCCAGGCCTCAGAGGTGATTCACCACCCCCCACCCCCCTGTGGTTGGAGTGGCTCCTGCCACGTCTGGGAGGCTGAGACTGGCTCTAGATGGATGAATGAATGATGAGTAGGCGAGCCCCGGTTGGCAGGGGGCGCATTGTCACTGGATCAGGGCCACGGCCGGGCAGCCATCTCCACCGGTCTCCTCTATGGGGGCTGCAAGATAAGAGGTGGGGTCGTCAACGGCAGGGGAAAGGTCGTGTGATGATGCGGCTGGGGAGGCCGGGGCTCACTTACTGGTGAACTTCTCTCTCCTGCGGCATCGTCTCCAGACCAGGAAGCCAGAAAGCAGCCCCAGCACGAAGGTCAGGCTCAGAGCACCCCCCAGGATGGGCCAAAGCAGCCGGAAGGGGGTCGGAGGTGCCGCAGCACCTGGGGGCGGACTGGGAGTCAGACCTCGCCCCTCTCCAGGCCAGCCCCCTTGGACTGAGCCTTCAGCCTTCTCCCAGCCGTGGCCCCCTCCCTGACCTGAGACCCCTCCCCACTCCCACCTTCCCCTGATTGATTTCCCAGGTGCGAAGCCCTCCACCGCACCAGCCACCCTTTCTCCCAGTCTGGGGTCCGCTCGCCACTGGCCCCGCCCCCCACTCACAGCCCAGGCAGAAGTCGCTGTGCGGTCGCGCCCTGCACGACGCGCAGTCCATGCACTTGTCCAGGTCTGCGCTCCAGGAACTGCCGCGGGAGCAGGGGGCGGTATCTGGGGAGGGGGCCGGGGGTCAGAGGCTGGGGGTGGGACTCGGCTATTCTGGGGCCTGAGGTCAGGGTCGGCCGGCTCGAATAACGTGAGTCACTGGCGCCCTCCCCGCGCATTCCTCACAGGTGACCGCACGGCCCGACCGGGACGCGGCAGCTCCGGGAGGGAGGGCAGAGCGCGGGACGCTGAGGGTGGGGGTGTCAGGTCCCCATAACCCCCCTGCCGCCGGCGGGTGACTCACTCCTGGGCAGCGGGCCCGACCCCGGTCCCTCCCCCCGCATAGCTGGGCACTGAAGTCACCGGATGGAAGGGGGCACCCCACATGGTATAGAGGGCACAGACCCTAGTGCCCCTCGACAGCCCCCCCAACTCGTCGGTCACTGGGGCTAGTTAGACTCCGTACAGACCGGGCTGGGGGCGTGCCGGTTCCTAAACATCCCGCCCTCAAAACTTACTTTCTCTCTCCACTTCTAGTTCGAACTTTCGGAACTGAAGATCCCTCCCCTCCAACCCCAATTGGACAGTGGGAGAAACTGAGGCCCGGATTGTGAATGAAGCTTGGAAAGTGATGGAAGCTCCCACAGCGGGAAACGCGCTGTCTGAAGCCCACCTGACCCCAGATCCCCACATCCGCCTGTTCCCCCAGTTCCGCGCTGTCCTCCGGGCACCCAATCTCGGCTCCAGAGCCCCGGCCCAGGGTTTCCCGATCCCCACGTACCTGGCGCCCACTCTCCGGCCACGGCGCGCAGCAACGCCAGCCAGAGCCCCAGCACGAGGAGCAGCGGCAACGGGCGCAGCGAGCCCCGAGCCATGGTGCACGTCCCGCGCCCGCGGCTGTCTGTGCCCGCCGCCGGCCGGCAAGACCCATGGCCACTGCCCCGCCCCCGCCCCCGCCTTCCGGGGCGGAGCTCTCGCCTCCGCCCGCCGTGAGGTCCGCTCCGGGACGCCCCGCCCTGCGGGGCCAGCTCCGTTCATTCATTCATTCCACAAAGTCCTGGCGCGGGAGCTGCCAGAACCCGGCAGGGACGTAGACCCCTCCTTTGCCCCGCTGGTGGTCTAGTCCGGGGCGCGTGGGGTAGGGAAATCAGAAATCAGACACGAGTGCTCCCTTCGGCAGCACATACAGAAATCAGACAAGAATGGCCGGGCGCGGTGGCTCACGCCTGTAATCCCAACACTTTGGGAGGCCGAGGCGGGCAGATCACGAGGTCAGGAGTTCCAGACCAGCCTGACCAACAGGATGAGACCCCATGTCTACTAAAAACACAAAAATTAGCCGGGCATGGTGGCGCGCGCCTGTAATCCCAACTACTCGGGAGGCTGTGGCGGAAGAATCGCTTAAACCCGGGAGGCGGAGGTTGTAGTGAGCCGAAATCGCGCCACTGCACTCCATCTAGCCTGAGCCACAGAGCAAAACTCCGTCCCCCCTCCAAAAAAAAAAAAAAAAAAATCAGACACGAACAAATCCTGCAGAGATCACTGCAGCTTCCTTCCCCCCCCAACCCCCGGCCCCACACCTCTTGAGATTGCATCTCGCTCTTGCTCAACCTGGAGTGCAGTGGCGCAATCACGGCTCTCTGGGCTCAGGTGAGTCTCCCACCTCAGCCTTCCCAGTAACTGGGACCACAGGCACGCGCCATCACGCCCGGCTAATTTTTTTTTTTTTTTTTTAGACAGAGTTTCTGCTCTGGTTGCCCAGGCTGGAGAGCAATGGCACGATCTTGGCTCACCGCAACCTTTGCCTCCCGGTTCTAGCGATTTTCCTGCCTCAGCCTCCGGAGTATCTGGGACTACAGGCGCGCACCACCAGGCTAATTTCGTATTTGTAGTAGAGACGGGATTTCTCCATGTTGGTCTGTCTGGTCTCTTAACTCCTGACCTCAGGTGATCCGCCCGCCTCGGCCTCCCAAAGGGCTAGGATTACAGGCGTGAGCCACCGCACCTGGACATTTTTTTATTTTATGCAGAGACGGGAGTCTCACTATATCGCCCAGGTTGGACTGGGCACTGCAGCTTTCTTAAAGGCCTGAGGGGGTCTAACAGTAACCACATAAAAATAGGGCGGGCGCAGTGGCTGACGCCTCTAATCACAGCACTTTGGGAGGCAGAGGCAGGTGGATCAGGAGGTCAGGAGTTCAAGACCACCCCGGCCAAAATGAGTGAAACCCTGTCTCTACTAAAATTCCAAAATTTAGCCGTGCCTGTTGTTGGTGCCTGTAATCCCAGCTACTCAGCAGGCTGAGGCAGGAGAATTGCTGGAACCCCGGAGACTGAGGTTGTGGGGAGCCGAGACTGTGCCAAACTGGGCAACGGAGCAGGACCCCGTCTCAAAACAAACAAACAAAAACCATAAAAATAATGTGCTCGCCAGGCGCGGTGGCTCACGCCGGTAATCCCAGCACTTTGGGAGGATGAGATGGGCGGATCACCTGAGGTCAGAAGTTCGAGACCAGCCTGACCAATATGGTGAAACCCCGTCTTAAATAGTAATAATAATAATGTGCTCTAGCCAGGCGCGGTGGCTCAAGCCGGTAATCCCAGCGCAGTGCGAGGCCAAGGAGGTCGGATCGATTGAGCCCCCGAGTTCGAGACCAGCCTGGGCAAGGTAACCAGATTCTGTCTGTACAAAACATAAATTAGCTAGGTGCGGTGGTGTGGGCCGCCTCTAGTCCCAGCTACTCAGGAGGCTGAGGCCGGAGGATCGCTTCAACCCGGGAGGTTGAGGCTGCAGTGAGCTGTGATCGCACCACTGCACTCCAGCCTGGGTGACACAGTGAAAATATTTAATTTTCTCTAAAATAATACTAACAGTATGCCTTTTAATTTGTACCTTAGGAAGTAGTTACATAATAAAATGCGGACTCGTTATCTCCACTTTGCCAAGTAGGAAACGAAGGATCGGGAAGATGAGGTGAGTCCCCCATGTCACCGCGCTGTCTCAGCGGTGCAGTGGACACTCAAGCTCTGTTCTCTCCTAAGCCCAGCGCCCGTCACCCTCGCTGAGTCTGGACGTCCGCCCGCCTGGCGCAGCGACCCCAGCCTCCAGCGCCCTCCTCTGACTAGGCTGGGATTCGCACGCCCGCGCGCGTCTGGGACAGGGTCTCTGCCCCTCCCCCGGGGCGGTGGTCCAGTGACGTCACCGCGTCTTTAAGACCCCCCCGCCTCCGCCCCTTTCCGGACACTCGGCTTAGGAATTTCTCTTATCCCTTTCGCAGGTGAGTCCGGGGCAAGTGTGCGTGTTGGAGACACGCCTCTTGGGGTCGGGTGCAGGGTGGTGGCGGCGTGGGTAGGGGTGCCTTCAAACTCCGGCTGCAGCCGCCTGGATGGGCGAGTCCCTGAGGGGGTCGGGGCGGTCTACTCCCAAGCCTCCGCGGAGACCGGGTCCTTCGACGGCTCCCAGGGGTTAAACGCCCCTCCCCCTTCCCCAGGGACAAAGACACCGAAACCCCGGGCGCTCCTCCCCCACCTGCCTTGCGTCTCAGGGCGGGGTGCCCCTCGCCCCCTTCCCCCTCATCTGCTGGAGCGGACCTTGCGGCCACTGTAGCTATCAAACCCCTCCTGGGCGCGCTCCCTGGCTGGGGTGGGTGGGTGGGCAGGCGAGCCCTCGGACAGATTCGGGCCTGCAGTGCCTGGAAAAGAAAGGGGCAGGGACGCACTTAGAGGGCAGAGGACTGGGGTGCCTAGACCAGCGTGGCCCTGGCCCTAACTCTGCCAGAGGCCTAGTGGCTAGACCTGGGCACTGGGGCGGCCTCCCCGGGTCAGTCTTCCCAAGGTGGCCAGCTCCACCCAGGCCTGGGGCCCCCTGGCTAATGAGTAGAGAGCCTGCCCTCCGGCCACTGCAGGCAGGGATAAGTTTAGCTCCAAGCCGTAGAACGTAAGAACTCTGGGCAGTGAGAGAGGCCACAGCCAAGCCCTGGGCAGAGGTGATCCCCTCGACAACCTCCAACACTGCCTGAGTATGAGGGGACACAGGTGCAGGCCAGGTGTCAGCGGGAGAACTGCTCTGGAGTCTCGCAGAGCATTTTGGAATTTGGAAAAGGCCCTCAGCCTTGAGGCTACACTCTCCAGCTCCTAGGTGAGGTCAGAAGGGTGGGACGAGAGAGTCAGCAAGTGGCTTTGGGGAAGGAACTGCTTTTGGGTGGGGGCTTAGTTATCTTTTTCGTCAACTCTCCTGCCGCTCCCAGGTTTGGCTAGCCCTTCAGATGTGAGGAGCTTGGGTAATCTCCAGGCTCAGGTGGCTCCTGTAGGGTGGGGGAAGGCGGGGCCTGAGATACAAGATCCGGAGATCCAGCTGGTATCTGCCAGCCTGGGGTGTGGAATCAAGTTGTGAGGGACACTGGGTGGTGGGAGCAAGCTTGGAATCTCCAATCTTAGTGTCAAAACTAACAAGTTTTGGTTGAGCACGGTGGCTCACACCTGTAATCCCAGCACTTTGGGAGGTGAAGGCAGTCTAACCCCTGAGGTCAGAAGTTCAAGACCAGCCTGGTCAACATGGTGAAACCCCATCTCTACTAAAAATACAAAAATTAGCCGGGCATGGTGGTGCGCATCCATCATCTCAGGTACTTGGGAGGCTGAGGCTGGAGGGAGGCAGAGGTTGCAGTGAGGTGAGGTAAGATTGCGCTACTGCGCTCCAGCCTGGGCCACAGAGCAAGACTTCATCTCAGACAAAGAGAAACGGACAAATATTTCACCTTAAACTCAGGGCTAGAACCGAACCATTCTACGCGGAAACTGCCTGGAAATAGCACCGTCTTATCCTGCTTTTTGCCGCCGTGCAGCCTGATCGCTGGCCCTGGCCCTGGCCCTGGACTGGCACTGCATAGGTTTCACCCTGTCATCTTTCGTTTGCGCTCAGAGCGGCCAGGGACACGGCTGCCTGCACATTCGCTGTCATGAGCCGGTGCCTGTCACGTAACTAGAAAGAAAAATAAATCCTAAAGCATTAAGCGCTCATTTTGCCCATGAGAAGTGAGGCTCAGGGAACATGTCTCCACTGAGGTGCGGGATATGATGACCACTTCCAGGGTGCACGCCCCCGGCGTCCTGTCCGCACGTGGCCCGAGGTCTGGGCCTGCCAGGCCTCACCTTGCTGTGCTTCTGTCCCCACTACAGTGCAGCTCCTTCACCCCCGCCATGGCCTCTGCCGGAATGCAGATCCTGGGAGTCCTCCTGACAATGCTGGGCTGGGTGAATGGCCTGGTGTCCTGCGCCCTGCCCATGTGGAAGGTGACCGCCTTCATCGGCAGTAGCATCGTGGTGGCCCAGGTGGTGTGGGAGGGGCTGTGGATGTCGTGCGTGGTGCAGAGCACAGGCCAGATGCAGTGCAAAGTGTACGACTCGCTGCTGGCGCTGCCGCAGGACCTGCAGGCCGCTCGAGCCCTCTGTGTCGTGGCCCTCCTTGTGGTCCTGCTCGGCTTGCTGGTCTACCTTGCTGGGGCCAAGTGTACCACCTGTGTGGAGGACAAGGACGCCAAGGCCCGCCTGGTGCTCATCTCTGGGATTGTCTTTGTCATCTCAGGGGTCCTGATGCTCGTCCCCGTGTGCTGGACAGCGCATGCCATCATCCGGGACTTCTACAATCCCCTGGTGGCTGAGGCCCAAAAGCGGGAGCTGGGGGCCTCCCTCTACCTGGGCTGGGCAGCCTCGGCCCTTTTGTTGCTGGGTGGGGGGCTGCTGTGCTGCACTTGCCCCTTGGGGAGGTCCCGGGGCCCCAGCCATTACATGGCCCGCTACTCGCCATCGGCCCCTGTCGGCTCTCGGGGGCCCTCTGAGTACCCTACCAAGAATTATGTCTGACGTGGAAGGGAGTGGGGGCTCCGCTGGTGCTAGAGCCATCCGGAGGTGGTGGTGCCCAACAGCTTTGGGATCTTTTGTTTCTGCTTCCTCCTGCTGTCCTTTTGACTGAGGGTATTTAAAGTCCATTGAAAGCAACCCAGATGACTCAGGCTCCACCCGGGCTCTGCTGTTTCTCACCTTGGGATGATGGAGACAAAGAGGGGATGCTTTGAGATTCTGGAGCCTTCTCCACCCTAGAGGTGCCCATCTTAGAAGCCAGTCGAGCTGTGGAACTAACGTGGAGGCTGCTTGCTGTGCTGGCCTTTGGGGCAAGACGGACTGTCCTCAAGAGTTCCTGCTGCTGCTGGGAGCTGGGCTTCCCTAGACTTGCCAGGACAGCCACCCCTCGAGCCTGCTCAGGCCTCTGGAGCCCGTCTCTTCACCCCTGGGAGAGCAAGTGATCTGCCAACAAAGGACTACCCTCCTCCAGAACTTGGGACCTTCTCTGTCCTGATAGAACGTCCACACCTCCGAAGGTCCCAGCTGTGTAGACCCCCTACTCCCACCTCCAATACTGTACCCTTCTGCCCTGCCCATCCTGCCCTGTTACGCTCATGTTTTTTACCAAATAAAGCATGTTTTGTTGGTATGTTCAGTGTTGCAGGGCGGGTTACTGAGTGCCCAGCCTGGCTAGGGGAAGAGGTGGACATAAGTGAGTCACGATCCCCTGTGCCCTCTGCCCGTGGTTTGAGTGAGCAAACCCAGGCAGAACCTGGAGCCAGAGCTTGGCCTGACAGCCACCAAGGGTGGCCACCTGGCTGTCCCTGCCCAGCCCCAGTAGCGGTGAACAGATCAGAGGGAGCCCAGTTCCAAATGTTCTCTTTATTCCCAGTGTCGGGTGGCAATGTCAGGGAGCGGGAGGTGATGGGCAGACTCTCCCTGCCAACTCCAGGGTTGGGAGGGCACAGTCAACTGCTTGGTTTTGGAGCCAATGAGCTGCTGCCCTTTTGGTGAAGCCAGGGTTCCCGGGACAGGGGCGGGCTCAGAAGAGAAGGAAGGCCAGGGTGCCCAACATCTCTGGGCTGCGCAGCTGGGGGGTGGACATCAAAGGGAACCCCACTGAGCCACTGAGAAGAGCTCAGCCGGGCCAGCAGACCCAGCCCTGCAGCCGTGCGTAGCTTGGGCTTTTGGAAAGTGGGTTTTCCTGGGGGAGGGACTTGTAGTGGAGCAGGGCCTCTGGTCAAGGCTGAAGGTGCAGGGCAGGGGGGAGCAGCAGGCTCTGAGGGGGAACTGTCCGCCTCACACATAGTCCCTCTTGTCCAGTCCAGATGCGCCTGAGCGGGAGGGGATGGAGTAGCCCAGCCTAGGTCCCTGAGGCCGCTCCACCTGGGGCGGGGGGCACGTGCAGCAGAGGAGCCCCCCGCCCAGCATAAGCAGTGCGGCCGCCGCCCAGCCCAGGTAGAGGGAGGCCCCCAACTCCCGCTTGAGGGCCTCGGCCACCAGGGGGTTGTAGAAGTCCTGGATGATGGCATGCGCCGTCCAGCACACGGGGATGAGCACTAGGATGCCAGCGAGGAGGAGGATGACCCCCGCGGTGAGCACGATTCGGGCCTTGGCGCCTTCGTCCTCCACGCAGGTGGTACATTGGGCACCTGTGATGGCCACCAGGAGGCCAAGCAGGGCCAGCAGGAGGGCCACAACACAGAGGGCTCGAGCAGCCTGCAGGTCCTGCGGCAGCGCCAGCAGGGAGTCATACACCTTGCATTGCATCTGGCCTGTGCTCTGCACCACGCAGGACATCCACAGCCCCTCCCACACCACCTGGGCCACCACGATGCTGTTGCCGATGAAGGCGGTCACCTTCCACAGGGGCAGGGCGCAGGACACCAGCGTTCCCAGCCAGCCCAGCACAGCCAGCGTCATGCCCAACAGTTCTAGGCCAGCGGAAGCCATCGGGCCCCTTGGTTAGGTCTTCTTAGCCCCCAGACGGCCTGGGTGACTCAGCGGGTGTGTCAGGTGTGCTAGGTGGGGGTCTTCGTGCCCAGCAGAAGGGGGAAGCCTGGTTGTTGTCCCCAGGCCAGGCCAGTCCTCAGTTCCACAAGCCTCTTGAATGGCGTCTCTCTGTGCCTCTTTCGGGTGACTCTGATCCTCGCAGATCACAAAGCAGACTCCCGGCTCTGCTCAGCTGAGTGGTGAGTGTCACCTCGAGGGGCCCTTGCCCATCAGATGCCCCGAGGGTGCTGCTGCTCTTCCCACCCTGCAGTCATGCCTGGGCCGAGCTCACACGAGCCCTCCAGAAGCACCACCAGGCCGAGGACAGCCTCATCCCCTCCGGGCTGGCACAGGTTTCCACTGAGCAATTCAGCCTCTGACGGTGCCACCTGGGGACTCTGCCGGCTCCCGGCTGCAGGCGGGGTTTTAAGGCCCAGGTAGGGGAGGAGCAGAGTGAAGTGCAGGGAGGCTGGGACAAGGGAGACCTGAGCCACAGTGAGGGTGTGGGGCTGGGGGCTGGTAGGCAGCAGGTGGATGAGTGGCCTTGCGGTCAGCAGGGGACACTGTGGCTAACAGTGGACGGGGGAGGAAGAGCGTCCAGGCATGTGGGAACCAAGGGCAAAGGAAGGGAAGATGGAGGACCAGCTAAAGAAGAAGAAAGGGAATGGGGGTCAAAAAAGTAACAGGCTCACGACAGAAATGCATGCAGGGGGCTTTGGCCTGCCTTCCTGAGCCTTATCCTCCCACAGCCCCTCCCCGGCCGACTCTGCTGTCCCCCCTGCCCAGTTTCATGATGCAAACATGCCCCAGCTCCCCAAGTATCGCCCACCCCCGCCTACCCGGGACTCTCTGGAATCTGATCCATCCTCCGTCTCAGCCCACTGGCCCTGCTAGCTCCCCGGGGAAGGGCCCCGCCCGCACTGTTCCCCGGACGACAGGTGCCTGGCGCCCAGCTCAGGTGGCATCACCCTGGCAACGGCCTAGAAAACTACCCCCACCTTCAGCCTCAGCTCAGGTGTGCTCTTGCCGCCCCTACTGTAAAAACCAGGGTTGAGCTGAGCTGCCCAAGGTCTCTAGAGTCCAGAGTATACTCGGCCTGTTGTGGAGGTTACGGGGGGGGGGGACGACTCCGGAAGGGGGATGGAGTTGGGAGGGGCTGGGGCTGGAACCCAGGGTCCAGCGCAGCCCAGGACCCAGTTGTGGGTGGGTGAGTGGCCAGGTAGGCCTCCCGGGCCAAGACACCCCAGAGTTGGGCATGGGCATTAAACCCAGGGACTCAGGTGTCCCCAAGACCGACCTTCCAGTTTGCAGGAAAGCACTCCAGAGAAACCCCCTCCGAGCCTGTGATTCCACTCATTGGGATAGCCTGGGAGTCCCACTGACCAAACTCAAATCCTGACCGCTACCTGAGACAGACATGGAGGTTCGAGGTCCTTAACCTCCTTTGGTCAAAGGCCCACTTGAGAAACCTCATGGGACTCACAGAATATGTGCCCACAGACACATGCCTCTCATTCTGAGGAGGGGTTCATGGACTCCCTGAAGCCTCTGCCTGGGTGTTAAGAACCTCTGAGGACTGTTGTCTGAAAAAGGGGTGTGATGGCCAGCCTCAGTGGCTCAACCTGTAATCCCAGCTCTTTGGGAGGCTGAGGCAGGCAGATCACCACGTCAGGAGTTAGAGACCATCCAGGCCAACATGGGTGAAAAATGTATCTAAAAATAGAAAAATTAGCTGGGCATGGTGTTGCATACCTGTAGTCCCAGCTACTGGGGAGGCTGAGGCAGGAGAATCATTTGAACCTGGAAGGTACAGGTTGCAGTGAGCCGAGACTGCACCACTGCACTCTATCCTGAAAACAGATCAAGACTCCATCTCAAAAAAACAAACTGGGTGTGGTGGGCACCTGTAATCCCAAGTACTCAGAAGGCTGAGGCGGGAGAATCGCTTGAACCCAGGAGGTGGAGGTTGCATGACCCAAGATGACACCACTGCACTCCAGCCTGGGCAACCTTGGGAGACTCCATATCAAGAGAAAAAAGAAAGAAAGAAAAAAAGTGATGTAAGGAAGATTCTCTCCATTCATACAGCTTCCGGGGGTACAGAGGGTCCTCAGAATGGACCCTCAGCTGGAACAGCCTCTCACCTGCCTGGTGCTGGGATGGCTGGGGTATGCTGGCACCCACTGGCTGGTAGGGGCAGGGCTGGGGGTGCCCACCAGACACCATGCACATCTGGTGGCTGCATCACTTCACGGCACTGCCTTGGGGAAGCCAGTGGCCAGACACACCCTGCTCAGTGTCCCTCATCTATTCAGTGGGACTTTGTTTATAAAGGGCTCTAACCTCAAGGAGTGATCAGGGGTTCAAACCCAGGGTATGAGCATCACTTTTTTTTTGAGACGGAGTTTCGCTTGTTACCCAGGCTGGAGTGCAATGGTGTGATCCCGGCTCACCGCAAACTCCGCCTCCTGGGTTCAGGCGATTCTCCTGCCTCAGCCTCCTGAGTAGCTGGAATTACAGGCACGCACCACCATGCCCAGCTAAGTTTTGTATTTTTAGTAGAGACGGGGTTTCACCATGTTGACCAGGATGGTCTCGATCTCTTGACCTCGTGATCCACCCGCCTCGGCCTCCCAAAGTGCTGGGATTACAGGCTTGAGCCACCGCGCCCAGCCCTTTTCTCTTTTTTTTTAAGACGGAGTCTCACTCTGTCGCCAGGCTGGAGTGCAGTGGCTCAATCTTGGCTCACTGCAACCTCCACCTCCCAGGTTCAAGGGATTCTCCTGCCTCAGCCTCCCCAGTAGCTGAGACTACAGGTGCGTACCACCACGCCCAGCTAATTTTGTATTTTTACTAGAGAGGGGGTTTCACCATGTTAGCCCGAATAGTCTCGATCTCTTGACCTTGTGATCCACCGGCCTTGGCCTCCCAAAGTGCTGGGATTACAGGTGTGAGCCACCATGCCCGGTGGGGGAGCTCACTGACCTGCTGGGCTTGCCTCTGTTTGCCTTTATTCTCTGCTCTTCCCTAAACCCATCCTGTGAAATCCGAGCCCCAGGGGCTGGGCGAGCTGGACAACCCCTCTGCAAGATTCCCTGAGTCCATCGATGGCCATTTTCCAGCCCAAAGTGGCTGCCACCACACTCCAGCCTAGGCGAGACTCTGTCTTTTAAAAGAGCATCACTTCTGGGAAAGGGTTTTAGCATCTTTAGGGTCCAGGCACAGAGGCTCACGCCTGTAATCCCAGCACTTACTTGGGAGGCCAAGGTAGGAGGATTGCTTAAGGCCAGGAGTTTGAGACCATCCCGGGCAACATTTTCTACAAAAAAATTAAAATACAAAATGTTTTTTTCATTTAAATTTTTTATTTTCACAAAATACAAAATTTGATTTTTTATTTTTACAAAATACATTTTCTACAAAAAAATAAAAATACAAAAATTAGTCAAATGAGGTGTTTCCTGTCTGTAGTCCCCGCTACTCAGGAGGCTGAGGTGGGAGGATCTCTTGAGCCCAGGAGTTGGAGGCTGCACTAAGCTATGATTACGCCACCGCCCTCCAACCTAGCTGAGACCCTGTCTCTAAAAAAAGGAAAATGATACTTACAAGAGAGGTTTATACTTTCCTTCAGATTTGCAAAGGGGCCTTGACCCAAAACAGTTAAGATCTTTCTGGAGAATACGGAGACTGAGGCCAGCGCCAATCTGCGGGTCTGGAAGGTAAACAGAAGCCCGGATTCTTCTTTACAATGCCCCAGGCCTCTCCAGTGAGAGGGGCACCTCCTCCTGTACACGGGGCTGACCTGGTGGCCCCCCCAGAGTCTGCAGGATTGGGGGTGATGACAGGGGCTGGAAAATGGCCATCGATGGATTCAGGGAATCTTGCAGAGGGGTTGTCAGCCTCACCCAGCCCCTGGGGCTCGGATTTCACAGGACGGGGGTGGGGAGAGCAGAGAAGAAAGGCAGACAGAGGCCAGCCAGTTCGTGGGCTCCCTCGAAGCTTTCCGGGGCCTCGAGGAATCCAGCCGTACAGGTTTGGGCAGCTGTCAGGAGGCAGCCGGTGAGCCTGACCCTCGGGAAGGCCCCCACCTACAAGCCCCAACCCAGGGACTATTCTATTCCCCTGGCCCAAACAAGTCCTTCTTTGCCTTGGGCCTAAGGTGATCGGCTTATCCCACTTTTTCGAGGGACATTCTCAGTTTGAATATTGAGTCCTGCATCCGAGGGACAGCGGAACGGCTGGTCCACTTGCAGTAGGGCCCTGCCTTGGCGGCCCACCGGTTCCACAGGCAGCTCTAAACCCCTATGTCATAGCCTGGTGGGGGGCTGCACACATCCGGTGGGTGTGGTGCCCGAAAAGGGCATAAGAGAACCCCGGGTTTTGTTGTTTTGTTTGTTTCTTTGAGATGGAGTTTCACTCTTGTTGCCCAGGCTGGAGTGCAACAGCAATCTCAGCTCACTGAAACCTCCATCTCCCAGGTTCAAGTGATTCTGCCTCAGCATCCCAAGTAGTTGAGATTACCGGCACCCACCACCACGCCTGGTTTCTTTTTTTGAGATGAGAGTCTCACTCTGTCGCCTAGGCTGCAGTGCAGTGGTGCGATCTCGGTTCACTGCAACCTCTGCGCCCAGATTCAAGCAATTCTCCTGCCTCATCCTTCGAGTAGCTGAGATTACAGGCACCTACCACCTTTCCCAGCTAATTTTTGTACTATCAGTAGAGATGGGGTTTTACCATCTTGGCCAGGCTGGTCTTGAACTCCTAACCTAGTGATCCACCCTCCTCAGCTTCCCATAGTGCTGGGATTACTGGTGTGCGCCACCTCGCCCAGTGACCCCAGGGTTTTTTTTGTTGTTGTTGTTGTTTTTGAGACGGAGTTTCGCTCTTGTTACCCAGGCTGGAGTGCAATGGCGCAATCTCAGCTCACCGCAACCTCTGCCTCCTGGGTTCAGGCAGTTCTCCTGCCTCAGCATCCCGAGTAGCTGGGATTACAGGCACGCGCCACCATGCCCAGCTAATTTTTTGTATTTTTAGTAGAGATGGGGTTTCACCACGTTGACCAGGATTATCTCGATCTCTTGACCTCGTGATCCACCCGCCTCGGCCTCCCAAAGTGCTGGGATTACAGGCTTGAGCCACCGCACCCAGCCTGACCCCAGGTTTTTATGACCCCAATTCCTCTTTGGCCCAACAGCTCCACACTCGAGCAAAGAGGAAAGAAATCCCATACTCCAGGAACTGGTCAGCTGTGGGAGGTGGCCGCTCAGCGGATGGGCACACCCCCACCCAGGTGACCAACCCACTGGACTTGCCTTCACAGTGGCCCCGGGCGGCTTCAGCCTCCTCCCACCGTAAGTCTCCCACTCCAGATCTCGAAGATAACACAAAGTATTTCCCCAAGCCCGGGGTTGGGTAGGGGGGTGGGCAGAGTAAAAGTACAGATGTGGAAACATCTCGGAGCCTAGGAGAGGCTGGAAGAGCGTGGTCGAGGAGCTGCCTATGTCAGGAGGATTCCCAGGACAAGTGGGCAGCAATTTGCCTGTTGTCCTCAGCCCTCACTAGGCCTAGGCTGGGAGGCCCCACACCCTCTCCTAGGCACACCCGTGCACCTGGATTCAGTTGGATCTTGGGAATGGAAGGGTTAAGGTTAGGGCCTATTCGGGGACTTTGGGCCGGAATGACATTGATATGGATAAGTGAGGGCCCCTAGGTGTAGTTACCACCTCAAAGGCACTTTAACGTGTCCAGCGAAATCCCCTCCCCCATCTGCCATGTCTGGGGAAGGAGGTGGGAGAGGGGAACCTTCCCCACTGTACTACCCTGGGAGGAAAGGAAGCTGGCTCTCCACCAGCCCCTTCCTGGAGCGACAAAATGGACCTCGTTTTTGTTCCATCTAGGAGGGTAGAGGGGAAGGAAGGCTCAGGTGGGCAGAAGAAACCAGAGTTCAGCTTAGATGGGGTGGAAGTGGGTTAACTTGTACCTCTTAGAGGGGAAGTGTGGCCCCTCTAAGGGAGGGAACCAAGTTACCAGGAGCCCCATGCACCAGGAAGAGTTCGGGGGTTGGTGTGGGGGCTGCTCGCTAAGAACTCCAAGGGCAGAGTCACCCATTGCACCCGGAGGAGCTGAGACCCTGATCTTACAGGTAGAGAAGCCAGTCCCCTGGCTCCCAAACCAAAAGGTGCAGCCAGATCGCGGTGGTGCGGCAGTCACCTTCAGGGGCTTGCTGCGCGCCTTCACAGACAGGAAGGAACTCAGGGAGCTCAGCCAACCTGGCCAAGTGCACAGCGGGAAGCAGGAGATGCCTGACTTCAGAGCCAGTCCCCTGGGTGGGCTAGGAGGGCCTCCTGAGCCTCTTTCCCGACAGGCACTGGGGCAGGGCCTCTCCTTCTTCTGGGCCTCCCAAGCACTGCTCCGTTCCTCCTTTTCCCAAATTCTTTGAGTCTCAGTACAGGGAAACCTCCACAGAGAACTGCATCTGGATCTGATTGCTGGGGAGACTCCCCTCCACCTGCTGGCTCACTCTCACAGCCACGTCCCTGACCTGGAAAGTGCCCTTTGCTCCCCACTTGCAGGCGACAGCGGGCTGGACTCCTGGGACCTTGTGGGACTCCCACCCCAGGGCTCCCTGAGCAAGTCACAGCTGCCCAAACCTCAGGTGCCTCCTGGCCGTAAAGCAGAGAGGAGACAGTTCTGCTTCAACCCTGAGACCTCCCGGGGGATTGAGGTAGGCACTGACTCAAGGCAAGCACATTGTGTCAGAGCACATGGGAGGTTTCACTTGTGAACCTGGGCAGACTCCATTGACTGGGTAACAATTAACTTTATTATCAGCTGTAACTGTCAATTTCAACCAGCAGCAGTTACTGCTCCCACCCTGTAAGGGTGGGGGCCCCTGGGGCTGCGCTGTCTTTAAGAGTAGACTCTGTCCCTGTACTTCCTGTTTCTTAGCTGAGAGGAGGTCTGAACTATATAAAGTTCGGGGAGTGGCAAGCCAAAGGGAATGGGCATCGGCCGTAAGTCAGAGAAGGGGAAGGAGAGTCACTCTGTTTTCTTCAGGTGCCAGTAAGAACTTTATTAAGGTACTAGTGCCATCAGCTCCTGCCCAAGGGCACCCAGGGCTCCAAGTCACTGAGACAGGACCTAAGACACATTCTGTTCTGGGAAGGCAGCTGGGAAGGCAGGCCAGCCCCAAAGAAGAGAGGACACTGCCTGTCCGGATTGGATGGGGGCACGCAAAATACCTCCACCACCTAAGCCCTGGACTCTGGGAATGTGACCTTACTTGATAAAAGGGCCTTTGCACATGTAATTAATTGAAGATATCAAAATGAGATTATCCTAGATTTCAGGTGAGACCTACATTCAATGACAATCTGACCTCTTAAAAGATAAAAACAGGGAGATTGGAAACAGACCTGGGGAGAAGGCCATGTGAAGAGGGAGGCAAGAACTGGAGTGATGTGGCCACAAGCCACAGAAGGCCTGGAGCCACCAGGCAGTGAGAGAGGCAGGAGGGACCGTCCCCTAGCACCGGTACAGGGAACATGGTCCTGCCCACACCTTGATTTCTGACTTCTGGCCTCCAGAACTGTAAAGAGTAAGTTTCTGTTGTTCGAAGCCACTCAGCGTGTACACATTTGTTACTGCAGTCACAAGGAACTAGTACACTGCCTTTCTCGGTGGTGGGGCCCGGGCTCTCCGAGGTCCCCCAGGGTCAAGGTTGGCTTCCTGATACCGGTCCTGGGCTGCTGGAGAAGAGCCCACTGAGACAGAACTTCCGCCTGATTACCTGAGCTCAGGCCACGTAGGGAACAAAGAGAACTTTATTGAGTCGCAGAGGCTGCACAGAAACTGGCGGGAGGGGTGCGGGCAAAGCCAGAGAGAACAGGAGCCTCTTCTCAGGGCCCAGCGCGGGAAGGAGGGGTAGGGAAGCTCTCCTGTCCCGTGGGGATGACTTCACAGCGCTTGCATGTGACCTTCGGGTCCAGTATCGATCCACACCATAGCTTCCCTGCTGTGCACGGGCAGCCCAACCCCTGGATCTGTTTCAGCTGAAAGTTAGACTTCTTAAGTCTTTTGAGTCAGGATCAGAATTTTCAACAGCCATAAACTGAGGATGATCTTAGCCGTGGCATCCAGATCCTTTATAAGGGAAATGAAACATCTGGATATAGTTAAAGCACTTTGAGCTTTTGTTTTCATCTCCTTGGACATGGGCCGTGGGCCCCGCCCGCTGCCCTGATCACAAGCCAGGTTATCAGCCCAGGGGATAGGTTACATAGTAACCTAGCAAGAGGACAGGGCACCAGGGGGAAAATGGAAGAAAAACCCGAAGCTTTAGACGAGTCTATTTTCAGACTCGCCCCTTTCTCTACCACACCTGGGCTGCTTCCGATTCCCCTTTCTCTTTTTTTTTTTTTTTTTTTTTTTTTGAGACAGAGTTTCGCTCTTGTTACCCAGGCTGGAGTGCAATGGCCCCATCTCGGCTCACTGCAACCTCCGCCTCCTGGGTTAGGCAATTCTCCTGCCTCAGCCTCCTGAGTAGCTGGGATTACAGGCAGGTGCCACCATGCCCAGCTAATTTTTTGTATTTTTAGTAGAGACGGGGTTTCACCATGTTGACCAGGATGGTCCCGATCTGTTGACCTCATGATCCACCCGCCTCGGCCTCCCAAAGTGCTGGGATTACAGGCTTGAGCCACCGCACCCGGCCCGATTCCCCTTTCTCTCCTCCCCAAACCGGGCTCTGACCCCCCTCCTCTGAATCCATGCCCAGGGAAGGCGGCTAGGGACACTGGCCCTGTGTCCAGGCAGGGGGCTGCTCACTCACCCGCCGCGGGAGGGCCGCGTCAGCAGGGAGGCGACAGGAAGAAATGCGGCGGTGGGGGCGGGGGAAAAGCGGGCAGTGGCCACGGGTCGCGGGTAGCCGGGGGTGCCAGCAGGCTGAAGGGCGAGGGCCGCGCTGGCAGCGGCGGCAGCGGCTGCGGGGGCGGCTCGGAGACCAGGGGCGAGCGGCCGCGCGCGCCCACGGGCTCGGGGGCGGCGGCGACGGCGGCCTCGGGCAGCGGGGGCAGCGGCAGGTGCGCGGGTGGCGGCGCGGGCGCGGGCAGGCGCGGCAGATCCTGCAGAGCGAGCGCGGCTGCGGGCGGCGCGGGCGCGCAGGCCTCGGGCGGCAGCTCAGGCAGCGCCAGGTGCGTTCCGGGACCCCACGGCGCCAGCGGCTCGGGCCGCAGCGGGAGCGCGGGCAGCGGCGGCAGTTCGGCCAGGGCGAGCGCAGAGGGCGGCGGCGGCCCGGGGCTCAGGCCCAGCGGCAGGCCGGGCAGCGGCGGGTGCGGCAGGGACGGCGGGGGCAGCGGGGTCGGCGGCAGTGATGAGCGGGCCCGGCCCAGTCGCGAGTGGGCGCGGGCGCGGGCGAGCCGCGGGTGCGAGCTGGAGCGGGGCAGCCGCGCCGCCAGCTTAGTTGCGGCCGCCACCCCAGGGCTCCGGAGCGCGCAGCCAGCGGCTGCCTCGAACCTGCCGAGGTGACCCCGCGCCGCGCTCCGACCGGCCCGGCCAATCGCAGGCGTCCGCCGCCGTGCTCCAGCCAATCAGAGACTAGTGCGCTCGCGGCCTACGGGTCCCTCCCGGCAGCTGGCACGGGCTACTCTTGACAGCCAATCAGAGATAAGAGCGCTCTCCGCCAAGTTCTTCTTCCCGCCCTCTCCTGGTCTCAGCCAATCGCTGTGCCCCAGGTGCCACCTCTGCTCCCTGCCCTCGAATAGCCTGGAGACCAGGCACTGCACACGCGCAGTGGGCGCCCCCACCTGGCCTGAGGATCCGTGGATTCGTTGCGACCCCGAGGCGCTCCTCCCTACCAGTTTGTTTTTTTGTTTTTCTGGTGACTTTTTTAGGGACTGAGTCTCGCTCTGGCGCCCAGGCTACAGTGCAGTATCGCGAGCATAGCTCAGTGAAGCCTCGACCTCTCGGGCTCAAGCAGTTCTCCGGCCTCAGCCTCCCCAAGTGGCTGGGACTACTGGCGTGCGCCAGTAGCCACTTCTGGCTAATTATTATACTTTATTTATTTGTTTATTTGTTTTTGAGTCGGAGTTTCCCCTCTATGCCCTAGGCTGGAGTGCAGTGGTGCGATCTCAGTTCGCTGCAACCTCCGCCTCCCGGGTTCCAGCGATCCTCCTGCCTCATCCTCCTAAGAAGCTGTGATTACAGGCGCCCGCCACCACACCCGGCTAATTTTTGTCTTTTTAGTAGAAATGAGGTTTCATCATGTTGGCTAGGCTAGTCTCAAACTCCTGACCTCAGATGATCCTCCCACCTCGGCCTCCCAAAGCCCTGGGATTACCGGCGTGAGCCGTCGCGCCCGACCTAATTGTTAAATTTTTTGTAGAGGTGGAGCCTCACCATGGTCCCCAAGCTGCTCTCGAACTCCTGGGCTCAAGTGATCTGCCAGCCTCCGACTTCCAAAGTGCTGGGATTCCAGGCATGAGCCACCGCGCCCGCCCACCCCCACCAATTTGGAGTGTGAGATTGTCCTGTTTACCCATAGTAATTCAGGTATGATGATCCTGTGTGGGTGGGTCAGGGTACACAGATTTCCATTCAGTTGTCTTATGAGAAACATAAAACAATATCAGAATTCAAAAGCAAAGTTTGGTGATAACATACTTAGCATTTTTTGTGTTCTTGAGAATGTAAATGACAGATGGGTAAGAATCTGGTAGCTCAGAACAAAAAGGATAAAATGGTCAATCTATTCAAAGTTGGGATATAGAAGCTTTTTTTTGAGTCAGGATCTTGCTCTGTCGCCCACTGCAGCCTCAACCTCCTGGGCTCAAGTGATCCCCTCATCTCAGCCTCCCAAAGAACTGAGACTACAGGTGTGCGCCACCATGCCAGGCTAATTCTTTTATCTGTAGAGAGGGGAGTCTCACTATGGTGTGTAGGCTGGTCTCGGGCTCCTGGGCTCAAGCGATCCTTCTGCCTCAGCCTCCCAAAGTGCTGGGATTACAGGAATGAGTCACTGCACCCAGTGGAAATCTTTATAAGAACAACTAAAACAATATTATAACATTTCTTGGTGTTAAGGGCTATCCTCCACTGCCCTCACTGACAATTGGTCAGTGGCCACTGTGCAGATGTTGGCTCCTAATCCCATTCTCCAGTAAAGAGAAAAACCTTGGAATGTGGTTTACTCCATGCTGTGGTGCAGACGAAGACAAGACCATTTGAATAGTATGTACTATGTATGTATGTATTTTTGAGATGGGGTCTCGATCTCTCGCCCAGGCTGGAATGCAATGGCGGGATCTTGGCTCACTGCAATTTCCGCTTCCCAGGTTCAAGCGATTCTCCTGCCTCAGCCTCCTTAGTAGCTGGGATTAAAGGCATTCACCACCACGCCTGGCTAATTTTTGTATTTTTAGTAGAGATGGGGTTTCACCATGTTGGTCAGGCTGGTCTTGAACTCCTGACCTCATGATCTGCCCGCCTCCACCTCCCAAAGTGCTGGGATTACAGACGTGAGCCACTGTGCCAGGCCTTATTTTTCATTTTTATTTATTTATTTATGAGACGAAGTCTCCCTCTCGCCCAGGCTGGAGTGCAATGGCAAGGTAGGTCACTGCAACCGCCCTGTCACAGGTTCAAGCACTTCTCTTGCCTCAGCCTCTTGAGTAGCTGAAACTACAGGCATATTCCACCATGCCTGGTTAATTTTTGTATTTTTAGTAGAGACAGGGTTTCACTATGTTGGCCAGGCTGGTCTCGAATTCCTAACCTCAGATGATCCGCATGCCTCGGCCTCCCAAAGTGCTGGGATTACAGGCATGAGCCACTGAGCCTGGCTGAATTTTTTTTTTTTTAAAGCCTGACCATGTTGGTCAGGCTGGTCTTGAACTCCCAACCTCAGGTGATCCGCCCGCCTTGGCCTGCAGAGTGCTTGAATTACAGGCGTGAGCCACTGTGCCCAGCCAAGACACTGAATATTTTTAAAGAATCAGTAATTCTGTGAAGAAGCAAAATCCTGCGATTTTGCTTTTTCCAGTAGAGCACATCAGATGAAGTAGGCAAGAGAAATCGGGCTGGAATTTTAGTGATATTTACAGAATCTCCTGAATGTTAGTCAACCCCAAACCCTGTGCATACTGAGGTAAGGTTTTGGTCTACACCCAAATTCCGTGATCATAAATCAGGCTAAAAAAAAAAGGAAGAGGTGGTGCCAGATAGGAATGCCAGATCCCATGAAGGAACTAGCTTGCAAGAAAAGGCTTGGATTTGGAAGGGCTCAGCTCAGAGGGGAAAGGTTCAGCCAGGTGCGGTGGCTCACCCCTGTAATCCCAGCACTTTGGGAGGTCCAGGTGGGAGGATCGCTAGAGCTAGTGTTTGAGACCAGCCTGGGCAACAGTGAGACCTCCTCTCTACTAAAAATTTTAAAAATTAGCTAGGCCTGTTGGCGTGTGTGTATGGTACCAGCAACTCAGGGGTCTGAGGCAGGAGGATCACTTAAGCCTGGAAGATTGGGACTGCAGTGAGCTATGCTCAAGAGACTCTGCCTCAAAAAAAAGCGTCATCTGATATACTAAATGTTTGATTTATTTATTTCCAAGAGCCCTCTAAGTGCTTAGGAACATGTGGATTTTGGATTTGTACCTGGCTCCATTAAGAGAATCAAGTTGGTTACGCTTCTAATTGTTGTTTGAAATATCTAAAGGCATTTTGTTAATTGGGCATTTAAGGCATGCTACATACTTAGGGGAAAGTTGAGCTGTGAAATTCATATTTGTTTTTATTTACTTATTTATTTCTCTTTTTTTTTTTTGAGATGGAGTCTTGCTCTTGCTGCCCAGGCTGGAGTGCAATGGTGAGATCTCAGCTCACCACAACCTCCGCCTCCCAGGTTCAAGTGATTCTCCTGCCTCAGCCTCCCAAGTAGCTGGGATTACAGGAGCCTGCCACCACGCCCAGCTAATTTTTTGTTTTTTTAGTAGAGACGGGTTTCACTATGTGGGTCAGGCTAGTCTCAAACTCCTGACCTCAGGCGATCCACCCACCTCGGCCTCCCAAAGTGCTGGGATTACAGGCCCGGCCACTTATTTATTTCTTTTTTTTTTTGAGACGGAGTTTCACTCTTGTTACCCAGGCTGGAGTGCAATGGCACAATCTCGGCTCACCGCAACCTCCGCCTCCTGGGTTCAGGCAATTCTCCTGCCTCAGCCTCCTGAGTAGCTGGGATTACAGGCACGCGCCACCATGCCCAGCTAATTTTTTGTATCTTTAGTAGAGACGGGGTTTCACCATGTTGACCAGGATGGTCTCGATCTCTTGACCTCGTGATCCACCCGCCTCGGCCTCCCAAAGTGCTGGGATTACAGGCTTGAGCCACCGCGCCCGGCCTATTTATTTCTTTATAGAGATGGGGTCTCACTGTATTGGCCAGGCTAGTCTCAACATCGTGAGCTCAAGCAATCCTGCCTCAGCCTCCCAAAATACTGGGATTACACGTGTGACCTACCATGCCTGGCCAAGCTGTGAAATGTATCATCTGATCATTCTTCAAAGAATGTGAAAGTGAGTTTTACATCCAGACTATTAGTCAGTACAGTTTCTGGAAGGCCCACTGTAAAGGCTAAGGAAAATGAGGTTTTTATCTAGTAACTTTAATAGATCGACGACGAATTAAAACACAGATAATGAAGTGTTCGTTTCCATGCTTCAGTTCCCCAGCTTGGATTTGGTTCCCCCACTTCGTGGTGACCGAGTGATGCCTTCCCTGAGGGCAGGCGTTGAGCGAGTCTGTTTTCTTCTCATGGTTTCTCCCACTGGGAACATGGTCCCTGGCACATGGCCTCATTGATGTTTGTCGAACAAATGAATGAGGTGCTGGGTAGTGGCTGCAGGCCCATGCCAATCCCACCCTGGTCAGCAAGCCCTTTGCATGGCAAGCAGAAGCGAGCAGGAAAGCAGGTTTGCGGTTCTAGGGAGGAGATCCAGGCCAGGCAGTACTGGAGGCCAAGCCTGAGGGTCTGTCTTCCTTGGCGGGCAGGCTAGGGTATGAGGCAGAGGCCCTCGGGACCAGCAGAGGCCCTGCAGTGCTCAGCATTTCCCCAGAGGGCAGCGGCCTGGGAAGAGGTAGAGCTGGGACTAGGGAGGAGCAGGGCCCTGGTGAGGCCTTGCCTCCTCCTCCCCTCCCAAGGACCTGAGCCTCGGGGGCAGTCACTCAGCAGTCACCTACAGGTGGCAGAAGCTGCTATTCCTCCCGAGGGCTGGGCGCCACCCCCCATGGGGTTGGAGGGGTGACCATGGGAGGCCTTTGGTCAGGCGGCTGGGCCACTGCAACTCCCTCACCTCCATAGCCGTTCCCCATCTGGCCGTTGCTGCCTCTCTTCACCTCAGGGCCCCCTACGGCACAGACAGACAGACCAGGGGCATTTGGGTCACCAGAGCGCTTCCATCCACCCCAGCTTCAACCTAGGCTCTGGGAGACCCCCACACCCTGAAGGGCCCAGGGCTCAGCTCTGGCCTCAGCTTCCCAGAGGACCCTGGGGAGAGGGATGGAGTGTGGGGAACTGGGTCCCCAATGGCCCTCATTCCCAGCTTTATCACCTCCACTTTTCAGTCCAGGGTCCAGGCTGGCACTCAGAGTCCCAGGCTCTGCGGCCTCTCCTCCAGCCCCATTCCTTCCTGCTCTTCCCATCCTGTGCTCTCCTGGCCTCCTCCCACTCATTCCATCCCCTCCACCAAGAGGGCTATACCCTCCATCTCTTTGGGGCTGTGGGTGAACCAGGGCCCAGGGCCTCGTTGCCTGAAACCATCTCTGATGGCCCCAGCACACTCAACCAGGCACTCCGTTACCTGGCTACTTCCCGGCCTCAGCATACTCACCTCCAGCCTGATATGCAGGCTTCAAGCCAGTCCCCCAGGCCTGGAGGGTGGGCCAGGAAGAGCCCCACAGCAGCCCAGCCTGTCCTGTAGGAGGAGAGCTGGCATGGACACCCTTGCCCACCGGAGCTAGGTCCCCTGGCCCCTGTTGGCCTTGGCTCTGCTCCCTGAAGGCCCATTTCTTTTTTCTTTTTCTTTTCTTTTTTTTATTTTTTGAGACAGAGTTTCGCTCTTGTTACCCAGGCTGGAGTGCAATGGTGTGATCTCGGCTCACCGCAACCTCTGCCTCCTGGGTTCAGGCAATTCTCCTGCCTCAGCCTCCTGAGTAGCTGGGATTACAGGCACGCGCCACTGTGCCCAGCTAATTTTTTGTATTTTTAGTAGAGACGGGGTTTCACCATGTTGACCAGGGTGGTTTCGATCTCTTGACCTCGTGATCCACCTGTCTCGGCCTCCCAAAGTGCTAGGATTATAGCCATGAGCCACTGCACCCGGCTCTTTTTTCTTTTTCTTTTTCTTTTTTGAGACAAAGTCTCACTCTGTCACCAGGCTGGAGTGCAGTGGCTCCATCTTGGCTCACTGAAACCTCTGCCTCCCGGGTTCAAGTGATTCTCCTGCCTCAGCCTCCTGAGTAGCTGTGACTACAGGTGCCAGCCACCACACCCAGCTAATGTTTGTATTTTTAGTAGAGACAGGGTTTCACCGTGTTGGCCAGGAGGATCTTGATCTCTTGACCTTGTGATCCATCCACCTCAGCCTCCCAAGGTGTTGGGATTACAGGCGTGAGCCACCAAGCCTTGCCTTGCTCATTTCTTACCATTTCCTTCAGGGGCTGGAGCCGAGGCTTTGGGGTTCACCAGAGCTTCCACCCCATCCCCTGTAAGAGACTCCAGTCATTCCCACCTAGCCCCTGGGCTGTTGGCTCCCCGACCCCACTGCACTTTGTCCCCTGCGTCTGACTCACCATTCCTAAAGCCATTGGCCCCAGGGAACCCTGGAGGAGGAAAGAGGGTGTCAGAGGCCGGGCTATGTCCTCTGAGCCCAACGCTCCCACCTCCACCCCCGATCCCCAGGCACCTGGCTGTGGGCGGGCTTCCGGGAAGACCCTGGCTCCCAGGACACCATTCCCATAACCGAAACCTACAGGACAGAGATTGGAGAGGAGCTAGGGACAGGCTAGTGCATCAGGAGGGCCAGGTGACCTGCTCATAGACAGGGGGATGCAGACAGACAGATTGACTCAGGCATGTGGGAGATGCCAGCTTCCACCCAACATAGGGGCCCAGGAGGACTCACCAATTTTCTGTGGCTCGAGGCCACCACTGAAACCTGGGGGAGAGAAAACTGTGACTCAGAGATGGGGGTCAGAGAGAGCCACAGCCTTGGCCTCCCCGCTTCCTGGGATGGCAGAAGGAAGAGGAGGGGAAGGGAGGGGAGGAACTCCAGGAAGGGACTCCTCACCCAGTTTTGTTCCTGGTCCATAGCCATTTGGGGGCTGGTGCCCTGTGAGAAGAATGGAGGTCAGTGTGGAGGACACAGACTTCCCCTGATTCCTTGGGGGCCAAAGATGGACTGTAGAGACTCTGAAGGGGAAGCAGGGACTTTTCCTGTCCACACGGAATGGAACCAGAAGAAACTTAGAGAGCAGCAAGAGGCCAGGCACAGTGGCTCATGCCTGTAACCCCAGCACTTTGGGAGGCTGAGGTGGGCTGATCACTTGAAGTCAGGAGTTCAAGACTAGCCTGGCCAACATGACGAAACCCCATCTCTACAAAAATTACAAAAATGAGCCAGGTATGGTGGTGCATGCCTGTAAGGCCAACTACTTGGGAGGCTGATTTTGCAGTGAGCCAAAATTGCACCACTGCACTCCAGCCTGGGAGACAGAGCAAGACCGTCTCAAAAAAAAAAAAAGCGGCAACTCGGGGAGGGACTTCCTGGCCTCAGGTTGCCTGAGTAGCTGAGGCAGCCTAGGGAACAAGGTTGATGAAGGCGTGCCCCTGATCTGGTGTGGGGGACAGAGGATAGACCTAGTTGAGAGTTTGTGCCTCTGGGATGTGGGGCTGGGGGCAGAAAGACTTACACCTGCTTTCTGAGATTTCAGTCCCCACAGGATGGAGAAAAGTCGGGGCAGGAGTGAGCCAGCTCAGGACTTGGGAGGCCGCAGCTGCCATGGGGCAGGGATGGAAAGGGCTTCCATGCTGGGGACCACATGGGGTCCCAGAGCCAGAGTTCAGGCTTCTCCTCAGCGTATCGCTGTGTGACAAGTCACTGCCCTCTCTGAGCCTCAGCGTCAGAGGACAGGACAGAGCCAGACATGGCAGCCAGGCACTCCCACTCCACACTGACCTTGGAACTTGCCATTCTGCACTGCGGGAGGGGGCTGGGATTTCAGGCCCCAGACACCCTCTCTGTCCAAAGGGATCCCTGGAGTGGGAAGCCTGGGGAGGAACAGTGGAGCGACCCTCAAATTGCAGGGACCTAAGATGGGGAGGAAGGGAGGGGTGGGTGTGTGCTCCAGGCCGGTCTTCACTGATGCTGCCTAGGAGGACTTGGCCTGGCCAGCCCACCAGCCTGTGTGGCTTCTAGGGCAGACCCGGCACCTAAGGGGAACATTAGCCAGGCTGGAGAAAGCCCAGCTCCCTCCGGCCATACCCTGCTGGGGAGACCTGGGGACCCAGGCAGGGGATGGAGGGACATAGGGACCTGGCAGGGATGCAGCTCCTGCTGTTTGTCCTCGAGCCCCTCCATCTTCCAGCAGCCTCCCTCTCCCTCCCTCCTGGGCCCCCACCCCAGTCCCAGTGGCCTCACCTGGCTGGGCCCGCAGCCCATTTCCATGGCTATATCCTGGAGAGGGAAAGCAAAGATGGTAGCACTGGGGGTGGGGGCTGGAGGGCTGAGAGGCAGGAGGAGGTGCTGGGCAGAGCAGTGGGGGGGGGTGTGCTCCCCAACTTGCCTGGCTTACGAGCCTTCAAGCTGTCTGGCAGGCCTGGGGAGAGGCAGAAAGAGGCCAGTTCAGACCCCTGTCTACCCCATGGTGGTAGTGAACCCCTTGCTCCTCTGCTCAGCTCCCTGGCCCTCACTTCTCACCTGACAGGAGCCCCAGCTGGGTCCCTGGTGTGTATCCTGGGGTGGAGAGCAGGGCATAAGGTTGGGCTTGGAGTTGGGGACCTCGGAGGAAGCAGGAAGACGGGCAGAGAGAAACTCGGCTTTGGAGGTTTCAGATCCCTTCCCAGGCCAGAGACCCACGGAAAATGATGGACAGGCTGACCCAACCCTGCCCCTTCCCTCCCTGATACCCAGCTCTGCCCCTTGGAGCCCATCCCCCTTCCCCTCTGCCCCAGATCCCACCCACCTCCCTCGCCTGGCTGGACTCCTTCCCACAGGAAGTCTCCAGCTCCAGCCTGTTCTTGCACCCTAGGGAGACAGGGTGCGGCTTGGGGGGAAAAGGGTGGAGGGGGTAGGCTGTGTCTGCGTGCAGGGAGAGTGAAGAGGGTGGAAGGGGCTTACCTGGCTTCTGAGGTTTCATGCCCTCTCCAATGCCTGGAGAGATGGGAGCAGGTGAGGTACCCATGTCGCACCCCTCACAGGGGGCCTCTTCCAGATTCAGCATCTGCCCCCTCACCTGGTGCCCATGCCAACCTCCCCTACCTGGTCTGTGGCCAGTGGAAACTGTAGGGCTTGTGGAGCGGCATGGGGAGAGGCTGGGGTGCAGAAGGGGGCTGGCGCCTGGCCCCCCCATTCCTCCCAATTTAGGAAGTGGAGCTCTGGGCATCTCTGCCCACCTTGTGCCATCTCTACTCCAGACTCTACCCCCTCTAAGGCTGCAGGAGCCCCCAAGAGAACCCTCAGAGGCCCCCAACTCTCTCCTCCTCTCTGTAACCCCAGCAACCCCAGCCCCCCAGTACCTGTTCTGTAGCCATTCTGGGCTGAGGGGCCTGTGGGGAGGGAGGGGTGAGCAGGGGTTTGGGATTCTAGCCGAGGTTGGGGCGAAGGGCCTGTGGCTCCCCCTTCAGAGCCAAGTCAGAAAGCAGGAGTCCTGGAGCCGCCCTTCCTCCCTCAATTTGGTGCCCACCTGCCCTGGAGGCCTAGAAGGGAGGCAGGGACAGCCGCGTCCATATCCCTTCACTGGCTGGATTCCCAGCTTTCTCCTGAGTCCCGATGGAGCTGAGATGGGGTGTGAATGAGGGAGGGAGCTCAGGGTTTGGGGGAGGCAGAGGGACAGGTCGGGTGGGCTCACCTGGCTTCTGCGGCTTCATGACCCCCACAGAGCCTGGTGGAGAGACAGGGAGCAGGTGAGGAAACCAGGGTCTCTGCCCTGAGCCTCCTGGAAGCCCAGCCCTGCCCCTACCTTGTCCATAGCCATTTGGAGCTGCCAGGCCTGTGGGGCAGAAAGGAGAGCGTGGTAAGGCTGAGCCCGAGGGGGACTGGGAGGCAGGGGCCAGGAAGGGGCCCTTGGTCTCTCCCCCACCTCCTCTCCCTGCAGTCCTTGGTGCTCCTACAGACCTCACTCGTGAAGCAGGGGTCACCCCTCCCCTGGGAGTCCCATGCAGACCCAGCTCGAACACCAGGGGCTAGGGGAGGTGGGGCCACAGACGCCGGCAGTCCCCTCACCTGGCATCAGAGGCTTCATGCCCATTCCTAGACCTGGGAGAGACAGAGAGGCTGATGTCAACTCCAACCAGAGCTGCCGACCTCCAGACCCCGGCCCTTTGTCCCCATGGCCCCGGCTTCTCTCCTCCCACCCTACCTCCTAACTGCTCGGGCGCCAGGGCCAGCTGCCCTCACCTGGCTGGACTCCAAGTCCATTTTTGTGGCCATAACCTGAGGGGGAGGGACAGGGTGGGTGTGAGATGGCAGCATGCAGAGGGGGCATCAGGAGGAAGCAGCTCGGCTATGAGAAGCCCTAGAGACAGGGCAGAGGGGCAAGAGCCCTCCCACACCTGTCTTCTGAGGCTTCACTCCCCTCCCCAGGCCTACAGAGAGAAACGGAGGCGGAACCACACCGGGCTAGCCAGTGGCACCCATTTCCCCAGGATTCAGACCCACACTCTGTCCCCCGCCGGTCCCCTGGCCACTCTCTGCATTCCCCATTCCCTCCAAGAAGCCTGGGTTAGGCTGGGTGCAGTGGCTCACGCTTGTAATCCCAGCACTTTGGGAGGCTGAGATGGGTGGATCATCTGAGGTCAGGAGTTCAAGACCAGCCTGGCCAACATGGTGAAACCCCATCTCTACTAAAAATACAAAAATTAGCTAGACGTGGTGGCGGGTGCCTGTAATCCCAGCTACTCAGGAGGCTGAGGCAGGAGAATCACTTGACCCCAGCAGATGGAGGTTGCAGTGAGCTGAGATTGCACCACTGCACTCCAGCCTCGGTGACAGAGCAAGACTCTGTTTAAAAAAAAAAAAAAAAAGGCTGGGCTCCTGCCCTAGGTGTCGTCACCTGGCTGGGTTCTGGCCCCAGGGAAGGCCCCTGCTCCCAGCACCTTCCCATATCCTGGAGAAGGAGAGGTAGCATGAGCCCAGTGCTTATGGCTTCAGGGGTGCGTGCATAGAGAGGCAGACTAGGGCGGGGCTCACCTGGCTTCAGAGGCTTTACAACCCCTGCCAAGGCCTGGAGGAGATACGGGGCCAGTGAGAGACTCAGGGGCCCCACCCACAGTTTCCCTGAGTCCTTCCTTACTCCTGCTCTTACCTGCTCCAAATCCAAATCCGTTCTGGGCTGTCAGGACTGTGGGGAGAGGAGGGTGGGGTGGGGATTTGGGGTTTGGTTGAGGTGGAGGTGAGGGAATCCTGGAGGCTTCCTCCCAGCTGGCCTATTATTCAGCAGCTCAGCCCTCCCCCCCACCCCCCCCACCCCCCCCCACCCCCCACTCCACCCCCCCCCCCCGTGAGACTGGGGAGGAAGGCAGGAAGAGGATGCCCCAGGGGCAGACCCCCAGACCCCACCTCTCTCACCTGGCTGAGCACCCAGCCCATTCCTATTCCCGTTCCTGAATCCTGGGGGACAGATGGAGGTGAGGATGAGAGGGGGAAGAGGGCTCTGAGAGTTGGGGAGACAGAAGCTCAGGGGAGATTCAGGCTCACCTGGCCCCTGTACCTTCACACCCCTTCTAAACCCTTCAGGAAAATGGGGAGCAGATGAGATACCCAGGAGCCCCCAACTCACATCTACCCCAGAATCCCAGCATTGAGACCCTAGCTCCTCCCATCCTCTCAGGACCTGCTCTGTGGCCATTCTGAGCTGGGGGGGCTTGTCGGGGAGGGAGGGCTGAGCTAAGCTGGGGGCACAGTGCCTACAGTTCCCCTCCAGGGCCAAGCCAGAAGCCAGTGATCCTAGAGATGCCCCACCACCCCTCTCCATCATTCACCAATCCCACCCCTGGGAGGAAAAGGCCACCCAGATGTGGACCCTGGAACCCCAAACTCTATCCCCTTCACCTGGCTGGGCTCCCAGCCCAATCCCATACTAGAATCCTGGGGGAATAGATCAAGGAAGGTATGAATGAGGGGAGGGAGCTCAGGGTTTGGGGAGGCAGAGGGACAGGCAGGGGCAAGGCTCACCTGGTTTCTGTGCTTTCACACCCCCCACATAACCTAGTGGAGAGACACAGAGCACATGAGGAACCGGGGGCCCCAGCTCTAGGCCTCCCCAAACGGCAGCCCCGCTCCTACCTGGTCCATAGCCGTTTTGAGTGGCGGGGCCTGTGGAAGGAGAGAAAGGGTTAGGGCCCTCAGGAGCCCTGGATGCCATCTCCAGCCACCTGGGGCAGGGGTGTCACCACCTCTGACTTCAACCAGCCAGAAAGGTGGGTTCCTTGGCTCAAGCTCCGGCTCCTGCCACCCTGGGTCTTGAGCTCTTGCTGGAGTCTGTACCTTCTTTGTTCAGAACTCTTTTTATTTAATTTTTTTTATTTTTTATGACTCTTCCCCCCCTCTTTTTTTTTCTGAGACAGGGTTTCACTCTTGTCACTCAGGCTGGAGTGCAATGGCGTCATCTCGGCTCGTGGCAACGTCTGCCTCCCAGGTTCAAGCAGTTCTCCTGTCTCAGCCTCCCGAGTAGCTGCGATTACAGGCATGACGCCCAGCTAATTGTTTTGTATTTTTAGTAGAGACGGGGTTTCCCCGTGTTGGTCAGGCTGGTCTCGAATTCCTGATCTCAGGTGATCCACCCAATTTGGCCTCCCAAAGTGCTGGGACCACAGGCATGAGCTACCATGCCCGGCCATTCAGAATTCTTTTTGGTCCAGTTTCTCAGAGGATTGGGCCGTTCTCTCCTCCCTGGCCTCCACTGCCTCCTGCCCAGAATGCCCAGGGCCCGGCTCTGGGGCAGCCTCAGCCCACATTTGATGTCCCAGTGTGGCCCTGGTTTGGGGAGGGCCTGTCCCCAGCACCTGGTTGGTTCAGAACAGGCATGGTCCACGGATTAGTTTGTTTTTTGAAGAGGGTCTCCCTCTGTCACCGGGGCTGGAGTACAGCGGCAAGATCTCCACTCACTACTACCGCGACCTCCTGGGCTGGAGTGGTCCTCACCTCTCAGCCTCCAGAGTAGCTGAGATGATGGACATGTACAATCACACCTGGCTAATTTTTGTATTTTTTTTATAAGTGGATATGAGCCCAAGAGTTCAAGACCAGTTTGGGAATGTTGCCCGTGGTGGGCTCAAGTGATCCACCTGCCTCCGCCTCCCAAACTGTTGGGATGACAGGCATCAGCCACTGCTCCAGGCCTGGATTGGTTTGTTGAATGAGGTTTGTTGTGTGAGACCAAGCTGGGGGGCTAGAGGGTGGCGCTCACCTGCTGTCTGAGGCTGTAGTTGTCCTCCCGGGCCTGGGAAGAGAAGAGGAAGGACTTCCTGCGAGTCCACCCAGCGCTCTGAACCAGGACCCGGCCCCCACCCCCATCAGTAACCCCCAACCCCTAAGACCTCCATGCTTCCAGAACTCCAGGGCCCCACCTGCCTGGGTTTCAGCTCCCAGGAAGGCCCCGGCTCCCAACTCATTCCCATTCCCACATCCCAGGGAGACACAGAATGTGGAGATCCAGGGCTCTGGGGAAGCAGCAGCAGATGCACAGGAAATGGGCAGGGAGACGGGACAGGGTGGGGCTCACCTGGCTTCTGGGGTTTTCCACCCCCTCCAAAGCCTGGGGGGACGATGGGAGCATGAGGGATCCTTTCCTCTGGGCCTGCGCCCAGAATCTCAGCCCCAGGCTCCCTGCTTCCGTCCCCACCCTCTTTACCTGGTCCAAAGCCATTTTGAGCGGCAGGACCTGTTTGAGGGGCAGACACAGCAGTGTAGAGGCGCTGCAGTGGGAGTGAGCTGGGGCCTGGAGCCCTGCCCTCTCCCCTTCTGTCTCGCGGCCTCTGCCCTCCTGGTCTGTCTCGTGTGAACTCCCTCCCAGGACTGACCGCAGTCGTGGTTGGATTTGGCTCTTGGCCTGGGATTCCAGACTGTGGCCACACTTGACCAGCTGGAGTGTCCTCCCTGCCCAGCTGAGGCCTGGCTCAGGGTGGGTGGGTGCTCAGGGGAGACTGGGTGAATGAATGAACCCCCAAGAGCCCATCAGGGACCTAGAGTGTGGCCCCGGGCCCCTGACCTCTCCCTCCCAGCCACCCCAACCCCTTTGGCCCCCACCTGGCTGGATTCCTGGGCTGTTTCCATTGCTGTATCCTGGGAGGAAAAGCAGTGTGTGAGGGGTGGATCTGGGGAGGACGTGAGGGTGGGACAAGGCCAGAGATGCAGGGACCACAACCAAGATAGAGGAGGGGAGAGCAGGGGCTCACGGACCCCACCCATTTCCTGTCCTACCCCGCAAGAAATCAACTTTCTGCCCTGTGGATTTCTAACATCCCCTATCTCTTCCCTGTGTCTCCTTCTAGAATCCTGGCTTAGTCCAGGTGCCCTCACCTGGCTGGGCTCCAGCTCCCAGGAAGTCCCCAGCTCCCTTCCCATCCCCATCACCAGATCCTGGGAGACCTAGTGGAAGGAGGAAGTGGAGACTGGGCCGGATGTGTGTGCACGGGGGAGTGGAGGACAGGGACACAGGACAAGGCAGGCACACTTGGCTTCGGAGGCTTCACCGCCCCCCATGCCAGGAAAAGATAGACCAGGAAAGGGAGGCTGCAGCTCCCTCCAGCCCCCAGACCCAAGCCCAGGCCCTTAGCTCCACCCCACCCTCCCTGGCCTGGTTTTGGGCCTGTGGGGTGAGGGAGTCAGAGGCTGGAGCTAGGCCATGTGGGGTGCAGTTCCGTGGTCTAAACACCACCCCAGCACCACTGTGTCCAACACCCTGACAGTTCTCGAAGGGCATGTGCCCTGAGGGCAGCTCAAAGGCCTCCCCAGAAGTCCCCAGTCACAGGCCTGGCATCGGCAGGCCACAAAGGGACCAGTGTCTGGGGAGGGTAATAGACTGAGAGGGAGATAGAGAGGGACGGGACACAGCGAGTGTGGCAGGGAGGCAGCACAGGGGACGGGGTCCTCCCTTCACCCGCTTCTGAGGTTTCCTCTCCCCCAGGCCTGGGGAGAGCTAGAAAGAGGCCAACATTGACCCGAAGAACTCCTCCCCTAAGAATGAGGGCTAGGACCCCGAGCCCTCCTGCCTGTCCCTCCCTGTGGCCCCTACCCAGCCACCCTCGGGTATGAAAGATGGGGAGACAGAACCTGGTGGGGGTCCTGCCCCTGGAAGAGTGCCAGCACCCAAACCACTTCTGCTCTCTAATCCTGGGAGACAGAGGCGAGGGCCATGAGTTGTATGGTGGGCAGGCTTGGGGGACACAGAGGCGCCCGTATAGTACTGGGCAGGGTAGGGCAGGGCTCTACCTCACCTGGCTTCAGAGGTTTCACGCCCACTCCCGGGCCTGGGAAGGGACAGAGTGGCTGAGCCCTCCCCACCCTTCAGAACCCAGCTCTCCCAGCCTCTGGTTCCCTGACTCTGCTATACCCACTCCTCCCTCCCAGAAGCCCAGATTCTGCCCCACCTGTCTGTGTCCTCACCTAGCTGGGCTCCAGCCCCTGGGAAGGCCCCTGCTCCCAGCCCGTTTCCATATCCTGGGGAGACAGAGCCAGAGGGACATGAGGAGGGGAGACAGGGGCGTCAAGCAGAGACGGAGACAGACAGTGGGAAGTGGACATTAGGACAGGTATGGGGCGGGCTCGCCTCTGGCTTCTAGGGTTTCACAGCCCCTCCAAAGCCTGGGAAGAGAGATGGGCAGATGAAGGAGCCAGTGTACCCCTTCACCAACCAGACATCAGAACTCCTTGTGGTCCCCTTCCTGCCCACCTCCCATGAGGGTCCACCTGTTCTGCCTTCTCTGAGGCCTGGGGGAGCCTGGAGAGGACCTCGAAAATGCTGATCTGGCTGCATCCCTTCCTCCACAGCATCAGGCAAGATTAGGTACCTCCATGCCCCTCCCATGTCCGTACCGCTTGCCCCCACCTCACCTGGCTGGGTTGCAGCACCTGGGAAGGTCCTGAACCCTGGAGCGAGAAGGCAGGAGGGAGTCAGGAAGAGTGAGGGCGGGGGGAAGGGTGCAGGCAGGGCTGGGCGAGGCTCACCTAGGTTCTGGGGTTTCATGCCCCCTTCAATGCCTGGAAAAGAGATGAGGATCAGATGAGGGGCTCAGGAATCCCCATGCCAGGGAAACCCATAGAATCCTGGCTTCCACCTCTACCTGCTCCATAGCCGATCTGAGTGGAAGGGCCTGTGAGAGACAGAGACGTGAGCTGAGGAGGTTTGGGGTCCCAGCTGTGGTGGGGGTACAAGACCCTTGGACACCCCCATGGACTAAGCCAGACAGCAGAAAATCTGAGCGGCTCCCTGTGCCCCCCTCCCCATCACTCTCCAATCCTGCCTTTTCCCTCTGTGGCTTGGGAAGGAGACAAGGAGGGGACCCTATGGCTATCACCTGGCTGGATTCCCAGGCCATGCCTGATCCTGAATCCTGGAGAGACAGATGGGGTGAGGTGAGGGGTGTGAGAGAAGGATGAGGAGGCAGAGCTGGGGCTGGGGCAGGGCTTACCTGGCTTCTGTGGTTTCACACCCCCTTCATAGCCTGCAGAGACAGGGAGCAGGTGAGGGACACCCCTCTCCCAGGATCTCCCCAGAACCCCTCACCTGCCCAGAGCCTTTCCAAGCAGCTTGCCTGTGGGAACTCAGTCCCTTCCCATGAGGGTGGAGGGCTGCAGAGCACAGGTGGGTGCTTTCAGCCTGTCTTCCCTCTTTCCCTCTCTCTTTCCTTTCTCCTTCCTTCTCTCCTTTCCTTCCCTCCCTACTCCCTTTCTTCCTGCCTACCTTCCCCTCTCCCCAGCCAGGATGCCTGGGGGACACTCTGGGGCTCAGCTTTGTCCCCACCTATTTCTTTTTCTTTTTTTTTTTTTTGAGACCGAGTCTTGCTCTGATGCCCAGGCTGGAGTGCAATGGCATGATCTTGGCTCATTGCAAACTCCGCCTCCTGGGCTCAAGCGGTTCTCCTGCCTCAGTCTCCCAAGTAGCTGGGACTACAGGCACGTGCCACCATGCCCGGCTAATTTTTGTACTTTTAGTAGAGACAGGGTTTCACCATGTTGGCCAGGCTGGTCTCGAACTCCTGACCTTGTGATCCACCCGCCTCAACGTCTGAAAGTGCTGGGATTACAAGTGTGAGCCACCTCACCTGGCCTGTCCCCCTGTATTTCTGAGATGACTGCTTCCCCCTTTACCTCTTCACCTCCCAACCCAGCTTTCCCTGCTCCTGCCCTCCCTCCACAAACCCCACTCCCGAGCCCTGCCCTCAGACTCCTCCCTTCCCTATGCCAGGCCTCACCTGCTCCCAGACCACTGTGGGGACCATAGGCTGTCGGAGAAGTGAGACGTTGAGCCCAGGGGACTTGAGCAGCTGGGAGCCAGTGTACTACCCTCCCCGAGCACCCCCTGCAAACTTTACCTGATCGGTAGCCATTTGGGCTCTCTAAGCCTGTGGGGTCCAGGAAGAAGTGGGAGAAAGGGGCCCAAATCTGGATGCCACCCACCTCTCTGGGCCTCAGTTTCCCTACTGTCACAGGAGGGTAGAAAGCAGAGCAGTCTGGGGCCAGGGTAGTGGAGGCTGGAGGGCCCCTGGGCCTGGAGGAAGCTATCTGAGCCAGGGCCCTGGGGGGCTGTGGGACAGAGCCCACTCCAGCCTCTTCCTCACCTCTCCCATCCATTCTCTGTACTGGGCTCCCCTCGCTGGAAATCTCCTCTTCTCACCCCCGAGCCCCCCATCATCTTTCTCTCCTGAAGCTCAGATGCATCAGGGCTCAGGGGGAGCCTCTCCTCCTACCCTTAGGACCCCCCACGTCTCTGGAGTAAAGACCCTTCCATGACACTCGGCCTCCTGCCTGGGCTCTCCTTGTTCCCTCCCTCCTGTCTGCCCCTTTGGGCTGCTGCCTTCCCCTCCTGTCACACCTGCGACCCTTCTGAGCCGGCGCAGGCCCCTCCTCAGGGCTGCATGTTCTGCCTGGTGGACTCTTTCCAGAGTGCAGGGTGTCTGTGCCCCCCAACCCTTGAGTGGACACTTGATAAGACTCCCTGCCCGGAAGACAGCAGGGCCCTCAGCTCTCCTGGGCCTGCCATCACGAGTCCCGGAGAGCTCCCACATTCCCAGGGCAGGAGAGATGGGGCCTCTTCCCTAACGCCAGTGCCAGAGGGGCCACCTACCTTTCCGCAGGCCAGGAGGCAGCAGGGGCAGCCCTGGGCAAGTAAGAAGGTGCTGACTCAAGGCTGGGGACCCAGAGGCTGAGATGGGGCAGGGCCCAGGCATCTATCCTCCAGCTCCCCAAAAACCCTCAATGTCTGAATTCTCTGCCCAGACCAGGCCAGGCTTCCCACACCCCAGCCCTCCTTGTCTCCAGGACCCCAGCATCTGGCCAGGGCCTCACCAGCAACCCCAGCCCCGGGCGCAGATGCCTGCCCTTCAACCCCCAGCCTTGAGCTGCCCTCACCGCCTTGCAAGCTCTCGGGAGTCAGGCAGAGAAGGAAAAGAGCAGCGGGGAAGACCCAGGCGCCCATGACTCTGGACAGAGTTCGAAGGCCCACACCCTTTGGGCTTTCAAACACCGCTGGTTGGGTGGGACCCTTGCCCAGGCGCCCCAGCTTTGAGAGGCAGAGGCTCTGCCTGCAGACCCTGGGGGGTCAGCCCCGCACCTCCCCCTGTGGCAGAAGTCTAGCTCTAGCCCCTCATCCATCATGGGCATTGACAGCGGGACAGGCCCCCTGCCTGGCCCCTGAGACTTCTCCACCCCTGTCAGTGACTTAGGCCCTGGCGCCAGGCCCAGAGGGCTCAGATGTCCACCCAGTAATGGGCAGGCACCCTAGGCCCAGCCCAAACACAGCTGGGGAGAGGGCGGGAGCCAGGGCCAGCCAGAAAAGCTGGGGCTGCAGAGTGTTGCAGACAGCAGGGGTGGAGGTGACAGCCTCTCAGACCCTGTCTGACAGGCGGGTGGCGTCCCCAACAAAAGCCAGGCGTCATCCCGTCTAATCCTGAGACCGCACAGACCTCTCCTGCAGGGCCCTTTGTCCTCATGGAGGCTCAGACTGCCAGAGTGGGCCAGAACCCCCAACTCCAGAGCCCCCCCATTCCAGGAGCGATAGGGACACACAGGGACGGGCCAGCTGTCCCCAGCCTCTCTGAGAGTCCTTGGAGGCCCTCCAGCTCCTTCTCATCTCCTGCCTCAGCAGCGACTCTGACTTTGGGTCACAGACTAGCAGACTAGCAGAGCCACCACTCAGGGTGGCAGGGCAGGACTGCAGGAGAGGCTAAGGAGGGACGTGGGGGGCTGGGAGCAGCTCTCCATGCCTGGGGCTGGGTGGATGGACTTGGAGCCGGGGCCCTGTGCTGGGGGCCTGGCAGGAAGGCGCCGGGTGTGGGGGTCTGGGCAACAGGCACCACCCCACCAGGAGCCTGCAAACCCCGCCAGCCTGGCTGGGGATGGCAGTGAGTCAGCCCCCGGCCCCTGCACCCTCATCCAGAAGGCCCCACACCCTGTCTGTCTGCTCGCCTGTCCCCTGCTCCGCCAGCCTCTCCTCGAGCCTCTGGCTAAGGAGTCCAGTCTGCCAAGCCAAGCAGCCCAGCTAGGCTGGGGGTCTGGAGAGGGGCTGCAATGAGGAAGGGGTGGCAGGGGCTTCTCCCAGAGAGGCTGTGGAGCCCACATGTCTGCGGCCAGGTCCAGCCTGCCAGTAGACTGCAGGATTACCACCAGGTACCCTCACTCACAGGCCAGCCCAGCACTGATGTCCCTGTGTCCCTCCCTCCTACATCGCAGGCTGCACCCCACTGCCGCTCTTTCTCCCCACACATGAGCCCCCCGGGGCTCACACCCACAGGCACACTGAGATGCCCATGGAGTCCACCTCCCCACCACAGACCCACCTTTGCATGAGGTCTGTCTGCTCGTGGCAGGCCCCCTCAGCCCAGCACCTCAGAACAGTGCCCTGAACACCTCCCTCCTGCCCTGCCTGGCAACCATGAGTTGGGGTCCCAGAGGCTGGACCTTCAGAGGCTGCTGATGGGTTCAGGGATGCTCCGACCCCATCCATCCCATGAGAGCCCAGGGCAGCAAGGACGGTCCATTCAGACTCCCTGGGAGGGCTTTCCTGCCAGGCCACCTGCTCTGCCCATGGCACAGGCACAAGTCCCCTGTGTATTCCTGGCGGGCAGCCGAGTGCCCCGTGGCTAGCAGCTAGGTTCTGGATTCAGACAGGGTGCAAACGCCCACTCCATCTGTCTCGGGGCCTTCCTGAGCGTGTCCACTCTCCCCCGAAAGGACAATACGAGCACCTTGAGGTTGGGGCTACTGGGAGGAGCTGCCACTTATCTTCACTTACAGATGGGGAAACAGAGGCAGAGGGGAGGGCACTGGGCTGATTGTGCAATTCCTGAGTGGTGGGGCTAAGATCTGAACCCCAGCAGTCTGGCAGTCCCCACGTCTGCTGTCCCTGCTCTCCAGCACCTTACATGCGGGCAGTAGGCCCAGTTATGCCAGACAGCACGAGGTGTCTGCTTCAGACCCGGGACAGCTGAGAGCTCCTACACAGACACATGACTCGCCCCGCAGGGCACTGGGATAGAATGGCCCAGGAAGGACCCTGTGGGAGGTAAAGGATGGGCGCCTGCTTGGCCACTGCCAGAGGAAACACCAGTGCCCGCCACCACTGCCAGGCTGCCTGGTGCTGGCATGGCTTTGGAAAATGCCAACCAGCCCAGGGCGTCAGGCCAGCCTGACAGCCGCTCAGGACCAGGCCAGGCCCAGTCAGTGTCCCAGCCCCTGCAATGTCACCACCCCTACTGCCAGCACAGCCAGTCCCCTCTGCTTACCCGCAGACTCACCCAGGCAGGGTCTGCCTGACAGTGCAGACCATGTGCAGGCCAGGAGAGCCCCTGCTGGAGCCCTGACCTGGGCTACCCCTTGCTTCCAGGCACCCTGGCCTGAGGGGTACACAACACAGCCCCTGAACAGAGGAGCAGCTATGGAGGGCCAGGGCTGGGGTCTGAGGGAAGGGCGACGGCAGGCATGTTGGAAGCGAGGGACGCAGGCCCAGGAAGTGCATGGCCTAAAATGACGAGATTGCCTGCCAGCTGCTTGACACCAGCAGCACCTGTGAGGGCAGGAATGTGGGGAGGACAGTTGGAGCAGTGGTCAGGTGCCTGCCGGGCGGACACCTTCTGCACTCCGCTGTGAGCTGGGAGTCCTGCCGGCCACTCTGCTCGGGCAGTTCTCCAGTCCAAATGCAAATATCAGAGCCTCTGGTACACCTTCCTACGCATCCTAAGGCAACTCGCCAGCAAAGCTGACGTCTACGAGCTCCTCCCACCCATCCACCAGTTTATTAAAATCTTACGCAGTTCTTCTAGTGTAGTGTCAGGAAAAAGAAAAAAAAAAAGCGTTAAGCAAATGTGGCCTGTAATTCCAGTACTTTGGGAGGCCGAGGCAGGAGGATTGTTTGAACCCAGGAGTTTGAGATCAGCCTGGGCAACATAATGAGACCTCCCCTGTCTCTACAAAAGATAAAAAATTACCAGGGTCGGGTGGTGCACCCCGTGGTTCCAGCTACTTGGGAGGCTGAGGTGGGAGGATCACTTGAGCTTGGGAGGTTGAGGCTGCAGTGAGCCGTGGTCATACTATTGCCTGAGTGACAGAGTGAGACTCTGTCTCAAAAATAATCAAAAAAACTAGCCGGGCCCAGTGGCTCACACCTGTAATTCCAGCATTTTTGGAGACCCAGGCAGGTGGATCGCGAGATCAAGAAATTGAGACCATCCTGGCCAATATGGTGAAACCCTGTCTCTACAAAAATACAAAAGTTAGCTGCGCGTCATGGCACACGCCTGTAGTTCCAGCTACTCGGGAGGCTGAGGCAGGAGAATCGCTTGAACCTGGGAGGCAGAGGTTGTGGTGAGCCAAGATCGCACCACAGCATTCCAGCCTGGCAGCAGAGCAACAGTGTGTCTCAAAAAAAAAAAAAAAAAAGGCCGACACGGTGGCTCACGCCTCTAATCCCAGTACTTTGGGAGGCCGAGGCGGGCAGATCATGAGGTCAGGAGATCGAGACTATCCTGGCCAATATGGTGAAACCCCGTCTCTACAAAAATTAGCTGGGTGTGGTGGCGCCTGCCTGTAATCTCACCTTCTCTGGAGGCTGAAGCAGGAGAATCGCTTAAACCCAGGAGGCGGAGGTTGCAGTGAGCCGAGAGTGCACCACTGCATTCCAGCCTGTCGACAGAGTGACACACCGTCTCGAAACAAAACAAAAAAACAACCCTTATTCAATTATGAAATTTAGCGTGCAAAGGTAAGCGCACGTGAGATGTGAAGGCGCGGTGTAGCAATTGTACTTAGGAAACAATCCCCTATGCAAGCAGACCCGGGTCAGGAAACAGAGCACGGCCAGTTCTGCAGAAGCACCGGTCCCGGGCCCCTCCCTCCCATTAGGATAGCCACGTTTGCACATGTGGTGCTCATTCCCTCGCCTTTACTTTTTTTTTTTTTTTTTCTTGAGACAGAATTTCGCTGTTGTCGCCCCTGTCTTGTCCTTTTGTGGCCGCTATGGGATGAGTGCGTCTTCCTGGGAGACTCTGGGCGGGGGTCGCAGGTGCTGTGGCGGCGATGAGACACACGGGGGCGCGCGCGGGCCGCGCCTGGACGCGTTTGCAGCGGCTGCAGGACGGTGGGGCCGGCTCCGGAACTGCAGGCCTGGGCGGCGCTGGGAAAATTCCTCCCGAAAGGAGACGGGCCAAGCACTTTGGTCCGGAACCCTGTGGGCCCGTTCCTCTGTCCCTGTGACACAGGGTAGTTAGAGGAGTCCTGGCCTCTCTCCTCCTGGGGCCTATTTTTGGTCCAGACTGCAGCGTTGAAAACTGCAACGGATTGTACAATGAGGGGGTCTGTCTTATTATTATTATTGAGACTGAGTCTCTGTCACCCAGGCTGGAGTGCAGTGGCACCATCTCAGCTCACTACAACCTCCACCTCCTGGGCTCAAGCGATCCTCCCACCTCAGCCTCCTGAGCAGGTGGAAGCACAGGTGCACACCACCATGCCCAGCTAAATTTTTTTTTATAGAGATGGGGTTTCGCCATGTTGCCCAGGCTGGTCTCAAACTTCTGTACTAAGTGACCTGCCCGCCTCAGCCTCCCAAAGTGCTTGGGATTACAGGTGTGAGCCACCTTGCCCAGTCTGTTATAATTAAACAATGAGTAAGCCCCTAACTGCATTTTCTCATTAGTGCTCATAATCCCTGAGGAAGGAGGAACTACTATTTGTGTGTGTATGTGTGTGGTGTGTGTGTGTGGGTGGGTGTGTGTTGAGACAGAGTCTTGCTCTGTCGCTCAGGCTGTAGTGCAGTGGCACGATCTCAGCTCACGACATCCTCCCACCACCCAGGTTCAAGTGATTGCCCTTCCTCAGCCTCCTGAGTAGCTGGGACTACAGGCACATGCCACCATGCCCAGCTAATTTTTTTTGTGTGTGTGTTTTAGTAGAGATAGGATTTCACCATGTTGGCCAGGAGATGGTCTTCATTTCCTGACTTTGTGATCCACCCGCCTCGGCCTCCCAAAGTGTTGGGATTACAGGGGATCCACCGCGCCTGGCCTATTTTATATTTTTTACAGGGTCTTACTCTGTTGCCCAAGCTGGAGCATAGTAGTTCAAACATGGCTCACTGCAGCCTTTAACTCTTGGGATCAAGTGATCCTCCTGCTCCAGCCTCCTGAGCAGCTGGGACTTAAGGTGTGTGCCACCACATCCCACTGATTTATTTATTTCTTCTTTATCATTTTCTCTGTTTATTTTCTTTCTTTCCCTCTCTGTCTCCCTTCCCTTCCCTTCTGTTCCCTTCTCTTCCTTCCTTTCTTTTCTCTTTTCTTTCTTGAGACAGGGCCTTGCTATGCTGCCTAGACTAGATAACTTATTATTATTTATTTATTTTTAGATTTTAACCACGAAAAGTCAGGGGAAAGTGCGAACACAGTCCCCCACTACCACGAATTATGCAGTCGAGTTTCCTGTGTTTGGGGAAATCGCAGGGGTCAGCACATCCGGAGTGCAATGGATAAGCCTCCCCTGGGAAAACCACCTTTGTGATCATGGTATCTCCCCTGCCAGGTAAGTCTTATTTATTTATTTTAAATTTATTTATTTTTTTGAGATGGAGTCTCGCTCTGTCGCCCAAGGCTGGAGTGCAATGGCGTGATCTTGGCTCACTGCAATCTCTGCCTCCCGGGTGCAAGCGATTCTCCTGCCTCAGCCTCCCAAGTAGCTGGGAATACAGGTGCACTCCACCACGTCCAGTTAATTTTAGTATTTTTAGTAGAGATGGGGTTTCACCATGTTGGGCACTCTTGACCTTGTGATCCGCCCACCTTAGCCTCCCAAAGTTCTGGGATTACAGGCATGAGCCACTGCGCCCGGTCGATAACTATTATTTTTTTCTCCATTTTACACATGCAGAAACTGGGGCCCAGGATCGAAGCCCTAGTTTCCCTCACACCACAGCCCACGCCTTAGCTGCTTCCTGTACTTACTTCCATTTACATATATTTATATTCCAGCCCTTCCTCACACACAGTGAAATATACATCTGAAGCATGTGTTTCTATGCTTTTTAAAAAATTATCATTGTGAATCAGACTTTCAAAAATGGGTGCCTAGATGGGGACCTGTCCTGGGGATGGGGCTGGCAGAGGTAGCCCTAGGCAGCTGGGGAGGGGCCAGTGTGTGCCCCAGGCCTCCTGGCGGCCACTCTGGAGTCATCAACAAGGATCCTGAGTCACTGGGGCACGGCTGCCAGAGATGCGAATGCCAAGGCAGGGTGCAGCCTGGTGGGCCGCGGCCCCTATGTGGGATCCCAGCCTCCCCGCCCCCACACTGCTGCTGTATGCACGGAACATTGCAGAGGGTGCAGGCACTGAATGCGTGGGGAGCTTTGCAGTCCATGACCTTTCAGACTTGTGGGGTGCACGGAGGGACTGGTTCTGAAGATCAGGGCTAGGAGAAGCTGGAAGTCAACAAGTAAACTCACAAATATAAGCTAAAATATCAGACAAGAGATCAGTGCAATAGCAAAAATAAGGCAGGAGGAGAGGTGTGGGTGAGATGGCCGGCCTCTGGGAGAGGGTTGCCCAGAAGTGTGACTCCTCCCACCCTGTTAAAGGGATAAAGAGTCCTTAAGTGAGGGGAGGAACAATCCCCTAGCCAGGCGTGCCCCAAGAGGGCCCCCTGCTAATGACTTTAGGGGATCATCCTAGCGTCCTCAGCTCCGTTTTTTAAAGGCTTACTGCATTCCCAAGGTCGTTCAGCCAGGTGGGAGCTAAAGGGATTTAAGCTGAGAGCCAAGTCTCAAACTCAGAGAAGGGAAGGGCTACCTGGGAAGTGGCTGGGGCTCGAAGGTCGAGGCTGCAGAGAGCTATGATCCCTCGGCCAGTCGAGGTGGCTCACGCCTGTAATCCCAGTCGTCCGGGAGGCCGAGGCGGTGGGATCGTGTGGGTAAACCCCCATATAGGCACCCAGGTATGAGAGCTAAGCAGAACTCTGGCACAGTTAGGGCTCGAGGAGGAATATCTCACTTTATATCGTTACTACTCAGCTATTTCCTTTTATATAATCCTTTATACAATCATATATTAGTTTATAGAATTAGGGCTTGAAGAATCCCTTTATATAAGCCTCTCTATATAATCATATAATAGTTGATAGTATGAGTGCCTAAAGAATATTTCCCTACATATATACCTATCATTATATATTAGCTTATAATCGGAGGAATGCCTAGAGTGGACACAGTGCAGAGCATGATTTAAGGGAAAACAGTTATACCAGGAGAAGAACCCATGGCCCAGGCAGCAGCATTCAGTATTGTAAAGATACCCGCTGTATGGCAGGCCTGGGCGAGAGCCACTCCTCCTGACAAAGGAGTTGTAGGACCTTGCTCCAGTTCTTGGTGAAGGCCGCCCTCAGACCGGCAATCCACCTTAGTGACTGTGAACTTTATCAGCTCTTGCTGCTGTGCTGCTAGAAAAGCATCTTCCCACAGAACCCACTGGAAGCTGCCAGCAGGTGGCGGTAACCCTGACAGCTCTGTCACTGCTGTGTGACCTAAAGCATCCTCCTATAAATCTTCTTAGAAGTAGTTTGCCCATAGATAGAAATATTGCACACTGCAACTTCTTCACTGAGCATGGCCCACCTTCAAGCCTCGGTGACCTAATGGGGGTGGACCCCTTACTGCGCACGGCCCTTGCCTTCATGGGAACGGGCCCCTTGCTGCGCACTGTCCACCTCCTGGCCTAGGTGACCTAATGGGGTGGACCCCATGCTTTCTTGCTCACGACCCTATCACTGTCCTTAAAGATGACTTCACTCACTGCCCTGCCCCCTAACCTATACACAATAAATACTCATGCTTCTGGACATTCGAGGCCTCGCCTGACTCCGCTCATAGGTGGCGTGGCCCCCCGAGCCCAGCTGCGTTTTCCTTGTACTTCTGTGTCCTGTCTTTTTATTTCTCCGATTTCCTGTCTTTTTATTTCTCGATTCTGCGCCTCAGCACAGCATAAGGCACACCCCAGGACCCTGTGGGACCCTCAGCCCTACAGATCGCTTGAGGTCAGAAGTTCGAGACTAGCCTGGCCAACATGGTGAAACTGTCTCTACGGAAAAATACAATAATTAGTCGGGAGTGGTGGCGCGCGCCTGAGGTCCTGAGGTCGCAGCTACTCAGGAAACTGAGGTGGGAGGATCGCTTGAGCCTAGGAGGCGGAGGCTACAGTGAGCCGAGATCGCGCCACTGCACTCCAGCCTGGACGACAGAATGAGACCCTGTCTCAAAATAAGTAAAACGCATGGGCCGAGCGGCGGTTCGCGCCTGCAATCCCACACACTTGGCAGGCTGGGGTGGGAGGACCGCTAGAGCCTGCGGCTGCACCACTGCATTCCAGCCTTGGTGACTGTGAGACCCTGTCTCAAAAAAAAAAAAAAAAAAGCGGCTGAGAGTTGTTGGCAGGGAAGCCGCAGACAGGCGAGGTTAGGCCAAGTAGAGTCCTGCCTATCTGGAATGCTTCCTGGAAGAGGAGGCTTTTTCTGGCTCCCGAAGCCGCGCGCTAGGGGCTGGGGGAGGGGGGCGTGCGTCTAGCCTCCCACGAGACCCTGGTTCAGCACACGGCCGGCGTCAGGAGAGGACCAGCGAGGCCAGGACACTCGACCCCGCCGGGACCCAGGCGGCCTCAGGGACTTCCTGGTTCTGCCCAGAGTGGCCGCCCTCTGGGGCTACGCCTGCTACGAGCACAGGGATCGCCGTCCCTTTTATGTACGCAAACACTACGCCAGCCCAGCGTGGGTGCTGCGTGTCCGCGGTGGGGCCCGGAGGGCAGTGGGCGTCCCCGGGACTCGGCGGGAGGCACTCCAGGGCGGGTGAGGCCCGGCGCAGCCCCTCACTTCCGGGCCGCCGCCCACTCCCCGGACAGGCGCAGAGGACCCTTCGCACCTGCGCAGTGAGCGGCCGGAGGGGACGACTCGGCGGCGCGCACGCACCACGAGGGGCGGAGCCCCGGAGCCTGGACGCCCGTGACGGGCTGCGCTGGGGAAGGGGCGGAGACGAGGCGTTCCTGGGCGGGGCCTCGAGTCCGGTTTGGAATTTTTGGCGCGAGCAGTTCCGCGCGCGTTCACGGGCCGTTCCCCCTCAGGGGAGTCCTCCGCCCGGGCGTCCGGAACTGTCGACGGCAAACCCCGGCCCGCTGGGCCACCCGAGAATTCCCGCGGCCTCCGCCGACCCGGAATCTGGGCTCTCGCGGACCCGCGCCCCGCCCAGCCGCCCCAGGTGAGCCCAGAGCCCGCCCTGAGGGATCTCGGCGCCGCTCCCCTCCCTCTCCGGTCGGCCTCGTCCAGTCGGCTTCACCCCTGCCCTTCAGGCCTCCCCGGCGTCCCGTTCCCACGGACCCCTGCCTCCGGTTCTCCCCGACTCCTGGCCCCTTGCCCCTAAACCCTGCCCAGTGGCGGCCCCGCTCTACGCGTCCCTCCCGGAGACCCCGCCTGCTGTCCATCAACCCCGCGCAACCGCCCTCCCGTGACAGCCCCTCCCCTCCATGACAGCCCCTCCCCTCCGTGACACCCCCTCTTCCCCTAGGACAGCCCCTCTTCCCCTGTGACAGCCCCTCTTCCCCTGTGACAGCCCCTCTTCCCCTAGGACACCCCCTCTTCCCCTAGGACACCCCCTCTTCTCCTAGGACAGCCCCTCTTCCCCTAGGACAGCCCCTCTTCCCCTAGGACAGCCCCTCTTCCCCTGTGACAGCCCCTCTTCCCCTAGGACAGCCCCTCTTCCCCTAGGACACCCCCTCTTCCCCTAGGACAGCCCCTCTTCCCCTAGGACAGCCCCTCTTCCCCTAGGACAGCCCCTCTTCCCCTGTGACAGCCCCTCTTCCCCTAGGACAGCCCCTCTTCCCCTAGGACAGCCCCTCTTCCCCTGTGACAGCCCCTCTTCCCCTAGGACAGCCCCTCTTCCTCTGTGACAGCCCCTCTTCCCCTGTGACAGCCCCTCTTCCCCTAGGACACCCCCTCTTCCCCTAGGACAGCCCCTCTTCCCCTAGGACAGCCCCTCTTCCCCTAGGACAGCCCCTCTTCCTCTGTGACAGCCCCTCTTCCCCTGGGACAGCCCCTCTTCCCCTAGGACAGCCCCTCTTCCCCTGTGACAGCCCCTCTTCCCCTAGGACAGCCCCTCTTCCTCTGTGACAGCCCCTCTTCCCCTGTGACAGCCCCTCTTCCCCTAGGACACCCCCTCTTCCCCTAGGACAGCCCCTCTTCCCCTAGGACAGCCCCTCTTCCCCTAGGACAGCCCCTCTTCCCCTAGGACACCCCCTCTTCCCCTGTGACAGCCCCTCTTCCCCTAGGACAGCCCCTCTTCCTCTGTGACAGCCCCTCTTCCCCTGTGACAGCCCCTCTTCCCCTGTGACAGCCCCTCTTCCCCTGGGACAGCCCCTCTTCCCCTGGGACACCCCCTCTTCCCCTAGGACAGCTCCTCTTCCCCTAGGACAGCCCCTCTTCCCCTAGGACAGCCCCTCTTCCCCTGTGACAGCCCCTCTTCCCCTGTGACAGCCCCTCTTCCCCTAGGACAGCCCCTCTTCCCCTAGGACAGCCCCTCTTCCCCTAGGACAGCCCCTCTTCCTCTGTGACAGCCCCTCTTCCTCTGTGACAGCCCCTCTTCCCCTGTGACAGCCCCTCTTCCCCTAGGACACCCCCTCTTACCCTAGGACAGCCCCTCTTCCCCTAGGACAGTTCCCCTTCCCCTGGGACGGCCCCTCTTCCCCTAGGACGGCCCCTCTTCCCCTAGGACAGCCCCTCTTCCCCCCTGTGACAGCCCCTCTTCCCCTAGGACAGCCCTTCTTCCCCTGTGACACCCCCTCTTCCCCTAGGACAGCTCCTCTTCCCCTGCCACAGCCTGTTTTCCTGTGATAGCCCCTGCCCCTGTGACAGCGCCTCTTCCCTGGTGACAGCCCCTCTTCCGTGCTCTGTTCGCCAGGGTTTCCCTCCACCCACATAGGTGAACTCAGCCCTGCCTGGGAGGAACTCACAGTCTATTGGAGAGGTGGCCAGCAGATGTTTCAGGCCCAGTGAGAGGGTCCAATCGCCCAGGTCTCTGGAAGCTGTGGAGGTCACCCCCGCCTGGCCTTAGGGCAGGGACACCCTGGACTCACGTGGGAGCCCCTGCTCCTACTTCCCCCATCCCACCACTGAGGCTCTTGGGCCGGGCCAGTCATGCTAGAACGTAAGTTGTGGGGCCCATGGGAGAATTGGGTTAAGAGGCTCCAGTCCCTGAATGTGCCAGGGTTGGGCCTGGAGGCTGTGCCTGTGACCCGTGACCTCGAAGATTTCAACACTGGCTCCTCACTTTGAGAAACCCTGGGATGGGTCTCTGAGGTAATTAGAGTCTGAGGAAGAGTCCACAGATGGAGGGCAGCCTCCCAGCCAGGCCCAGGTAGCCTCGCTCCCCTTACCACTCCACTCCTTCAGGGACAGGAGGCTGCTCCTTTTAGATTTTTACTTATTCATTATATATTGTTTTGTGACAAAGTCTCGCTCTGTCCCCCAGGCTGGAGTGGAGTGGCGCCATCTTGGCTCACTGCAACCTCTACCTCCCAGGTTCAAGCCATTCTCCTGCCTCAGCCTCCCGAGTAGCTGGGATTACAGGCGCATACCACCACACCTGGCTAAGTTTTGTATTTTTAGTAGAGATGGGGTTTCACCATGGTGGCCATCCTGGTCTCAAACTTTTTTTTTTTTTTGAGACAGAGTCTTGCTCTGTTGTCCAGGCTGGAGTGCAATGGTGCCGTCTCAGTTCACTACAACTTCCACCTCCCGGGTTCAAGTGATTCTCATGCCTCAGCCTGCCAAGTACTTGGGATTACAGACGCCCACCACCACGCCTGGCTAATTTTTGTATTTTTAGTAAAGACGGGGTTTCACCCTGTTGGCCAGGCTGGTCTCAAACTCCTGACCTGTGATCCACCTGCCTTGGCCTCCCAAAGTGCTAGGATTACAGGTGTGAGCCACTGAGCCTGGCCTGCTTTCGAGTCTTTGTTAAATCTGACATTTGGAGGCTGGATGTGGTGGCTCACACCTGTAATCCCAGCATTTTGGGAGGCTGGGGTGGGCAGATTACTCAAGCCAGGAGTTTGAGACCAGCCTGGGCAACATGTTGAACCTGTGTCTCTATATTAGGTATGATGGTGCAAGCCTGTAGTCCCGGCTACTCAGGAGGCAAAAGTCGGAGGATCCCTTGAGCTTGGGAGGCAGAGGTTGCAGTGAGCTGAGGTCGTGCCACTGCACTGCAGTCTCAGTAATACAGTGTGACCTTGTCTCAAGAAAAAAATCTGACATTTGAGCAGTTTTTGTTGCCTGTTTTGTTTCTTCATGTGTACGGGTCATACTTTCTTGTGTCTTTGTGTATCTGGTAGTTTTTGGTGAAAACTGGACATTTTTGGCATGAACTGCATGCTGGTTCCGCACCTTCCTCCAGGGCCTATGATTGCTGTTTATTTGTTGGTGGCTGGCTGGACTACTGTATTGCAGTCCTTTGCCCCTGCACATGAAACCTCTCATGTCACTCCCCTGAGGGTGCAACCTTGGGCATGTGCATAGCCACCCTGGGGCAAGTGTGATTTTAGGAGGGCTCACTCTAGTTTTGCCCCCAATCACACCCAGCTATTAGGCTGCACCAGTGACCAGTTTATTGCTCTATTGTTTTTTATAATAGGTTGGGGCATGAGCCTTACCTACATGGTGAAACCCCATTTCTACTAAAAATATAACATTAGCCAGGTGTGTTGTCACACGCTTGTAATCCGAACTACTTGGGAGGCTGAGGAAAGAGAATTGCTTGAACCTAGGAGGCAGAGGCCGCAGTGAACTGAGATCATACCAATGCACTCCAGCCTGGGAGACAGAGTGAGACCTTGCCTCAAAAACAAACAATGCCTTGGGCCATAAATTGTTCCATAGGTTGATCCAATTAATTTTTTTTTTTTTTTTTTTTTTGAGACAGAGTCTCACTCTGTTGCCCAGGCTGGAGTGTAGTGGCCCAATCTCAGTTCACTGCAACCTCTGCCTCCGAGGTTGGAGCAATTCTCCTGCCTCAGCCTCCTGAGTAGCTGGGATTACAGGCATGCACCACCATGCCTGGCTTATTTTTGTATTTTTAGCAGAGGTGGGATTTCACCGTGTTGGCCAGGCTGGTCTTGAACTCCTGACCTCAGGTGAAACACTCACCTCAGCCTCCCAAAGTATGGGGTTGCAGGCATAGCCACTGTGCCAGGCCAAATCCAATTAGTTCTGAGCTCCTTTAACAGAGTAGCTTTTGAGGTCAGTTTGAGGTTTGCTCTGACTGCAGGCAGGCTCTCCCTGGCTAGCTCTTTCCCCACTTCTGTAGTGGTCTAGCACATGAAGCCTCTCATGTCAGTCCCCTGAGGGTGCAGTCTTGGGCATGTCGCTGACCTGTGGTTTAGCTGGTTGCCCTAATGCAGGTACCAGTCTCTTAACGGCTCATCACCAAAACCTCCACTGATTTTGACAGCCCCTTTAAACCGGAACTCCCGAACACTGTTTCAAATCAAGCCAATTTTCAGGGAGATGGTGGGTGGGAGAGCTCTGTTTATGACTTGTGTCTACCCCAGGCTGAATCTCTGAGTCCTGCTGTAGAACTGGGGGCAGTATAGCAGTGCACCGGGTGCCGCCGCTGTAGAACTGGGGGCGGTATATCCCGTGCACCGGGTGCCGCTGCTGTAGAACTGGGGGCGGTATAGCCCGTGCACCGGGTGCCGCTGCTGTAGAACTGGGGGCGGTATAGCCCGTGCACCGGGTGCTGCTGTAGAACTGGGGGCGGTATAGCCCGTGCACCGGGTGCCGCCGCTGTAGAACTGGGGGCGGTATAGCCCGTGCACCGGGTGCTGCTGTAGAACTGGGGGCGGTATAGCAGTGCACCGGGTGCCGCTGCTGTAGAACTGGGGGCGGTATAGCCCGTGCACCGGGTGCTGCTGTAGAACTGGGGGCGGTATAGCCCGTGCACCGGGTGCCGCTGCTGTAGAACTGGGGGCGGTATAGCCCGTGCACCGGGTGCTGCTGTAGAACGGGGGGCGGTATAGCCCGTGCACCGGGTGCCGCCGCTGTAGAACTGGGGGCGGTATAGCCCGTGCACCGGGTGCTGCTGTAGAACTGGGGGCGGTATAGCAGTGCACCGGGTGCCGCTGCTGTAGAACTGGGGGCGGTATAGCCCGTGCACCGGGTGCTGCTGTAGAACTGGGGGCGGTATAGCCCGTGCACCGGGTGCCG